TGTGCTGTCCCCAGCAGAAACCCGCTACTGCATTACTCGCCGCGAACTATTGGCTATTGTCTATTTTCTCCGCCAATATCGGCCGTATCTATACGGCCGTTCGTTATTGTGCGCACGGACCATGCGGCTCTGCAATATGCCCTGAGAGTTGACCAACCATCTGGCCAACTTGCACGATGGTTGGAGACCCTGCAGGAATTTTCCTTCAACATTCAATATCGGAAGGGGTCGCGTCACGCGAATGCGGACGCGCTCTCCAGATTACCACAGGGGTCCCCTTGTGCTTGCGCGTCGGGTACGAATAGGTGTATGCCGATTCAGCTACCCCCTCGGCCTGTCGTGTCAGCTGTCGAGGTGCCTGGGGCTCCGGTGTGCCCAGGACCGGCAGATGGGGTTCTGAACCTGCCGCGCTCGGTATGGATTCGCGAACAATTGCTTGACGACTCGTTGGGGGCTTTATGGAGTCGGGCTGCGAAGGGAGCGGGGGGATTGCTGCTCGGTGGGATGCCGGGGGCCGCTCTCCGGGATGGTTTGCTCATGTGGAGGGAGGTATTGCATGACCGCTGGCGTCTGGTAGTACCGTCGTTGTTACGGTACGAATTGATTCGGACTCTGCACGGCGACACTTTATTACATCTCGGGGTGCAGAAGACTTTGTTAACATTGCAGCGAGACTACTTCTGGCACGGCATGACAACGGATGTCGTCGGACACATTCGGGCGTGTCCCGAGTGTGCCCGGCGGAAGCCGCCTAAAAACCCTTATGTGCCGCCGGTGCAGTCTATACAGGTGTCTCGAATCAACGAGTTGGTGGCGCTGGATATTTTGGGACCTTTCCCGCCATCCGCTAGGGGTAATACATTTTTGCTGGTCGGGGTGGAATATCTTTCCCGTTGGTCGATGGCTTGGCCCTTACCCGACCAGTCGGCGGCGTCTATCACGGACGCCTTCCTGTTTGGATATGTGCTGGACAAAGGGGCGCCGGAGAGGCTACTCACGGATCAGGGACGAAATTTTTCTTCTAAATTGTTGGCGGAAGTGTGCGCTGCTCTGGGAACCAAGAAGGTTAGTACGTCTCCTTACCACCCGCAGACGGATGGCATGGTGGAACGGCTTAATCGGACGCTGTCGGCCATGCTATGTCACACGGTTGACGAGAAACAAGCTGATTGGGACTTGCATATACCTGGGGTACTCTCCGCGTATCGGATGACGCCTCATGCGTCCACAGGGTATTCTCCATTTTTTCTAATTTACGGCCGCGAGAATATGCCGCCGGTGGACGTACAGCTGGGTACGGGGGCGAAGGGTCCTGTTAAACCTCTCCCCGAGTACATTCAGGAAACTGTTCGACGCGTCGCCGAGGCACGGGAGGGGGCCCGATTGGCTACTGCCAAGACTCAGGCGCGAAACGAGCGTTGCGCCCGGCGCTCGACCGGTACATGCCCCTGGCGAGTGGGGGACATGGCATGGCTGCACTGCCCGCAGGTGCGGCCGGGGGCCTCCCCTAAGCTTCACAAACCATGGCAAGGGCCGGTTAAGCTTATTGAAGTCCCTAACCCGCAGTCCGCGCAGGTTCGGTTCGGATCGCGGCGCTGGTACGTCCATACGTCTAGGTTGAAGCCCTACGTGGCCCCGCGGACGGATGCATCATCCCCTGATGTTGCCTTGCCGGTGTCTGTTGCACCCGACGCACCTCTGCCCTTGCCTGTTGACTCTGCAAGCGCACCTGTCGTGCCTTCTACAGACGAACCAGCCGTGACGCAGGCGGATGCGGCGAATCCTGCTCTGGGTGGGCCTACCACGGCGACGGGGCCACTTGACCCCGCTGCCCCTCCAAACCCACCACAGACACGGTTGCCAGAGACCCCGGACTTGGGTCTCTCTGGGGAACGGGACCTTGGCGTTGACGGGCCTCCAACAGCGGCGGGCAGTTCTACTCCCATCAATCTTAAAACCCCGTCGCGTTCTCGGTCTGTGGGGGGACCGCCGCCCGTTCGGGACGGGCCGGCGACCCGCACGCGTTCCAAATCCCTTTCCTTTCGTTGATTGTTCTTGTTCTTGTCGTTCTTGTTATCGTTGTTATATTCTTCGTTGTCCAGTGATGCCAGATGGTTAAAATGTTGCTCGCATTATTTTATTATATTTATTGTAGCCGGGGACGGCTGGGTTTTCGTGTAATGCGAGCAAGGATTGAGGGGGGGGCGGAGTCTGGGTCACGTGGGGAGAGGGAGGAGTCAGGGTCACGTGGGAGAGAGGATTTAGGGAGAGAACCGGAAGGGGGACGGGGAGTGGAGACGGATTGAAACGGGAGGAGGCCACGCTGGGCAGTACGGGGAGAGTGGCGCGGTTGCCACGCGGTGGGAGACGTCGACACCGTCAGCCATCGGTGTCAGACGCAGAGAGCTAGCGGGCTGTGGGAGGCTAGCTGTATACGGGGCAGCAGTGAAGCTGGAGAGCGGAGCAGCGGTGTCGCTGCAAGGCGGAGCAGCGGTGTCGCTGCAAGGCGGAGCAGCAGGGAGACTGCATATCGGAGCAGCAGAGTGGCTGTGGAGTGATCGTCGGGAGAGACGCAGGCCTGAGCGAGGACACCGTGGTAATGAGATTCTACGAACCCAATAAAGGACAACGGAGATCGACATATGAGAAAGAGTCCTTTATTACACAGGTAGGAACAACAGGTTCCACACTGCCCACCAGGGATTATGTGTCTGTCTGTCTGTCGTGCATATCCGGAATTCCGCCCACCCATGCACCTCCCCACCGAACACCAAGCTACGCCGCGATTGGTTGACGATGTCGGGGAGGGTGGGGGGGAAGAATCAACATGCCCACTCATCCAACTGCCCCCCCCCCCCAAATGCCGCGCTGTCCAACCAAGTTCCTACCTGCCCACTCCGAAGGAACGTGTTTTGACCAGTCTCTTTGGAGTTCTGCTTATGTCAGATTAGGTGTCTAACAGTGATGTCAAAGTGGAAAAGGTAAATGCACTCTCCGCTGCATATCCATCAGACCTGGATATGAACTTTGCCAACGAACTAAAACCAATTCAAGTCTTTCATATCTGACTCTGAAGGTGAGAAGTGCCCAACTAAATTGCTTGAGATGTTGCAGGCACTTACTCTGCAGTCAGTTTTCCCAATGTTTTCTTGGCACTTTGGATTTTTCTAACTTTGCCTGTGACAAACTTCCAGGGTGAGCGGGCATTTTCCCTTTTAGGCAGAATAAAATATTAGCTGCGGAGTAGCATGTGCCAAACACGTCAAAGCTCATTGTCACTTATGCCAATAGAGTCAGACCTTGTCAGACAGGCTTGATTTGGACGACCTAGTGGATGATTTTTGCGAGGAGGGGGTCCTCCAAAAGACATGTGCCCAGGGGCCTCATGGGACCATGATTCAGCCCTGCATTCAGCATCTAGCATTCAATATATTTGAAATCTCTTGACCTCTTTAGGTAAAATCCTATTTTCCTGAAATCAAAAAGTGAGAACTGCGGTCTCATTCCATTCTACTTCACAGTCCAGACTAACGTCTGCTTATCTTCTGAAATGTAATGATGTCGGGTGCAACTCTGTGTGTGTAATCTAATATGTATAAAATAAAGTGGTTTATTTAAGTTTAACATGTAGGCTTTCACGAACAATATCATCCATAATACAGGTTGTTTTGGGTTAGATCGCTTAAATATAAATGTGTCGTTAACCCCGCCACCACCCAACACAGCCAATTTAGTAAGGTTTGTCACCTAAGTAGAACATGCCAATTCGTTACTAGTACAGCACAACGGTGTGTTGGAGAGCAAATCCACATTTACAATCTGAGTACGACGTTTCGCCAGTAATTACAACCGGCATCATCAGGTGATACCCAGATTTGTGGAGAAATCCTCCTGTTTCGTTCCTTAGAGGAGTAGATGTGACGACGTCACTTGTGAGCCCTTCACGTGCGAAGTCCAGAGAGGGGGAATTTTAAAGAGAGTCAACTTGCAGGGGTCCAAGACCGAAAATGAAAAGTAGCACCCGCTGAAATTAATAACCCGTAGCAACCATGTCGGATGAGACCACTATGTCACGGTGGCGAGATGTTACCTTCCTATGCTCAAACTTTAGCCTGACAGGCCTTGAATAAAGAAAGCTATTATGGGTATTTGGAAAGGAGACAACCATAAAGGTTAACGTTCACGAGTCCCCGTTTAAATGGAATAAACGTTACCAAAAATAGTCCACACACATGTCGCGCGTGTTAAAAAAAAAAGTAACGACAGAACACATGGGAAAACAAACGTTTCATTCCACCTCAGGAAACACCGAGCTTGTCCATTGCCCAGGTCCCATTTTCCAGTGTCTGGAACAAAGCGAACGTGAGTGCCCTCATCGAATGTCCAGTTTCAGTTATTTGGTATAGCCCCGTGAGCTATTCGGCTCTTGAATCGGGTGCAACTGCAACAAACAAAAACTTGAACAAGAAAACATCTTAAAGTGACTGTGACTATGTGCAAACAGAAAATGCAGGAAGACACCCACCACGTTCTTGGGTCTTTAAAAACAAACCTTTATATATTTACAACCCCCCCCCCCCCCCATCAATGTTTGTATGCTGGTGATTGCATTATCAGGACCATTTCACGAGATTCAGAATTTATTTGAGTCTCCAGCAAGAACAGTTACGACCATTCATGGGAGAGCACAGCCTACACAGAAGTGGATATCACAGAGCTACTGGAGAGAGTGGGATAATATAATCTACGGAAGATAACCGCGCACAAATAATGGCGCACCCGGTGAGGGTGGGCTCATCGGTCAGCTGGACGGATTTGCGATATGCGACGTTGCACTGCATGCAACGACGTAAGTGTAATCGTAGGTTGGGAAGCGTCCTTAGTATGAAATGTCAAGTGTTTTCCGAGTGTCGTCTTTGAGCTTGCAGCATACCAGCCGTTGAATATTACAGAGCAGTTCGCCCTCTTTGGTGAGAAAAGCCACGGGGAAAGACTTGCGATGAATTGAAATAAGTTTTTATTCTTTTGTATTTTCACATTACAGATTTTACAGAGAGAGAAAAAAAACAATGACAGCTCCTCCCTTATTGTTTATACACGTTTCAAAATATGTACAGTGTTTTAACTTAGTTACAGTTGCGTTTCCTCCTTTTATGCAAGGAATCATACTTGTAAGGCGGTATATATTCTTGTATACTTACAGAACATTTGCTTATTTTTTTAATTAAATGTTTTCGTTATGATAGACCTGCATTCCACTGACATGAGTTCACGACACAAACACGCTTATAAATTGGACACAACGCATGCCAAGGCCTTCAGTAGTGCAAATGAGGTCTGCTTCATCTAGCCTATCGAACACAACAGCATTTAAAAACCCCTCGGCGAGAATCTACAAGATAAAATTAATTAGTTTTTAAATAAAAAGGGAGAGAAAATATAACTACAAACTGACAGATATCTGAATGAAGCTGGCTAGGTTATAATATATCTCTGTACATATTAGCACTCAATAAGAGTTTTAGTTCTATTGGATGCTGCACTTTGCTTAGGATCTGTTAAGGTGTTCGCTGGTTCATTACATACAGAGTTATTGGTGAAGTTAAATAATCCACTTTTGATTATAGATGTAGAACATTAAATCCAGAAGAACTACTTTCAAAACATTTAAAACAAAATTGTGCATATGTTTTTATCCAGTGCAGAGCAACTTTGTTGTGCCTTCACAATGAACACAAAATTATACAGACCTGGATTCTCAGCTGATTGCATGATAGTATCAATTAATATTTGAAACTTGATTGTTCACGATATTTTGTTAGTAACTATTACATTCAATTGTCATTGGGCGGTACTATTGTAACGATGTGGAGCTTTAAATTAAATGGACAACTGATGCGTTTTTTATTTACAGAAACATGGGCAACAGCAATGTGTAGTGTGCTTTTCAGTGGATATTATATGTCCTGTGACATCTATCAACCCGTAGATCATTATCCTCTCTAAAAGCACACATTTTACAGTGACTGCAAGTATTAAATTATGAAAAACAAGGATCACCAGTTGCTCCCTCATGCAGCCTCCCTCTTGAGTTTTAAGCTAAACCAGCGTGAACAAATACTTGCAATATTGCTCATAAGTGGTACATACACATATATTAATGCAGTAATTGTAGTTTATTATTAGAGAACACGATTCTCAATGATGTAAGCTCAAATCGTGATTCTATATAAATTCAGCCACTTATCCATCTGGGGACTATAAAGTACCACTTTGTTGGAAGTCAACAGTGATTGTTTCATTCAGATACCGGTGTCCAACACGATGGGGAAATTCCACCACTTGCAGCACCGGCGCCAATGGATACGAGCACTACCAAGTGTTATTTGGACCACGGAGGCCCTAATTGACAACTGTGAAAAAGAGCCATATAGGCTCACCGGATTCCTCCAGTATAAATACATATTCTGAATTGCCTTGATTGTTTAAATAATTGCTATCGTTATTTAAAAGCAACAGCAAAAACACACATTGGATCATCACAAGATACCGATGGCAAGCTATGAGAATCCAGATCTATAAAAAGTTCGCGTCCCAATAGTACATTCAGCAATGCTTTAAAAATGTTGGCCACATGCATTTGCGGAGTCAAGAGACCACTGCATAACATAGTAGCCTGGCGACCTAAACAATACAACTAAAAAAACACATGCTTGAAAAACAAACATTGCAAAAAATATATAGCCTCTGTGGGCAGTCTTGTTTTGCCAAATCTACCACTGCCTTAAAAGCGATTCATAGCAATTTTATATATACTAGCTTCAACATAAATAATCCCTTTTTGCATTGATGAATCATATCACAAGTGAACAGTGTAGAATGGCAATTGCAGTAGAAATGATTTCCTAGGCATGCCTTCGCTAAATGTCATTATTTACTCAATTTGAATTATAACATCGTGTCCCCACATTCCATCAATTAAGAGTTTTCTGAGCATGGACATGAAAAAGCGGGCCAGCGCTTCAACTAATTCAGTGGCAAATTGCGCTGGAGAAAAGAGTACACAATGTCTCAGCCTCAATTCTGGTGGTGCTGGCCGTGCGACCCGGCTTTTTAAAGAGTAAAATAATTGGCTTATCTCTACGATGACTCGAGCGAGGCATGTAACGACGGAGTATTTAAACCATCAATTGGGGGGACGCACTCGGCCTCCTTAGCCTGCCTCCTTAACCTAACGTCGCGGCAACCTTTAGCCCACAACCACACGCACATGCACGGATTAACGCACGCACGCAAATGCACAAACACATGCATACACATAAGCGTACACGTGCGTATACGAACACTACGCTCCGTATAAGATAAGCAGTTTTTTTTAGATGTATAGGGCACCCTGTAACCTGAAGACATTCTAAATATACAATACATCAAGACGTGATAGTACTTCCACTATTGTTTTGTGGCACGTATGCAGCTCACATGTGTATGCTTACACAACCTCATTTAGGCCTAAAACTATTTCAAGACAGCAAGCACTAAATACAGAGTTGTTTTCCAAATGTTTTTAAAGCACCAAATTTTGTGCGCAAGGAATTTATCGCCACAATGCCTCAAATACCTTAAGCATCAGTTAAGTGTAATTGTTTTATAGCCCTTATATAATACAGTGTGATAACAAGCAGCTCGTGATTTTTAGAGTAGTCTCGAAGATCATGCAAAAAATCTAAACATTCCAATCATAACCACACTCTTTACCATGAATATTCTATGCTGTAAGGAATTGTTCTGTAGGCATCACCGACAACACATCAGCCTTCGAAACCATTGATTTCACAAGCAAGCAACCAGAAAACTATCAGGGAGCCACTTAAAGAGATGTGACTCAAAAACAAAACAAATTCGTGCAACAAAAAAGAGGCATACAACAAAGAACCCTTATCCCCCCCCCCTCTCCCCAAGATATTTTATATCAAAAAGCGTATTAATCATAATCTATTTTGATTTTCCAAAAAGTTAAATATGCATGGTGACTTGTGCATCGCGTTATGATTGTTGTAAAATGTTGACTTCTCTTGACACCAATCGGCATTTTTTTTGTGGGGGAGTTGGGGCAGGAGAGCAAAAACATTGAAATGTCACAAAATAAAAGTTCCGTGACCGTGATGAAGGTGGCTTTGAATCGTTTAAAAGCAGCGAGAGAGAGACGGCGTGAAATGTGGTTACATCGACACACGGCGAGAGGAAGCGAAACGACTTGCGCAGAAATTACGCTCTTTGTTTGACTGCACAACTGAATATTGGTGGGAAATGTGTTATCATTTTTTGGGGGGGTAATTAAAGTACAGTGTATCCACTTTGGTGTATCTTGGGATGCTGGGCAAAGGGGGTGCATTCTGTGCAATGTATTAGGCCCGAGTAATAGTTATATGCAAGTATATATATAAAACAATCTACTGTGCATACTTGAACACAGATACACGTATAAACACACGCACATATATACATGTATATATTTACACGCATTTAGTATCGTCTCAGTTGAAGCATCATCGCCGCTGAACTTTTGGTACAAATGCTGCAGCAGTACGGCCTGGAAAAGCATTACGCATCTGGTCACCACAGTCATAAATGAAGCACTGCATGCAAGGGTTACACGACCACGGCTTTCGCCATCCTGGTGGTTCCGTCAATGCATCATTCACAATGAGCACGATGTGCGAGTAATTGACGCCTTGGGCACGTGGGCAGTTTTGCACGGAAGAGTATAACAGAGGGTTAAGTTCAGTGATTACAAAACCACATCATCACTCGCAAGACCAAGAGGAAACATTGCGCTTTAAATTCGTACAGTATTTGATTAGAGCTCTTTTTTGTGTAAAGCTACAACACAACATATGCATATAATGTAACACACGTGTGCATTTAGGTATATATATAGTCTACACTTGGGTGTACATATACAAGTATACATACATACACATATATATACACACACATACTATGAATATATGTGTAGATGTGACAAGTGGTGGTGGTGTGGTGGTTAACTGCACTACGATCCTGGTGACCTTTGTCCGATTCCCGGCCGTGTATAAGGGTCGCAAGTGTTATTTGCGTGGATCATGGATGTTTACTAGGTTGCCTAAGCCTTAAAAAGTAGCCTTCAACGCAGTGTCTAAATATCAGTTGCCGGTCGCACCAGCCCGTGCGCAGTTGTCAGCCTTAGTAGGACCCTGGTCTCTGTGGAGGATCTTGTTATTAACATTGTACATTTGCAAATGACTAAACATTTCCGATAACGTGAACCAATCATTACTCTGCGGCAGAATATTAATTTCGGTGAAGGATGACTTCCACCGTCATTACCCCTAACCCTCCTTTTTTTTAGATTTAGACGTAATTTTAAAATTATCACAATTCAATTGAATCGTAAAAAAAATACAAATTTGAATGAATCGATGCGTGGTGATCAGAGAACGAGGTGCTGTGGACTCAAAATAAAACAGACGGAGTTTTCCCTTTAATGCTCTCCCACTGCGCATCAAGTGCTTGCTTGTGCCAACATGATGCTCAAGTTATAACAACACCACTAATACGAGTCGTTAACTATTTGCAACCCTCCTCTAAGCTGTATTACCGTAACTTTCAGAACGTCCTTATGCTGAGTGCCAGTGTCAATGTGTGTCTGGAAACACCTAATTTGTTTGGTTGAATGAGAGAGTTCTAACTTGCTGACCCACCCATACTGGACATTTGTGAAAAAGAGCTTCATAGCTCATCGGATTCCTCCTGCAGTCTAAATACAGATTTCGATGATTCGATGCAAATCTGTTTACTTATTCCATGATTAAAGCATAATTATTCAATTTCAGCAGGGTTTTCCTGCAACGTGCCGTGCATGCGGTTTCCTGTAAATGTACCAACTTCACGCACCTCCCTCCCCAAAAAACCTATACACCATAAAAAAAAAAGAGCAGACCTGCTTACGCAATCATGCACATACACACAAGTGCAGGTGTGCATACCACACACGTGGGTTACATGTGAAAATAAATCGGTGTCTAATTGAGCAATGTTATTAATGCAAACATGCGGTATATCTGTAATGTAATCTGAGAAGCCGATTACTTCCACGATTACTGTGGCTGAACGTACAGTAGGTTCGTCGGACACTGAAGACGTTAATCTCGGTGGGCTCTGTGGTTGAAACGATTGACTCACAATTGGAAGGGTGCGAAGTTAAAATCTCGGTCAGGGGTTGAGTTAGCCCAATACCTCTCTGGGTCGATAAATACTGACCACCAAGTATTGGGAAGTCAACAGTGGTTTGTCCTATATCAAGACTGCCTCCCGTCATAGAAATGTGTAATTTCCACCAATGGCTGAAGGTCTCCAACAGTGATGAGCATTGCCCAATGCTCGTAGAGAGACTTCGTTCACCTCAGAAAGTGTGGCACTAAACCGCAAATGTAAGCTCGTTGTGGTATAACCCACATGAATTGGCTTCTGCTGTCCTCCACATTATCCTCAAACTGCCGACAAATAATTTCCCCCTTTTTAGGAGGTTTAGGCATTTTAAAATTCTCAAAAATTAAAGTAATCATAAAAGAAAGCAACTCGTACATGCTGAATAAAAAAAACTGAAAAGAGAGCAAGAGCATTGGATCAGGACTGCAACAGAAGGTGGGGGGGGGGGGGGGGGGGCTATTTATCCCAGGCCTCACACATAAGATGACCTCACCAACGAACCTGTATTTTATGTTGCCAATTAATAAGGGTGCCCCCCAATGTCGCCTTCCAGCCTGGACCTCAAACCCTGGGAGCATCCAGCCACGGGATCAGAATGGCCATGGGATCATCGCTGCCCGCCTTGGGAGTAACGAATTTACGTTAAACAACTAACGTGTTACTCCCCGCCGCAACACACGGGCCGAAGCGGAAGATTCTCAGAAGCTGGTGCTCAGGATCTGCTTGTTTCCCGAGGGGCCGATGAGACAGCCAAGAGCCTGAGCTTGCTGGAGAGCCTGGCTCAGCTGCAGGTTGATGGCGGTGAGCTTGGTGCACGCCATCGTGAGGTCGTGGTTGGAGCCCACCACGGCGAGCGCCCCCGTCTGGCCAAGCGTCTGGTGCCGGAAGTAGATGTTGAGCAGCGTCCGCACCATGTCATCCTCCGAGCGGCCGAATATGTCATCGGGCCACGTAGACCTGTTGCAAGCACGGTGAGGTGGGGGGGGGAGGAGGAAAGATGTTTTTGGTGCATTCAATTGCGTTACTTACGCAATCGCTTAATAATTTACCAATTTGTGAAATTAATTTGACAAGTATATCTACAGTGTGGCCCCCGAAAGTCAGAGCCCACGGGGTTATTTAGTTAATTTTAACACTGGAATAAAAATTTTTAGTTTATTATTTAAGTTCAGATTGCATCTATCATCATGGTTAATATCGATTTGTCTTTGTCCCATGGGGTTATATCAAATCCGTCGTTGACAAAACTCGACCAAGAACCCTGAATGCATTGAGACGAAACAAAATTGATCAATGGTCAAAGATTACATCTGGAATCATAAAAAAATCTACAGAAAATGCATGCATTCATGTGAATGGAAGTAAATTTGTGCATTTGTTAAAATAAATATAAAAATCCTGTGTCCTGACTTTTGAGCCACCCTGTATATATGTATACAAACATCTCTGTTCAGTGTCTCCACATACAGCTGACATGTTTAATAACTAACAAAAATGTGTTATTTGTAAGGGTATGTGCAGACAGAGAATGTCGGTCTGTTGACATAAATTGTTACCCGTAATTCTATTCCCACAATGCTGTTCACTCTTCATAGATGTCTGGCGAGCATGGAAGAGTAGGAAACATTCTCTCAGCAGCAGTGTGTGACCTTTAACCTTTTATCCATAACGCTCTAAAACAATGCATAATACACGTAGGCTTTTGCGACCAATATTATTCATAATAAACGTTTTTGGGTTAGATCGCGTTATTTATAAATGTGTCGTAGCCCTCCCATCACCCGACACGGCCAATCAGTAAAAAAGTGTCACGTTGACAAAGACAAAATAGTTCACTACTTTAGCCCACCGGCGTGTTGAAGAGTGACTCATTTACAAATCACTGCACCTGAATGGGTTAAATGACGTCACCCTGCTGCTGCTCTATTTAAGACCGGGAGCAGGTGGAGGGCTTCACTATTCTGGCAAATTGCCCGATGATGCTGGATGTAATTACCAGTGAAACGTCGTACTCAAAAATTGTAAATGTTGTGGATTCACTCTTCAACACACCGGTGGGCTAAAGTAGTGAACTCTTTGACTTTTGTAAACGTGACACATTTTTTACTGAATGGCCATGTCGGGTGGTGGAGGGCTACGACACATTTAATCAATCATTGTGCTGATCTAATTTCTTTTGGTCTCTGATCACAAAGTAGTACTTCCATATTCGATATTTGAAGTCTTGCAACAGGAAATCTGTTGACTTCCATGAAATATGTTCTAGTTTGATTAACTTGTGTGGGCTGATGTGATTGTCAAATGTGTGCACATTGAATAAAATAGCCATAATTAAGTTACCATTTAGGCAAATACGTTTTTAGTTCAGAACAATCGCTCTGCGGTTTCGATGAGCACTACCTTTGGGAAATCAACATGAATTGTCCTACAGAGAGATTGACCCCTACCAAAGATACGTGGACTTTCGATCTTGGGCTTATAGAGGCCACCTATAGATTTATATTTCACACAAAGCTATTTCAAGCAATTGACAAATACAATATATCTGTTAGCAACGAATAACGACCACCTGAATCATTACTTTGTCATTTATCTTTCTGTTATAAAACAACATAAAACACGTGAACACAAGCTTCATTTAAATATATAATTGCAAGATACGACAAATATATACGTCAACTTTTTTTTGAGAACAAAAATGTCAGTAACGGTATCAATCCTTTCACACAAATGGCATTGTGGTTTTTTTGTCCTTTTCACTGGCATAAGAACAAGCGCATGCTGTGACAGATGCAATTTTCGAGTCACAAAACATTGTGAAATTAGTTTTTTGGGCTCTGAACAGTTACACGGATGAATAGAAAAGAGCGCACAAGCAGGATTTAACAACGCAACACACACTCATTAAACATATCTTCACCAAAATCCATTTGCTGCTCCAATCTAAAGTTCGCAGCAATACACATTTGATTAACGTCATACCGAGAAGAGCAACATTACACATATTTCTTTAAAGTTATGAAGACGATGGATATACGTATGTGTACAGCCACTCTTGTCAATCGACTGGGCAGTGTGAGTTATTCTACCATACTTCACCAAGCTGAACAGTCCAGGTTGCTGAAGGTGGGGAGGATGGGGGGCACATAATGCGAGGACGAGAATGGATTTTAATCTAGATTTAAAGTTTTCGTGACTGCAGGGATCCATACTCTTTGGTTCTTTCCGTAAAGTCACGTAGATATAAAATAAAATAAATTAATTCACGACGTTTCGGGCGCAACACAAGCGTCCGTCATCAGGTGGGACAACCACAGCAAGAAACAATTGCTGAAGTGTTTCTTGCTATGGTTGTCCAACCTGATGACGGACGCTTGCGTTGCGCCCGAAACGTCGTGGTTTAATTTATTTTGTTTTATTTTATACCTACGTGACTTTACCAAAAGAACCAAAGAGTAAGAATGGATTTTACTGCACTACGCTCTGTTACCCAGATAACACGGTGGGGTCCATTCACATCATCCAAGCACAATCCAGACTCACACCTTGCTTAGCTTCTGACATCCGACAAGGTCAGGTACATTCCAGGTGATTTGGTCAAAAGGCAACGGCGTTCGTTCCATTTGAATGCCAGAAAGGACGGGTTGCATCACCTGAAGGACTGAGTGAGGACCAGGGACCTTTTAAGTTCCCAGTTTTTTAGGCACTCGATCAGGCACTGGATGGCCGCCTCGGGGCAGCTGCAGGACCCCTCCGGCTGCTGTGGAGCCTCGGCCCCCTGGTCTCCGCTCTCCGCTCGGCTCTCCCCATCTGCCTCTCCTGTTTGGCTCACGGAGGCCGCCCGCAAGCCCACCCTCAGCCTCTCCATCTCCTCGGACATGTCGAGCAGCTGGCAGGACAAACAACAGAAGTTTAGCCCCAATGAACCCCTATTGAGGCCAGAATGACGCAACCTCAAAACATGTCTCTGTATCGCTTGCATACAACAACCAACTCACAGCAACAACTTGATTACATTTTCTTTTGTTAAACTGTGATGGTGCCTTTTGGGACAGATTTGTGCCAGAATAGTGTTAATGAAAAATAGATTGATTTGACTGAACAATGGTCTGCTCACCACGTAAATGTAGAAGAACATAACAAGTAGGTTTTGCAGCCGATATTTTAAATTAGAATTGAGCTTTTGGTCAGGCCACGAAATGATCTGGCCATATCCGTGATATTAGAAACCGTGCAGCTCACCGTTGAGTTGAAAAACAATCCTCACAACCCAAATGTATCAATGAGACATGTGACGTTGCGCTAAAAACAACATTACGCATCATCAGGGCAAAAATCCAGACAGATTACTAATCTATGCAGATGCTCTGACTGCTCACTCTGACTTTCGCGAGTGTTACATTGACTTTGTAGATGGATGCGGAGCGACCCGCAAGCTCTCGCAGCAGCTTGTGGCTAACAATTGAACAAAGACGGTCACCGCATCGCGCGCTTTCAGATGCGATTCTGCGGCCGTCTGTAACATTCTTCCTTCCGATATTTGGAAGCCACTGGGAGCGATGCACTTTAAAATCTAGAGTGAAAACTATTTTTTATACAATAGCTTTTTGCACTTAGTTTGTTGTCCTTCCACCACACCTCCAATTATCACGGTTGGCTATGTACGATGCCAAATAAGTTAAACGTGCACACACACACACGTAGAAATCGGCAAGACATTTGTTCCATTAGCTGGGAGCTTCTTCAGTTCCTGAGTGACATGTCGTGTACGTCGGTTTCCGAAGAAGCTCCGAGCACATGGAGCGAAACAATCGGGACCGTCGTCTTGAATGGCACTAAGGTACGACCCAAAAAAAACACAAAGACAAAAACCCCCCAGTATAAATATTCTTAGGTGTTTTCGGTAAAGTCACGTAGGTAAAACATCAAAATTAATAAAATAATAAAATAAAAATAAAGATCACGACGTTTCGGAGGCAACACAAGTCTCCGTCATCAGGTGGGACAGTCACAGCCAGATCAGCTGCATCAAGTGAGGCAATGATTCAAGATGTAATCCCTTAAAAGCGAGTTGAGGGGGGAGGAGAGGGGGGGGGGCTCATCAGAATGTGGTAGCCAATGAATGGAAAGTATCGGGAGAGAAGGGCCAAAAAGGGGGGGTATAAACTCAACAGACTGTTGGGGCAAGTTCTATTAGCGAGCACCTTAGAAGGCACGAATGGCACACGAGGGAGGTGAGTGGCGAGCACCTTGCCTGGCTGTCTATCTCCCTCGTGGAAATGTTTTTACACATCGCACTAAGTACTGATTTGAGGCTGATTCGACCTAGGGGAGGTCCAGGACCAGTTCAGATAACCGTCATTGGTGTTGGCCATGAGCGGGAATCGAACCCGGGTTTGACCGATTCGTACAGCAGTGCACATGCTAACCGCTACACTACCGCGCCCCACAACAACAACAAAACGCACACACACCAGAGAGGGCTGCGCCACATCGCCCAGTGGACGGCGCACGCTCCTCGGTGCTTCTAAAAACAAACCGAGCGTAGGTCGCCGCGCATTACCGAGGGTAACGACCGCACGGCTTCCACTTGGCTGATGAGCTTGCAGTAAGCCTGGAAGAGCAGCAGCAGCTGGAAGTGCAGCTTGTAGAGGCGGCGAGAGAGCTCGAGACGCTGGGCGTGCCCGGCCGTGGGCAACAGCGGCCGCGGAGCGAGCAGGGACGCACGGCGGTCGCGGGGGTCCAGGGGGGAGGGATGCCGGGATGGAGGCAAAGATGGCGAGACCAGGGGCCAGGAGTGAAGGGGCAGTGGGGTCCAGAGAGGCAGGCAGAGGCGATGCGGGCGAGAGAGTCGATGGGAGTGGAGAATCGTAGTGGGAGAGATGTTTAGGGTTGTGTGTGGTGGCAAGGAGGAGTTGGATGAGGAGGGAGCAAGTAGGTGCCAAGTGAGAGGATAGTTGGGGTGATGGATAGAGAGAGAGAGAAAATAATGGAGGAGAAAGTGTAACGTGGATAAGACAATGCGAGAAGATAGATTGAGATGGACGATTGCAATCGGAGATCGAATAAGACAATAGAGAAATATTAAATAACGGAATAAATTGAATAAGGCAATTGGAGATGAATAAGAAAATAAAACACAGATGATTCAGAGGACAAAGAAAGACGAAACAATAGAAGCAATAGAAGATTAATAATAAAATCGAAAAACAGATAAGCAAAGGAGGTTTCCGAGTAGGAGATAGAGGGATGTAAGGAAGCAGGTTCAGGAATGGTGAGGAGTTGATGATGGAGTTTGAGTGAGCGATACAAACAGGTAGGGAGTTTGGTTTTTTGATGCACGATGACAGGAGTAGGATGAGAGCAGAGGATTGTGGGAGAGATTCAGAAACAGGAAGGAGAGAGAAAACAATTTTATTATTGGTGAATCATTTACACATCATTCCACACAAACTGAAGTGTCAAGTGAAGTCACTGGAGGCCCTGAGCAAATCGTAAACATTTCACATTCCAATGACCTGGGCCAGCCTCTCCATAGGACAACCACTGTTGACTTCCACAAGTCATTGTATCAAGGCAGGAGGAACACTTTCCTGGATCGACCCCCGACTAGGATTTGAATACAAATATAATGCGTGAGCAACAGAACATAAATGCATAAGAGAAAGAGAAAGCAAAGTGAGACACAAAGACTGTGGCTGCGATTGGTATACGCTCGCGCTGGAATAGAGCGAGAATTCATGCACAAATATTCCCATCCCATCCGAGAGCACACGCACGACAGGGTGCGTGTGAACGAGTGTTACGTTGATTTGGAACGATGAGCAAATGTGGACACGTGTTTGGACTGCAGATTGAACGGAGGAGGTGTTATCATCAGCAACTTACTGCTAGTGTTTCCATTTGCTAAGCAGGCAGGAAAGTAGGAAAAAGGAAGAGGACACACAGAAAGAAATGCACACAGACACGTGAATGAGTAGTGGTTAGAGATGCAAAAACACGCACACACGCGTGTGTGAGTGTGTGTACACACAGTAATGACTTTCAGAAGGTTTAATTGTGTTGGACAGCATGCATGGGTGAGTTCATATTTAAGGTACATTTTGTACAAATGGATGCATTAAGCCCATAACTATTTTAAACAATCTTACCAATCTAAAAAAAAAACATTCCCAGCCACGTTTTAATGAGAAGAAAGTTAATTTCATAAAGGGTACACTCAGCCCATTGATTAACACATACACAGCACTTGAATTTAGTTTTCAGGCTAAAGAGCGTGGAATAATTTATGTTACAGAAATTGCTGAGATTGTGGAGCAACGGGAACTTACAATCCCATACTCATGACAAATAAACATGCATGTGAATATCCCCTTGTCGGCTATACTGAACCTTTTTATTAAATGCAAAGGGTGGAATGGCAGTGCACAGTGGCTAACACACTCGATTAGAAGCCCGGTGACCAGTCAGTAAAACGCTGTGAGTTTACTGGTGAGTAAACCCACAACATTTCACTCCCCAACACACAACCGGTTTTGTTTAAGTGACAAACCTTTTGTAATTGGATGTGTCGGGGTGGTGGTGGGTCAACAACACGTTTATATTTACAAGATCCAACCCAAAATAACTTTTGTTATGAATAATATAGGTCGCGAAAGCCTACGTGTTAAATACCCACAAGTCGACTAGTCCACAGCGGTTCCCAACCCGTGGTGCGCGAGCCCCCCAAGGGGGGATATACAGGCGCCCGCCGGGATGTTTCTCGGCGGTCACGCAAGGGGTCACTCGGCCGTGCCACTCCACGTGCGTGCACTCGCAAATCCTAATCTGTTGCGTGGGATTAGCTAATCGTTGTTCAGGTTTTTTACGTCGTACGTGTTGAGTGTAGAATGTGTTGACGTGTCAATTATTTGAAGTATACAAATAATAAATAGAAAATAAACCACTTGGTTTGTTTAAGTATATATACCGATATGCTGGCAGGGGTACACCGAGTGTTGAGAGGTCAGGTAGGGGATGCATAACAAGCAAAAAAGGTTGGGACTCACTACCCTTGGTACTTGCATATCCTCATCTTCAACCATTGCCTGAGAACATTTGTATTTTTATAGCTTCATAATTTCATTATCACAATTGTACAATGAAAACAATTGTTGCTGCTGTGTGCCGAAGGGAATTGGGCAATTGCACGCAATTATCCAATCTTGCCACAACCGCCTTACCTTTTCATCCAGGGAGCTCCTTTGGTGCTGCATCAACATCTCTGGGTGCATGGCCTCCTCTGAAGGGAATGTTCTCCGACACTCTTCCAGCCACTGCGGGAGACGGGGGGGGGGAAATGTAGCAACAGGAGGCGTCCAATTAGAGATGGCAGTGTCTTCTTGGCACAGCGTGGAGACATCCAAGTCAAAATGTAGGCTTTCATTTATACTTTTGGATTTTGTTTCCCCCATGTACCTTTTTTTGGACCCATTGCATATCCGACAGTTACAGGGGAGAGACCACTCAGCAGGGAGGGGGGGGGGGAAGTGTGGGGGCCATCTGAGGGTTGTGTCCTCTGGGCTAGCGACTCTCCCGACAGGGAATTTTATTCACACGAGGAGGGCACATATTCTGGTTAAGTAGGGTGGGGAGCGGGGAGGAGGGTAGCCAATTGGAGAAAAAAATATATATTCCCCATGCATTTTTTAAGCGCTGGTTTGAGCATGGGTACCATGGTGACAATATGTCAAATACCTCGCCTGGTTTACAGGAGATCGTGGGTTTGATCCCGAGCCTGACGCCTGTTGTATATTTGGAGTTTGCATGTCTCTCTCTCCCCGTGGTCATGCGGATTTTTCTCCGGGTTCTTCGGTTTTCCCCTCCACATTTAGAAACTTTCGAGTATTTGGCTGCTATAAATGTCCGCATGATAAGCCACTTTGTTGACCTATCATTTGTGGCCAGGTCCCTTATGAAAAAAAGCTTTATAAGCTCAGTGGGCCTTACCTAAAAAAATATTTTTAAAATGTTCAGTTTTAATTTAGAGATGCCGCTGGTGCAAGTGTGGCTTATAATGTACACAGCCCAGACGAAAATACTTCCCAGCACAATGTGATGTGGTGTGTTGTTATACACTCATTTTTTCTTTGACACGTACATTTACATCCATACCAATCAAGCACATTGTGCCGAATCTCTGCATTGTACACCACCTGTGCTTTCCCGCATCAAATTGGCACTCTGGGCTGAACTATTTTTTAGCGAGTCGGGGTAGAGGGGGAGGGGAAAGGCAGAATAGGGGTGGGAGGGCGGTGGGGAGGGTGGAAATGGAATGGCAAAGCACTGTCAGGGGTCTGGTGCATGGCACAATGCATTTTTAAAAGGCACCTCCCTCCGTGCACGCACCTGCTTGGTGGTGTCCCGCCGGTTGTTGTATGTGTCGAGGTGTTCCTGCAGCTCAAGAACACTGAACTTCAGCTTCTCCAGCAGATTACAGGACACCAGCTAAGAGGCAGGCACAGCACGGGACATAACATCTCATTCACGTGTTTTTATCCAAACGAATCAGAAAAGTACCATCAAGGATCACAAAGTAGGAATCTGAATTAGGCCTAATTTTGCAGGAGACACAATTAGAAGTGTGTAATGGGAGAAGCTGTAAATGTTGGTGCCGGTATTGAAATAGTGACATAAATAAGTGGCCACTGACTACACAAGCGAATGGTACAACCAAACCCTGATATGTGAACACACATTACTCACATACACGCATCCAAAATACCTACATATGATGTACATTTTATAATACTCTGAGATTTATGTGAGATTCATTACCATCTTTCTGAGACCTGCAATCTTAAATTTTGAATCAGGTACAAACTAAATTTTTTATTTTACCAGGTAAAGCCCACTAAGCTATATAGCTCTTTTTCAGAAGTGACCTGGCCACAAATGATAGCTAATCGGAGTGGAAAACCAGAGGATCCGAAAAAAAATCCACGTGACCACAGAGAGGACATGCAAACTCCAAATATAAAGGCGTCTGGATCAGGATCGAACCCACAAACCCCTGTATGCCAGGAGAGGTAGTAGTTAACATCTCGCCACCGTGGTGCCCCAAATACAGTAAAACAACAAGCCTGTGCGGCAAGAGAATCCTAGGACTCGGGAGGTACAGGCAGATATGTGAAAAGGTTGGATGGGAAAACATCTGCAGAATATGACAGTCAGAACGACTCGCAAATACTGGACTGGAGTGTGGCACATTAAAATGTAACTATCGATACATAGGTGGTAAGGATCAAAGTTACAAATCACGTTTGCAAATGTGTTTGTATCCAGCACTAATCTTCTGCTTCAGGATATATTTTGAAGGAAGGTTTTTAAGAACACCCGTTCGAAAACTAATAATAGACATACACACAGCAGAAGCAGACATCAGCTGTGCGGGTGGATGGAGGGGGTAAAGACAAATATCCCCCATGAAGCCTTAACAGACTTTAGGAGCAAGTACTGTTCATGAGCACCTATGAAGGCTGATATGGCACACGAGGGGGTGGGTGGCCAACACCACGCCCGGCTACCTCTGTTTCCCGAGTGGCGATGTTTACACACTGCACGAGGTACTAATTTGAGGTTGAGTCGACCGAGGAGAGGCCTATGACTGGTTCAGATAATCGTCACTGGTGTTGGCCGTGAGCGGGAATCAAACCCAGGTTGCTGGGTTTGTAGCGCAACGCACACTAACCATGACACTGCCGCTCCCCCACAACGTACATATACGCACGCACACACACAAGCATACACACCACCGCTCCCCACAGCCGAGCGGGTGGATGGACAGGGCAGCAGAGACAGAGAGTGAGAGGGAAACGCACGCGAGGGCGGCCGCTAGCTCACCGTCTCGGCGTCGACAAACACCGTGGGGCACTCCGCACAGGAGAGCAGAACTTCCAGGGAACTCGTGAACTTTGAGCCGATCCCATTCAGCCCCTCACCCAGGTAACCGGCCACGTCGTTGGTCAGCAGGCAAAACTTGCTCTGAATGCTCTGCACACCACACGGTAAATGGAACAGGGTGGGGGAAGGGACGTTTCAATAATTGCAAAACTGTCCTTTTAAGGCAGTGGTTCTTAACCTTTACTGCACCCCTTTGGTTCTCAGCAACGGCATCTTGCACCCCCCAGGTTAAGAACCACTGCGCTTTAGGGGCAACTGAAAAATGTACGTTGCGTTAAATGTCTCCCAAATGCTAGGATGATTACTGCGTGGAATAAGACTGCCACTGCGTCACGATGTTTCTGCATTTAGATTATGTATAGGTTACAATTTACTCCAGAGTTGTAATAGTGTCATATGTTTTAACATAAAAGATGGCAATAAACTAAGACAAACGTAACAGCGCGTTGATGGTTGTGCACAGGCACACATAACCAACACATTAGCCATTCATATTTCATGTGTTTAGTTTTTTAATCATTACAGAACTGCGTCGGCAACACAATTATGGCATCCTAGAATTGGTTGCCACTTGCCCTGATCTTCCCATTATCATCCCCTCTTTGAAGTCGCTTTTCTGGGATATGTATAAGTGTTCCAAGGAAATTGGCCATCCCGTATTTTGTCAATTGCGTAACAACAGCACCACTGGAGACAATGCGTGCACATGCAGTTCTACCCTCTACCGGTATTGTAAGATATTATTCTTTAAACAATATATATGTGACAGTCAATTTAACACAGAGACTTTCGCGACTGATATTATTAATATTTTTTGGGTCAGAACACGTAAATATAATGGCACATTTAAATTTACGCGATCTAACCCAAAAAATCTTTACGACGAACATGTGACGTTTTTGTCACCTTCGAGGTGGCAACCATAATCCTCCTCACGGCTTTGTGATGGCGGTGCTGATGGGGGCGGGGGGGGGGGACGATGTGGACACCTGGAAGAGGGCCGAGAAGACGAGGAAGGTGTAGACGGCGCAGGAGCCATCAGCGTCGGCCATGAGCTGGGCCAGGTGGCGGCGCCACGTCCCCTCGGCGTCGTCGCACGGCGCCGGGCAAAACGCGGCAAGGATCGCCGAGAAGAACGGAGCAGGTGGCGGCGGTGAGGCTGGCTCGGGCTCACTGGTGGAGCGATCGCGACGGGTTTTAAGAGGAAGCAGGGAAGGCCAGGGTGGTGTGGGGGGGGAGAGTATACACACATGAAATCGGTTTCACGTCTGAACGATCTCGCTGAAGCAACGTGACTCAAGCAAGGTTTATGTCAGAGGGGGAGAGCCTGATAGTGGAACATGCGAATTACGAGCACATGTGGTTTAAAGAAAATTACCATAAAGGAGGAGAGATAAATGTGACGGTTACATAATGGTGGTGTGCGAATGCCACCTCTCACACTTCACATGAGTAACACTACTTTTTGGTTCTTTCAGTAAAGTCAAGTAGAAAGAAAATTAATTCAATAATAATAGAATACAACGTTTCGATTGCAACACAAGCAACCGCCATCAGGTAAGAATGAATGAGAAAACAAACATAGTAAACTTGGAAATATAATGCAATACAACACAGAGAGTCGGCTAACACAACAGTCAACACCCTACCTGGTTGATTACGTTCTTCCAAAGATTGCTAAATTTGAGAAAACACAGACATGGAGACACATAGACATACACACAAGCAGAGAGAGATAACACAGAGACCAACAGAGAGACAGTGCCTCTATGTCGAGGCCTTAAATAGAGAGAGAGGGGGGGGGGGATTGGTGTAGAGAACAATGAGAGATTTGTGTGGAATTCCAGACCATAGCAGCCAAACATGACAGCCGCGTGCACTCACTTCCACTGCACCGACTGGCTTTCATCGTCGTCATCGCGGCCGTCGTCGGAGTGGGGGGAGGCGAGGAGGTTGTCGGTAATGTCGTCAGCGGGATGGCCGTCGCACAGGAAGAAGACGGTGGGCTGGGCGGTGAGGGACTCCTCGCTGTCCACGGCTTGCTCCTCCCGCTGGGCACTATCGCAGGCGTCGTCGCAGGCCGCCTGCGGTCAAGAGGTTCCGCGTTTAATTAGTTCGTTCGATTCCCCCCCCCCGCCGCACCTCCGATTAGCACGTACGGCGTGAAAGAAGTTCAACGTACGTACAAACATGACCATTGTCGCCATCCCTCTCCTAGCTATCCGTTAATGCCAATTCAGTTGAAACAAGTAAACCCGTAAAAACTAAGTTTTTCACTCTAAATCCTTTATATGCGTGGCGGCTAGAGTCCTCTCGTCCTCTGGCTTGAGATGGCTGCAATCTATGGGTCAGATGATTGTCTGCCAGTATTAAGCAATTGGTAATTAAATATTTAATTTGTTTTCCCTAAACAGTGTAAAATTTTGGAACAAAAATTTTCACGAAAATTAATTGTCACACACAACGAGTATGTGTGGAAAATGTCAGCTCGATTGGATCACGGGAAGTGGGTTAAAAAACGAGCGAAAGATTTGCACGGTCCTAAGCAAGCAAGCGAACTTAATATAAAGGATTTAAAATATATTCGCCTGTGGAGGACGCGGGGATCGATCCCGCGACCTTTGGCATGGGAAGCGAGGGCGCTACCAACTGCGCTACTCCGCCACGGCCTGTGGAGGGGTTACGCTCTGGGCTCCTATACTGTGACGTTCAGCCAAAGCCATGAATGAGTTCTATTAGAATAAATGTAAAATAAAAAAAATTTGCCTAAAAAGTGTAAATTTTTTTTTTTTCACGAACATTAATTGTCTGTCACAACGAGTCTGTGTGGAAAATGTCAGCTCGATTGGATCACGGGAAGTGGGTTAAAAAACGACCGAAAGATTTGCACGGTCGTAAGCAAGCAAGCAAGCACGCAAGCAAGCAAGCATGCGATCTTAATATAAAGGATTTAAAAAAAGTCAAACTGTCTCCCCGCTCAAATGAGAAAAAAGGGATTTCACTCATCTTTGTTGGTCACAAAAAGGTGGCCAGTGGAAATTCTTTGAATCCTATGGCAGGGGCCCATCTCTCCAACACATGACCAATGTTGACTGTGCACAACATGGTGCTCGAGATCAGTTTATGCTTCTACGCCAAGTATTCCCTTAGGGAAAGTTATCCCAGGGTGAGGTCGAGGAAATAAAATTGTCTTTCTGCCCAAATGAGCATAGGCTCGTACTAATCCCCATAGGTAGCCCTGAGCCAGTTGTGTAAATTAAAAGTTATAGACTAAGCAATCATTGTAAAGATGTCATCAACCACTTTGGGTCATGACTTGATTTGTGTTTTCTTGTCAACCTCCACGTCAGCAGTGTGGGTGTGTGGAGCGAGGTGCAATGCTTTGATTGGTGTAGACCTTCTGCCGGTGTCGGAGCCTTCTCCTACATTAACATTAGCTGCCCCGCCCATCTCTAAACCTTTATAAACAGCTCTTTGATTGGTGGAGACCTACTGCCGGTGTCGGGGCCATCTCCTACATTAATATTAGCTGCCCCGCCCATCTCTAAACCTTTATAAACAGCTTTCCCTCAGAGGCTAACCTCCCTGTTCCTGATGACGACCACTTGTGTTGCGATCAAAACGTCGTGATATTTTTAATTACTTTATTTTTATTATTTTATTGTTATTATTTTTTATATCTACGTGACTTTACCGAAAGAATCATAGAATATTAAAAGTTAATGTTTACTTCCCACAAATTGGCACTCATTTCATGAGCTTAGAGGGATGGACCAAGTATACACCCGAGTAGGATTTGAACATGTAACCATCCGATTGCAAGCCCGTGTTTTTGAACAGCGAGCTACTGAAGAATTGTAATGTATTACTTGCTGTTAGTAACTCAGCTTATTGTAGAGTATAGTAAGTATACTGATGGTGCTATGCAGTTTATACTTTAGTTTTTTATGTAGTTTATACTTTAGTTTTCTACGTGGTTGTTGAGTAACTGCAGCTACATATCATTAACATTCCTTTCCTTTGTTACTGCTAATCCCTGCACCCCCCCTTGGTGCTGCTGATCCTGCATAATGCATGGGCATAATATGACTTTGAAACCCCCCCACCCACCTCCTACGCATTTCCATGAATATGCTAAATTCCTCTTCATATGCACATTCTTTTTGTTAAGGCGCTCTTCCAACGCCAACGCAGCTTATATATAAGCTCCTAGCTTGGTAGTGTCTCATTCTTCACCTGAAGACGGCTGCTTGCGTTGTAGCCGAAACGTCGTGAGAATTATTTTATTTTATTATGTTTTATTTTTATTATTTTATTACTTCCCTTCTACGTGACTTTACCGAAAGAACCAAGAAGACTACTGAAGATCCTCTTGATTAATGAGGGCACACCCACACACTACACACAAAGGCAGTGCTGTTGCACCAACGCTATGCCCCACACTTGCAATGTGTGCCATGCGTACAAACAAGCTTTGAAAACAAGAGCACCGCAATCGATGCACAATTCTAGGCTTGCTTGCATTACTCACAAAGCAAAGAAACAGACATACACAAACACTTTATCTTTCCTTAACCCAGCTCGAATATCCGAAACGTTAAACAGGCACTGCCTCATTTATCACACAGAAAGCTTTAAAGAAAGAGAAGATTAAAATAAGCCTGTAAGCTCGCATGCTATATTTCTATCATATTTAGTTTATTTTGATATCAATCAATTACAATTAATTGGGCTGGGTGGCATTTTGGCAAATGTCCTTGATTCACAATTAGAAGATTGTGAGTGCAAACCCGCAGTGGATCCGACTCATTCAAACTCTGGTGCTAATTATATGAGCACCATTTTCGTGGAAGCCAACTACAGGCAACCTATGGATAGACTGGCCCATGTCATGATAATGTGGAATTTCCACCACTTCCCAAGGGCTGCTGACAGAGAGGAACGTCAACCTATAGCTTGATAGGGCAGGAAGAAATGGAGTTTTTTTTCTCCCCCCATTTAGAATTTATGGCACATGGTGACCTCATGGTGAATGACCGTAGGCAGCTTCCGTAACAGAAGACTACTGTGCTCATTCCTCCACAAATTGATGGGCAGTTGCAGAAATAAAAATAGCATATCCATGCAAACGGACTCAATTGGCTCGCATGCCAACTGCTAGGCCATTCAGCCACCCTATATTTGACAGTACGTCGCTGAATAAAACATAGAATTTCGTTAGCACTTTAAAGCTTCAACGTGTACAATCTGTGCCAATTTTAAAAGGGTAAATAAAAATAGACAACAACCCAATCATTTTATGCCGAGTCATGCAAGCTCCCAGTTCGATTCCAATTTTGTTTGAGCATGCAACTCCGAAAATGTATCTGGGCAGCACTGAAAGAAGCAAAAATGGCGTGGATTAAACGATACCAACCTTTACAGAGGGCTTCGTTGAAAGTTGCAGGTTTTGGAGAAAAATTCTGTAGCTTCAGGTCTTCATTGGGTCGATTAGAGGTTCGTTTGCAAATGCAGCTGGCTAGCTTTTTTTTTGCACCAATCATGCAAGCTCAGAGTTATGCAAGATTTGTATCGATTACAAAGAACCACCACCCGAGGGAAAATCAAGAGGTAGGCAATAGCTTTTGATCGACCCTCATTCTAGGCCCTTTATGCATGGGGTTTGCATGCATACAAAAAATATATATCCCAGAGACCAAAGTCTGAAGATATGATTGGGTTATTTTGAAACAGCCGAGGGTGAATTAAAGGCGCATGGCTATATGTTTTGGCTCCATGGCATATTTGTTTAACACCTAATAACAGATATATTACTTCAAAATACAATTGGCAACATTAATTAAAAACATTGCTTTTGGCACAATGCAATGGTGATTATTACATTTACACTAAAATGTGTCACATTTCAGTCAATTTGATACGTACATATTTTAACAAATTACGAATTTCATAATTGGAACAGCCTAGAGTGCGCAAAAAAAAGCTGTGCAGAATTCAAGTTTTTCCAGCATGCAGGTTGAAGGCAATTTAAGGGACTCCCCACGTCACACGTAATATTCACAGATTATAATGAAAAATGCATCCTAGATTATGCAAAAGAAAAGCAAATCAAAATTTCATCTGCAAAGCTTCCCAAATGCACAGCCCTGAACACCCAAAAAGGAGCGTGTTTATACACAGAAGAGAATTTACACAAACAGACAAACACAGATAGGAAGGGATAGGGTAATGAGTTTATAGAGGCCGAAGCAGAAAGCTATCCAACCCACTGATCGCCCACCTCATGCCCAAGCAGGCTAGCCACAAGATCGCTGCTCTGTGCATCTGTTTGCTGAGTATAAAAGACGTCCTCTCCGGGCAAGTCATGCGCCAACTGTGAAGCACAAAGCAGACATGATGGGGTGAGTGCCGTGCAACCCGTGGGGGCAGGCGCTTTTTTTACCGAAAGACCCAAAGGGTAAAGAGCCATGTTTATTTGTTCCAAGCACCAGACATTGTGCCTCCATAAACTGCAAAAAAAAAGGTTTTCTATGGAATAACAATTCTGTCCAAAGTAGATAATAGTAGAAGTCAAAAGGTTCACATTGTCACAGCCACCACTTATTGGTCCGTCATCCACCTCGGAAGAGCCCCCTGAAGCACCGATGATTCGAGCAAAATCGAGCGCGACAAAAACAACAAGGCCCTCTCTCTGCGAGTGCCACGCACCTGCGACTGGGTGAGGATCTGGCTGACGGTCAGCTGATCCTCCTCGCTCGACTCGTCTGTGTCGTCGGGGTTGAGGCGGTGCAGGCTGGGCGTGGAGCCCGCGAAGTTGGACTCCTGGGCAGCGGGCGGCCCGTCCTTGCCGATGCTGTCGAGCGAGCGCCGCCGCACGCCCCAGTTGAAGTTGTCAACGCTCTCGCCCTGCGGCCGAGTCAAAGGGCGCAAAGGGCAGAAACGCGACGGTGAGAGGGCACTGGCGGGGGAGGGGTGGGCCCTCATTAATTGTAATCACAACAATAACAACTATTTACATTGATAAAGCGGAAAAAAATGCCACCTCAGATTATCACGGTTTGCTACGTATGGTGCGAAACAAGTTCATCATACATACGTACATTTTGGTCTTGCTACCCCTTTGTCACCATGATACCACAATGACAGTCGATCAGTAGGTCACATGTGGTGGGGTAAAGTGTGAGTACTCCCTCCTTCTACAAGACTTTTGCCTCGAGTAGAAGAACTAGGCCAAAATACGCCATAGAGGGGCTCTCTAGCGATCCCTCTAGTGAAGGCCCTTCCACTTCACAAAGCAGTGGCTTCAGCAATATAATGCAGGGCTGCACCTTTACCTTTAACCACCATGCCATGACCTACTCTTTACTGTAGACTAATGGTGTGGTTAAGTAAATCAACATTACTTGAACGCCTGACAGTGTAAAACCGATTCAATGGCAAGCACGTCACTCGCCAACGCTTGTGGCCGTGGACTGCATCTAATTAACGTGTATGGTGACGTCACGAACCAACCTTGAAAGCGCGGAGGCAGTTAACATAACACGGGGGGGGGGCGGGGGACAGCGTGACAGATGCACTTTGACAAACGCAACTCGGCAGAAAGCATGCATCACTTGCGACTAGACGGCTGACCGAAACGTGAGCTTACCTGCAGCTCCTGCAAGTCAGCGGGAGCGAGGAGAGAAGGGACCGCGTTATTACGGAAACGAGGAAGTGAAACAAACGGCCCAAATGGAACCGAGCATTGACCACAACGAGGAAGTACGAAAGACATCCAATTCTTTGAGAAACTGAATCCTGCTCATGTCCCTCAACAAATGTTCCCAGGTCATCGTCATGATCATCGTCGTCGTCATCGTCGTCGTCGTGCACCATTCCCTCTTGGATCAAATCTCTTATTATATTAGTGCAACTTTTTTGTTCAGTTGCAGCTGCAATGAAATGAATTATTTCACCTACCAAAATATAATTGTTCCAACATTTCTTTCAAAGCTCTGTCAGAGCGTGTTTCTGCCGTAGCAGACATCCTGTGGCTAACTGTATCTATAATAATAAGAAAGCACCTTTCATGTAGAAGTATCTCAAAGTGCTGCGCATAAAAATAAGACTACACACACAAGTATAGATACAATCTAAGTATCTAGAAGAGTACTTTTCGTTAAAGTCCATTTCACTGCCTTGAATTATAGGCTTCAAATAATGTTTGACTTCCCATATAAATTTCTCTCTGTTTGTTCTATAATTTGGTCCCTGCAAATTCACTCATAATCATCGATGATCACGCCTTCGGTATGTAATTTCCATCATTGGCTAAAGGCCACCTATGGAGATGAAATTATTCAATGGAGATGAACATTATTCAATGCTTATTCAAGCATGGAGACCGTAAAATATTGGGAAACGTGGCTTAAAATAATCTATATGACTCGACAGGTTGGCAGCAACAGGCCAGCACGCCTTGTTAAAGAAATACCACAAGTGGAATCTGGTAGAAAACACCGTCGTTGGATAAATCAAACCGAGTATGTAGCACGCACAGGTGAGAGATTGCCAGGGCTATCCCAGTGCGTTTGCGGGTAAATAACGCTGCAAACATGCTTGCCTTCATATGCATCGTGAAGATGGTTTCAATCTGACAGCGAGTGTGGGTGGGAACGTCCTATCGACTGTGAGAGTAGTTTAGTCCCCCGTCATTCTGACTTGCTCCATTCCTTGCTGTGGCTTTCAAGAATTCTTCCCGTGCAATGCATGTTTGACCGGCACATAAGCAATGGTGGAATTTCTATGCATTACAACCCAAGGCTGGCCAACTCGCATGGCGGTGTGCCGCGACCAGGCTTTTCGGGACGGGCAGGATCGCCGCGGGGTCTGCGAGCGGGATGCTTTGCGCCTACAGCCGCCCCGCCCCACCCGTGCTATGGCATTCGTCTGTGAAAACTACTAGACATCTGTGCAAAAGAGCTTTATAGCTCATCGAATTCCTCCAGTATAAATACATATTGTGATTCATAACCTACTTTTAATGTGGGCATCGAACGAAGCAAAAGTAAGCCAAAGTGTTTCCTTGCACAAACAGTGGGAGAGTGGTCGTCTGATTCTTGATGCTCAGTCGCCAACATTCCACTTTCTCATGACAGGAGCCGGTGCATCCAAAGTATGATCACTGGCCGTAGTCAGAAAGACATCGGGATACATAAGTTGAATGGCACTGAGAAAATGTAACTAAATTAAACTATACAGAAGAGGCTATAAACATTTTGAGTCTGGTCTAAAAAGCACCGATTGTCAAGGCTGAGCTGACTTAAGTTGCCACATACTGTTCCAGACAACGAGGCTGCAGATGCAAAACCTTAGTTCTGCTGTCCTAAGCTCAGTGGATTTCACACAGAGCAGCCCTTCTCCATAGCAGATGAGTGTAGCTTTTGTGATGATACATATGGGTGGATGGACTGGTTTCTCTTTGCTATGAAATCGAGCGCTTGCGGACCTTGATCTGGACTCTCTCGAGCATGGGTAACCAGTGCAGAGCGACTTCAAAGGGTTTAAAGAGCTCGCAAGACGTGGGGGCCAGGCAAACGGTTCTGGTTATGAGGGTGTTCTTGAGACACTGGTGGCGTTTGCCAAGGTGATTGTTGACTCCGTACAGCAGGAAGTTGAGATAATCAAGGAATGTGGAAACTTGACTACAAGCGACGGTATTGCAGCATCCTTGTCCGATGTCACATGGAGCTCAGGTGTGGTGAGCGCATCACCGGATTAGCGCGCTGATGCGTGATTCAAAGGGGCGAGACGTCTGTCGAGTGTAACACCCAGCAACTTGAGGTTGAAACGAGTTTCTACGGAGCTTGAGACGATAGAAACTGGCACATTCAGACGTCGTAACTTCTGATGAGAAGCAAGGATCTTGGCCGCGGACTTTGAGGGGTTGAGGAGGAAACTAACAGTGCTTGCATCACTCTGGGACGTTTTTTTTGTGTTCCGTCGCGGTGCTGTCCGGCACAATGCGAAATGCCTCACTCCACATGTTGGCAGTTCCTGAAGAAGCTTCTAGCACGTGGAGCCAAGCATCTGACATCATTTTTTTATTTAAAGCTTTCCTGACTGCAGGGATTCATATTCTTGGTTCTTTCAGTAAACTCACGTAGAAGGGAAATAATAAAATATTACAAATATAAAACAATCAAATTCTCACGACGTTTCGACTGCAACACAAGCAATCATCATCAGGTGTGAAATCCATAGCATGAAATTTTGAAAAAAGTGGCGGTTTTCCCTTCTACGTGACTTTACCGAAAGAAGTGCCAAACAACATTCGGGTACGACCCGAAAACACATCATCGACGAAACTGTAAGGGGAAAAAGCGTTCAAACCTTCACATGGATAGACCAGGCACCTACTTGTTTACCCTTTATCCTACAGGCACCTCGAGGGCATGTGTCCCATGTGGACTCCACTGCGGCACAATTACCCCACCGGTACTGCACACCAGCCAAATGTGTCGCCGATACCGCCGGTCGGCCAGACGCGCACAACGCAGCCCTCACCTCCACGTCCTCGAGCTCCACGTCCAAGAAGTCAAAGTCCTTGAAGACGCCAAACTGCTGCTCGCTGGTCGTGTCTTCCGTCGACTCGATGTCCTGGCTGCCGGCCTCCTCGCAGCTGCCGCCCAGCCCCCCCTGCTGCTCCAGCAGCTCGAGCTCCCCGTCGGACGAGAAGATCACCTGTAAAGTCACCCCAAGCAGGCCCGAGCATGTACGTGTCAACGATGGGCCATGTGTTCATGTACATGAATGGGTTAATGCTCATGTCAACGAATGGGCTTGTGTTTATGTCAACGAATGGGAATTGTAGATGTTAACTTTTACCATAGAGTTCACGGTCAAAGGTCAAACAAGTTCACCTTGAAGTGTATCTTGTAATGCGGTCTCATACAGAGTCCAATTGTCTCCCTGCTCGAATGAGTAGGGCACGGTGCTCGTGTTCGTTGGGGGCCCTGAGCCAGTGGTTAAGAGTTGCACACAGCTACGGTGGGGTCAATCTAACCACATGATGGGTGCTGTTGACTTGCACACCGACCCAAGGATAATAAATCTACAACCCTCGCACTCGTGAATCATGTGCTCTTATCAGTGCCACGTGGCCACATTAACGAATTGGAGCCACTACGATGGGTGCAAGTGTTCACTACTCACAGATGGGTTCTTCGTCAGGCCAACCTTTTCACCGCAAAGGGACAGTACGTTCACCAGTCGCTCTCGTACCCTCCGCTGTGAAACAACGCCAGGCAAAACGCGTGAGGCCGGGGCTGTTAAGTCAACACTTTGACATAGTGCAGAAGTATCTCACTGAAGCATTTAACTATACGACCCTGGCATTATATGTATTCCTTTTAAATGCCTCGTATTTTCGCATGAACTTATTCCGCATTGTACCTAGTGAACATGTGCTGATCGGAGGTGAGGGGGAAGAACAAGGTTACGTTGTTTAAATTTGTTGTATGTTTTTTTTCCCATGTGCCTGTTGACCCCCTCCACCACCTCTGATTTCTGCACCTGATTGGGTATCGTGTTTGGGTTCAGTTATTAAATAATACACATTACAACTAATCATAACAATTAACTGATTACTATATATCCTCTTATCACAGCAGCCCTTTGGCCCACTTCAGCAATTGTTTCTTGCTGTGGTTGTCCCACCTGATGACGGATGCTTGTGTTGCGCCCGAAACGTCGTGATTTAATTTATTTTATTTTATACCTACGTGACTTTACCGAAAGAACCAAAGAGTATGGATCCCTGGAGTCACGAAAACTTCAAATCTAGATTGATTACTAATCTATTTTATAATTACAATACCCCCCCTCTCCGCCTCTGATCTCTGCACCTGATTGGGTTAAATGATGACATCACCCTACTGCTCGATTTAAGACCGGGGGTAGGTGGAGGGCTTCACTATTCTGACAAATTTAAACAAAACGCGATCTAACCCAAAAACCTTTATTATGAAGAGATATGATTAGTGGGGAATAATAATAAGTGATCTGGCTTGGTGGCAATTTGGTTCAAGTATTTTACTCTTATTCTTACGCATCGCTTGCCTTATTTGCCTCTTGGGTCTTTGGGTAAAAACACGTAGCTATGTTCAAAGAAAATAACAAAAAATAACAGAAAAACAACTGGCCCCTGTCACAGAAACATGGACTTTCCATTAATGGATTAAGTCTTCCAGAGGAAATAAGCACTACTCCCCATGGCTTCCTTGAACGTGGGGACGACCTTGACCTGACCGGAATGATCACTCTAAACATGGTGGCGACAAACGTCCCCCACTAGGTGCTTCCTGCCAACCTGCGACAGATGGGGTCTCTTCCAACCGACGTGGAGCAACGTCCCGGTCCCAGTTCCGGATCCGGCTCCCGATCCGGACGAGGCGGAGGAGACGCTGCGGCTGACCGCCATGCCACGCAGGAGCCCGTCCGGCCCCAGTCGACCCAACCGATCGTCCCGCCGCTTCCCAACTATCGGGATCTGAGGTTTGCGAGCCACGACAAAGACCCCCGTGTAGCCTTAACAGACTGTTGGGGCAAGTGCTGTTAGCGAGCATCTGTGAAGGCTGGACACGGCACACGAAAGGGGTGGGAGGCCAGCACCACGCCCGGCCGCCTTTGTCTCCGGAGTGGTGATGTTTTTACACATCGCCCTCGGTACTCAATTAAGGCTGAGTCGACCTAGGGGAGGCCCAAAATCGATTCAAATAATCGTCACTGGTGTTGGCCATGAGCGGGTATCGAACTCGGGTCGCTGGGTTCGTAGGGCAGCATGCCGCGCGCTACCGCTCTCCCCGTTAAGAGAAAAATGCGCACACACACGCGCGCGCGAATGAACATGCATGCATACACAAACATTCAGACGTGGAGCCCCCATTGCCCAGAATGCGCCCAATCTCAGAAGATCCTGAAAGTGCTTGGATGGGAGACCACCCATGCATGACAGCTGTTAAAGGCGATAGATTGTGAGGCTGTGTCGTGGGCAACAGAGAGCTGAGTGGAAAAAAGTTAACTGCTATTGCATTTCTACTCAACGCAAAATCTTACTAACCAGCAGCGGTGTGAAGTATGGTCAAATATCCCCCACGACCCAAATCGTGTGGGGGAGGCCCTCATCAACAGCGGACTAACAATGGCTGTACATTTACACGAGTACATGTACTGATCAAGATCACTTGAACCCACTTGCTGCACTGCCACGTATCGGTGCCTCACAGCACGGGGAGGCAATAGATTATCTCGGCATACGACGATCTCGACATGGTGCAAAGACATCGTGAATGCACACTCACCTCTGTGATGTCAAACTGGAACTCCAGGGTTTTTCCAGGCAGACCCTTGTAGGCATTTCCCGCAACAGAGCTGGAGGCACCAAGGCTGGCTGATCGGCCAACCACAAGCTTTAGGATATTGAGTGCCTCTTTCCAGTGTGGGCTCTGGGGATAATCAGAATAATAATATACGTTATTTCTATGATGCTGCTATGGTGTAATGGTCACATGAACCATTGGACTTGCAATATAGATGTCAGTTTCAGTTTCATGTATTAGGTATAACCCTGTGAGCTATACAGCTCATGACTCGGGTGCAACCGCAACAAAACAAAAACATGAACAAGAAACATCTTCAAGTGACTGCACGCAACAGAAAAATCCTGGAAAAAACAGCAAAGTCTTCCAGAAAAAACACCGTATTTCAACGCTGTGTGCAAAAAATCCCAGTGGGATGCAAGTCAAACAATAACAACCATGTCACTGGTTCATTCTCTTGGCACAGCATTGGGCATATTTCTTATATCCTCCAGCCCCTGTTTACCCAGTGCTGTAAACAGTTAATCAATCGGCAGGGGTTCCATGTGGTGGTGTAGTGTGGCTACTCCCACCCCCTCTCAAGTCATCTGGTCAGGGTGGAAGAGTAGGCCGAATGCTCTCTGTAGCGTCTCTCGTGCCCACAAATCAGTGTTCTTCACTCATTTTCAGAGGGAGGGGCCGTTATCACCGATAAGATATCTTCAGTGGGAGGGCCGCCACACTGCCTGAAAAGGGGTGTTTTCACCATTTGCGTATTGTGTCGGGGGCCGCACGTAAGGGGACGCACTAAAGGCCACCAGGGGGCTCCAAGTGGCTCGAGGGCTTTGCAATGAAGAACACTGCCACGAATGGAGGGATCGCTCGCCGACATTGGCATCAGTAAGCGAGTGCAGGGCTGCACCTTTACCTCCACTTAATTTCACTAGGCGTGAACTCATAGGGATGACAAGTCTCTTCTGCAAGAGTGATCTGGGTCAACGAGTAATGGGCAGGGTTACGCATCTCAAGGACTATACACACACAGCGAGAGAACACGACAGCTTTAAACTGCCTGTTCACACGTGCAATACAGATGACAAGGAGTTAAAGGCATATTGGTAAAAAATGTATTGTACTCACAACTTAAGATAAAAATACACTCAAAATTGGTGAGCAAGGTGGGTGGGGCCAGCTTCTACCAGCTACCAGCGCTGTCACGGGTGACCGACTGCACATTTCCAATTCAATATGAATGCCAGCCAACTCACAAAATAATGCTGTCAGTTTGCCGAAGACAGTAAAGGTTTTAAATTGATAGTTTAGAGTATTTGGCCGCTATAAATGTCCACGTGATGAGCCACTTTCGTTGAGCTATCATTTGTGATAGGCGGGTCACTTATGAAAAAGAGCCATATAGCTCAGTGGGCCTTACCTCGTAAAATTTTAAAAGTTTCTAGTTTTATAGAAGTAAACAAAATTGGAGCACAACACACACATATGGCTCATTACTGTGCATTCAAGATTAAGTCACTGTGGGTGAGAGTAAGCATGACAGATGTTGGGGGGGGGGTAATTTAGACAACAGCGATGGTCGCGAAATATCTTCGGTCTGCACGATCCTACATTTACTGCGAGACGAGGGAAACAACACAAAAGCTAACCGCCGTTCCGAGTGTCACCTTGGAGATCTCCCTGCCGGTAGTACGCATACCTGGACATACTTGCTGACGACCTTCATGACTTCAAGGTTGAAGTGCTTGAGGGGAGCGGCAGTGAGCTCCACTTGGCTGAGGAGGCTGTGCATTGTGAGCAGGATGGAGCGCTGCATGCTGGCCAGACCCTTTTCCAGCAGCTGCCGGCACAAAGACAAAGATCCCCCCCCCCGTGTAGCCTTAACAGACTGTTCGGACAAGTGCTGCTAGGGAGCATCTCTGAAGACCGGCTGTGGGCACACGAGGAGGGGTTGGGTGGCCAACACCATGCCCGGCTGCCTTTGTCTCCTGAGTGGCAATGTTTACACACCTCACCAAGTACTCATTTGAGGTCGAGTCGACCGAGGGGAGGCCCAGAACCGATTCAGATAATCGTCACTGGTGTTGGCTGTGAGTGGGAATGGAACCCGGATTACCGTGTTCATAGTGCAGCTTGCTAATCGCGACACTACCTGCTACACTACCCGCTCCCCAATGCCGGTACACACACACACACGTATTACGATCCGTTTAGCCTCATGCATTCTAGGGGTAAGGGATGCCGCTGTGGTGTAATGCAACATAATAGTTAGCACAACGGACTTGTCATAGTAGGTCACCGGTTCGATTTCCCGGCACAGCGTATTAAACGATGGTGCAAGTTTATTAAGTCCCCCACCATGCGCCTCTGTGCACCCAGAAGTACGAATGGGCGATGCGAGGTATGGGCATCGCGTATGAATGATGTTGAACTTGTTTCGCACCGTACGAATCCAACTGTGCTAAAATCGGAGGGGCGGATATATAAGGAGACAAGCGCAGACGCGTGCACGCACACATTGGGGACATCAATTCCTCCTTTTGGCAGCTTGCCTGTTGCGGCGCTAAGCGTGGCTACTCTCTCACCTATTTCCAAAGCATCACGCCCAGCGTGGAAGAGAGAAGGCCAAAATAACCACCCCAGTGGGGACCCTTCCACCAGCAGTGGCACGAGCAAGAAATTGCAGGTGCTGAGCACCTTCGCTTTTTGCCGTTACAGGAGGCACGGGTTTGTGAGCGAGCACCCAAGGGTAGGCACGACAGATGGTAGGGTTGCTGAAGGCCCATATTACGACAAGCCACCTTTGTCTCTCTCCGGGGCCGAAGCTTTACGTTTTGCGCTGATGAGTTATTAATGGCCCAGTTGACCTTGAGGTCCTGCACAGGTTTAGACACCACTTCCCATTGATGTTATCGTTGGCTGGAAACGGTGCCTGGTTTGCCAGGTTAGTAATGCGCACAAACCTTTGTGCCACCCCTCCCACCAAAACACACGTACACACGCGCCGCACACTTGCACACGCACACACACACACATCATTTCATTCGTCTTGTGCAATTAATTTCACAATTAAACATCCATCCATTGAGTAAACCTGCAGCGCTCAATTATGCATTCCTGTGTTGTCTTTTTTTTAACCACTAGAGCAGAGTTTTGCCTAAATCACGGGGCCTTTTCTCAATATCCTTTAAGGGTCTTTTATGTATCAACTATGATGCAGTTGTTAGCTGTGCTTATAAACGTTCATTGCTCATTCTATCTGAAAAATAAACCCTTGAAGCAGATCTTGGAAGAATTAAGCATACCATTAAATGTTTATAGAAGGATATTTATGCATTCATTGGTGATTAGACTTAAACATTAAAGCTACACTCAAGAACATGACTTAGGCATGGGTGACTGCCTGATATTAATCCAGGATGTCAGCAGGGCTGCATTAGTCTTCTGCAAAGGACCCATGCTTAAATCATTTTTCCATAATAAACTTAACTTTGAGGCACATTAATTGCAGTCTCATATTCTTTAGGTCTTTCGGTAGTCTCATGTATTACAGTTTCTTAAGTCTCACGAACAAACATCTCACAAAGTGTAAAGCAAATACGCATATATAATAAGGCGTGAAGCATATGCGCATATATAATATTGTCTGAGGGAGCTGCCACGGCATAACGGTTTAAACACTGGACTTGCAATCCCGAGCTTGACGGTTCCATTACATCGTCCGGCGCACCAGTTAAAACTATGGAGTACGTTCCTCACATCACCTCCGCCTCTTTCTACTCTGCAGTATCACACGGGCACAGCAGAGTCGGGTGCTCCGCAGCTCCGCGTGTGGTGAGGAGGAGTGTGCTTACACACCCCTCTTCCAACACATTTGGTCAATGTGGAAGAGTAGTCCAAACAACCTCAAGTTCAGTTCAACACGTAGGGCTTACGTGACCAATATCATCCATAATGCAGGTTTTTTTGGGTTAGATCGCGTAAATATAAATGTCGTTAAATCTCGCTGCCGTCTGATGATGCTAGTTGTAAATTACTGGCGAAACGTCGTACTCAGATTGTAAATGTTGTGAATTTTCTCTCCAACACACCGGTTGTACTGTATTAGTAACGAATTGGTATGTTCTGTTTACGTGACAAACCTTACTGATTGGCTGTGTTGGGTGGTGGCGGGTTTAAAGACACATTTATGTTTACACGATAGAACCCAAAAAAAACTCTGTTATGGACCCTCAAGTTCACTCGAGCAGAGACCTTTTCCCCAGCAGTGGCGTGAGCAAACAATCTCAGGACCACACCTCGACAATTCTGTCTTAACCCTTTCCCCTTTCCAAGACGTCTCCAAGTTGCAGGGATGGTCCTGTTCACCGCTGAATCTCGCAACGGCCAAGCGGTTCAGCGTTAATTATATTTAGAGAGGCGTAGCGCCATTACTCTTAAAAACACTGTACTCACCGCAGAGAACTGTAGCGACACGACCGCACTCTACATGATAGCTGGCGCCAAACTGTGCCACGCCCTCCCGCATGGCCTTGTTAGGTGCCTCGTTACCGATAAGGTTATTTTGTTGGAATTTTTCTTCCGATTCTATTCCGATCACATACACGTACGTACAAATACGTCATCGGAACTTGTATGTCACCGGAACAGAATCCGAAGACTGATAACGTACAAGTACGTCGTCGGAACGGGAAAGGGTTAATAAGGTCTTAAGCATATATATGGTGAGCATCCGTACGACAGTATTTCTGTGCTGGTATAGAGGAATGCTTCGTCACCTCTGCCAAGTAGCCCACGAGGTTGAGTGTGTAGTCGCCATAGGTGTCGTGGATGTAGCAGCACACCACACTGATCCACACCGTGCAGTCGCGCGTGTACGTGCGGTTGCTGTACATTGACATCACGTGGGCTAGGTTGGGCAGTTTCGTGGTCTTCTCTTCCAGGCACACCTGCACCCACAAACGGCCAAAGTCATTTTGTTACCAGAGCTGGAATTTTGACATCGCCAGTGGAAGAGCAAAATGTAACATAATGGGTTTTGTACAGTCATTGGTAACTGGACTGAGACCACTAAATCGCTCCACTCGAGAACAAACTTTAATCACTGGCGGCTGTCGGGATTAAAATCCAGGATATCTCAACGGTTCCGGCTCATTACTTAACCCCTTGAGAGCCACCTGGCCCGCTCGGCACAGTCGTGACAGGCAGGCTTTACCTTCGCTATTTTGTCAGCGCACTCTTTGCAGAACGGTGTGGGGTTGTCAAAGTGCAGCACCAGATGTGGCAGGAGGCACAGGACGTTAAGTGGGAAACCTGCGATGCGCACACACAAATCGCGCGCGCACACACAATCGCACGCAAATCGCAAATGAGTGGAGAAAACGGCCGCAAACCCACTCGGTGACAACGGCACACGGGGTGTCTTCTATGTTGATTTGACAAGTGAGCAATGCAGGGCATACTTATGATACTTCCTCGCAGGAGTTACTGGGCAATTGCGGTTAATAAAATAGTCCAAACTGTGATAACATATGGACTACTAGCTGAAGGCAATGCACACCAGACATAATCACTACAAGTTGCGGATAGCCACTTGGGTTTGGCTGAGGGTGTTCCTCATTATTTAATAAACACTGGGGCTAATTATGCGTTGAGGCTTGGGGCTGCTGCTGCATGCACTGCACGGCAGTCACGTTGTTCAAGGAGGGACAGTGATGAGAAGATCTCAGCATGGGGCAACAATGCCAAGTCAATGAGAGGCACACTGGCAAAACCGCCAATGCCTCTACCCACAGCATCGTGTCGCTATTGAACCATAAAAGTGCATCATCAAAATGTTTAACTTTGTAAAACACCTTCATCGCCAATCGCACAGCTTGGGTTATCTATCATAACAAGACAGGCCTTTTAATTCACTAGTTTCTTTTTTCTTATATTTTCCCTCCACGTAATGGCTACCTATCTCATTGCCTTCCTAATATTACTACAGGTGACAAGATCCAAACACCGCAGTGATGGTGGAGATCTGTAAACCAAAAAGCATCGGAGCTTGTTCACACCTGATGATAGAATTTTTTTTCAAGTCAAACGGAAACGTATCATGAATGTCCCTATGTACAAAATAAATCAACGTGAAAGCGCTTGCGTTCCGTACATGTTGTCGAATAAAAAAACACAGCACAGTGCCGGAACTGCTGTGCCACACCTCCCCCCATCGTTGTACTGTAATTTTGCATAGTGTGGTAGCTCTGTGATTATAGAGTTTAACTCACAAAGAATAAGCTCAAATCCACATTGAGGGGTCAACTCAGCCCATCATGCCTTTGCAATTAATAACGAGGTGTATTTCCCTTGCACCTCCGTCAATGTATTGCTCTGGTAACTATCTTCCGGAAGATGATTCTCAACAACTCGATCAGGGGTCAGCCACCAAAGTAACAAGAGCCACTTTTTTAGAATTGGGTGAAAAAACCCCCTAAATATTTCAAGAGCCGCAAATTCACAGTGGTGGTGAATACAAGACGGTGGTCACGAAGCAGCCCTCAAAGAGCCGCATGCGGCTCCGGAGTCATAGGTCGCCTATCCCTGAACTAGATTAAACCACAGCTTCCAGAAGACCATGAAGTCTCCGGATTATAAGATGCACCCCCCACCAACCTTTACCTTAAAATAAGGTGTGTTTTATAGTGTCAAGAATACGGTATATTCTTGTTACAGTATGTGTAAATGTAAGGTCAAAGTATATTGTTTTACAAGGTGACCATGGACAAAGGTGAAGCACAGATCGCAGCCCTCACCTGTTGCCTGGGAGGCGTCGATAACGGCGACACGGGAGACGGGAGTGAGGCGGCTGAGCAGGCGCGTCGTGAGCTCCACAGTGGCCTGGGACGTCAGCCCCTTGAGCAGCAACAGCTGCAGGCCTGGGAATCCGGCCCACCGCAGCTGGGCCAGGGCCTTCTCCAGGCGCTCCCACACCTTGCTACTGGCTCCATCATCCAGAGGTAGCGCGTGGCCTGCGTCAGTGGTAGGAGCCCGATGAGGGGTGTAGGGACGGAAAAGTGATAATTTTTTTTTTACGAACTTGATCTTATTTTTTTTGCATACGGCATTTGAAAACTGACCGACAAGGCCGCAAAACACAATCAAATCCCGATGACGTACACGTACGGCATTGGAATGGAAAAGGGTTAAAAAAAAAACAGGACGACCAATGTCCAGGAAGTATTAACAGATATCCCAGGACAGTGACTTCAAATAGGAGATGTTCCTGGGAAGACCAGGGCAAGTAGCAACCATGTGTAGAATTCCATTCTTGTATTCCCAATGGAGTTCTTAAAACTAAAAAACTAAACTATGTTTTATTTTACCAGGTAAGGCTCACTGAGCTATATAGGTATTTTTAAGAAGCGACCCGGCCACAAATGATAGCTCAATGAAGTTGCTTCTCATGTGAAAATTTATAGGCCGGGAATCATATGCAGCTCTCTCGGTTCAAGTTACAATTTGCCAATCACTGCTCGAAAGCCCATCCTCGATCGTGACTTAATCGTTGTCAAAATAACTGCCACGCTGCTATGGTGATGACAGTCATGGCCCCTGATGCCCAAATTAGGTAATTATTTTATCGACCTTGGAATTGGGATGAAGGATTGGGTCAACCTTCCTATAAACTTAAATTCGGTCGTCCATTAATTGAACAAAATATATTGGTTTGACTACCATGGGTCGAACATTATCCACATATTTACCACGTGGGACAATTCTGCACACTGATATGTCGATGAGAAGTTACTTCAAGGGCTCTCAAAGGTAGCTTCTGTATTAGCTGCTTCTGTGGGCTGTTCCGTAACATTAATGTCATTATTACAAAGCTTGTTCACCCAGGGACACGAAGGGTTACAACTACTCTGGCGAAAAATTGGCTGGATTCTTCGTCTCATGCTCACCCAGCAGCCTTTCGAGAAGGCGGAGTCCCATGAGATACTCGCTCTCGTAGTCCGACTCGAGCAGGGCACTTGCCCCCCAGAACATGACCGTGAGCAGAGCCAAGGGGTCTGATGGCGGCGTGCCTATCCCCGATCCCGCTCCCGACCCCGCCACGCCCCCCGCCGCCCCTCCGCCATCATCGGCAAGCGAGGTGAGGCTGCGGGCCTTGGCGAGGGGGCTGCTGCGACGGACGCGCTCGTACGGGCGGTCCAGCGTGATGCTGCGCCACTCGGAGCCCCCATCCGCCAGCAGCGCGTGCTTCTGCGAGGCCGAGTTGCTGCGCTTGCGCCTGCCCATGCCGCTGATGATGTTGCTGATGATGATGTTGGGGCTGGCGCTGTGGCAGCTCGACAGGCTACCAGTGCGGATGGGGCTCGAGCTGAGATGCAGCTGCCCCGTGCTGCAGCGGCTCGGTTCCATCTTGGTGGAGAGCGCCGGGTCCAGGGAACTGAGCAACAGAAAGGCGATAAATGAATGTAATACATCTCTGACGTGCGCTCAGGTCGTACCGTTCCTGCACGAGTTCTTAAAGAAGCTCGCAGCGTGTGGAGACGTCGGATATCATGCAAACAACACGTGGTACAACCCAAACACGCATAGTAGAGAACTTTATAGTACAACCATGAAAAATTTACACAGTAGGAAATGTAATATACTACATTTTCACAGGGAAGTCTCGCCAAGTCTCAGTTTATTTTGTGAGCAGGTTTCCGCATTTAAGAAGTTTGCGAAATTATTCTTCAAGGACATTTTTTTTTTTAAATATCACATTGCTCTGATAAAACATAAGCGTAAGAAGAGACAGCACTCCAAGGGCCAGATTCTCTCATTGATGAAAGTTCCCCTTTGCCATAATTTTTTATAAACATTTGCCGATGTCCCGATTATGAATAGAAAAAAATAATAAATCAACATTACGCATGTATTGCCTTTCCTAAAATAAAAAAAACTTGGGCCGACCATGCCGATGGGTTTCTGACCATTGGATGTCTTGCCATCGCTGGCCACCTCGTGTCCTAGTGGGTTATGGGAGTTTCACCGCACCTTATGAAATCTGAGACCTCTAGCAACCCTTCCTCCAAACGCACTGCATTACAAGCATGTTCAATAATTAATTACCAACACTGGATTACTTCTCCTTTTTCTTAACACATCAAACTGCATACCCCACTTTACAGGATGCAGGCGTCCTACTGGGAAAGAATGAAAACTCCAATATAAATGCTAATTTGCATTGATTGGCTCAGGGCCAGGAACAGAGATGAGTGTCACATGGAGGTGTTTTCATGCCCATTTGTGCATGGAGACATTTGGACCAGACCTGCCATCCCATTAGTAACATTTCCAATGTTATGGCAAAGCTTGAGGCATGTTCTAATTTTCTATTCCAGAAACTACATCCCGAAGCAGAACCATACACCACGGTTGGGGGGGAAACCCAGACGTTACATCACCATCTTTGGCCGAATGTCTTTTATGATGTGTCATTTTTGCTGAGCGCTACTTAACGCCACTCACCCAGAGAATGCAATGAGAAAGTTGTTAAGTTTGGAGCACTCCGCTATTGTATCCACGGCGGTTTCGAGAGTCAAAAGCACCTCCAAGACATTTCCCTGTCACATAAAACAGACACCATTACTCACAGTGATACATTATTGATGATCTGTGACAGTTACTTTATAATTATTTGTGTTATTGCATGTCAGCAATAAAGCAAATAAATATAAATTAACGTAACATACACATTGTTAAGCCAGAAAAACCATTTTGTTAGTAAACAAACATTTACTTCATTTTCTCTTTTAAGAGTTTCATTTATAAACAAGACATGGAGTGAAAATCATCTCCATTGGCAGCCTGGAGCCAGTGGTGAAACTCCATATTTTTGTGGCCATTCAATATATGGGATGACTTCCCACAAAAGTGGTACTCATTTTATTGACATGAGAGAGATGATGGGCCGTGTTGGGTTTGATCTCACAGCCTTCTGATTGTGAGCTAAGATCTTTGGCACAGATACAGAGGGACGATCCATTTATCGATGCTCTCGTAAAATAACGCACTGAAAATATTTATGTTCAAAGCCTCTACACGTGTTTCACCAATGTCACTACAACCATCAAATATTTCATAAGATATGGGAGCCATCGAAAGTAACGTTTATATAAATTGCTCAATCAGTATTTTAATAAACTTTACATTCGTGCAATAACATATACCAGCTACGCCTAAATGGATGTGAAGTAAAAATAGTGTTTGTACAATGCCTGGTGCACAGCAAGGCCCCAGTGAGTGACAAAGCCCCACTAACAGGATTCCTTGGGTGGACCTATATATACAGACTAGAGGGAAGTACCCGGCGTTGCCCGGGCGAAAAAGACACACACACATCAACTTACACATACACAGACATCGACCCACACACTCAAAAACATCAACCCACACACAAAGACAAAAAAAAGATTCCCCGTATAGCATTGACAGACTGTAGGGGCAAGTGCTGTTAGCAAGCTGTCAATCTATTTAAGATAAAGGAAGACTTCTTCACAATTCTGGCAAATAATCTGATGAAGCTGGTGGTAATCACCAGCATAAAGTGACTCAAACTGTAAATGTTGTGGGTTTACTCTCCAACACACCAGTAAGCTGAAGTAGTCAGTGATGGGCACCTTAGTAATTGGCTGTGTCGGGTGGTGGTGAGTTAATGACACATTTATATTTCCGCGATCGAACACAAAAAGAAAAAACTTTATTAAGAAAAATATTGTTCCCCAACCTAGTGCTAATATACTTGTCAAAGACTGCCAAAATCTAACAATTGTGTGTAAATGTGTGCTTACCCAGAATGATAAAGTAGTCACACCTAACCCCGACAAGCTGACGCACGTGACGATGAACAATTACAATATTGATGACAGGACAAACAAAAATAAAATCGAGGAGAGCAACGGAAGAACGCGTGGTGGTGCAGGGCGGTCGAGGGAGGGGCGTCGCACCTGAGTCTCCTCCGCCGCGTCGCCCACCCTCTCGACGAGGCGCGACAGCAGCAGCGAGAGGCTGTGCATGCCCAGCGGCTGACGTAGGGCGCGCAGCATCTGAAAGGAGCGCCCGGCGTAGTGGCGCGACGGGCACGCGAGCGCCAGGCGCAGCGCCATCTCGCCGAGTCGCTGCTCCAGGTTGGAGCCTGCGGGATCGCGGAAGCGACATCACGGAACGAAGGCCGGGTGAGTTTTGGGGTGGGGCAGGGGTAAAAAGCATCAAAAAGGTATGAAATTTATAGGGCGATTGCTTAAAAGGCCCAGCAACTCAAAGCACCTCGCATCTCAATCATTCCACTGCCCTGCTGCAGTCTAGCCGAGGGGGTTCTGAGTAGGTGGGTGGGTACCCACCTACTCAGAACCCACCCACCAAACACCTCCCTGTGTGGCACAAGGTGTGCACAGCACCGGCCTGCAAATGGTCCTTCGTCAAGCGCGTGTCGTCTCTATACACCTCGCTTCAAGCTTCTACTGCTGCTACTTCAAGGAGAATGATAAATATATGTGCTTTTAATATCATAGTCCAAGTCAAAGTTTCTGGATGTTGAAATTAACATGTGACCAAATAATATGAATTCCTGCAGTCACCAAAGTTTTAAGGACATTCACTGTTTAATCTGTGTATCATCATCTCGCATAATTACTTACATACTAACCGTGCACTCGCGTTATAGCCTGCTTGCACTGAGGTTATCCTGCTGTTGGAGTACTATGGTTGCAACTTGCAAGAAGAAAGTGTTGTGTTAACATCCTGGCTGGGGCATGATTAAGCTTCTTACTTTCATAGAAGGTTCACAGTGGTTGTACCACAGAGTTGGCCCCTCTGCCTTTAGTTTAAATACATGTTAATTTTGGTTCATATGTTGTTTTTTTCTGACTTTATGTGAACGAAAAGACACAAATTCGCCTGTTTTCTCATTGAAAATAGGTACATTTCAAAATATCACTGTCCTGGTCACAAAAGCAAAGTTGTGGGGAATAATCGCCAAAATCTGTACTTTTGAGGCATAAGCAATTAGGAAATAACACTTACTACCCAGGAACAAACAAAAAATGTTGTTACAGTGTTATATTTCCTTGTTCATTTATATTACTGTGGATATTTTAAATACCTGCATCACATTCCTTTGGTCTATGACGCTTTCAAGCCTTGATATATTTTCTCCTTGAAGGATTATTCTGATGAATACGTATACATTTACAAGTGATTCAAATGCGAATTCTTCCATGTGCACTGTGTAGATTATTTATAAAGCAAAGTAATTCAACCCAAAGAACAATGCCAATAGAGTACAACTTGTGACCTAATTATTTCAAAATAGAACTCACGGTTTTCCACATTTCCTGCCGTTTCATTACGAAACAACAAGAACACTATGAAATAAATACAAAGTTACAAGCTGTACGCCCCCGTGATACATTCACAACATGGCAAAGTGCATTCCATGTGGTGCCCGATGTAGGCGGTAATGATAAAGAGATCAATGCCTTGTAGGAAACAGCTCAACACAGCCCTTCTGATTGAAACAAAGACAAAGCTTTCCCCTATTATAGCCTCAACAGACTTTAGGAGCAAGTACTGTTCGCGAACATCTATGAAGGCCGATACGGCACACAAGGGGGTGGGTGGCCAGCACCATGCCTGGCCACCTCTGTCTCCCTCGATGGCGATGTTTACTTATCACGCAAGGTCCTCAATTGAGGCCCAGTCAACCTAGGGGGAGGACCAGGACCGGTTCAGAAAATCGGTACTGGTGTTGGCCGTGAGCGGGAATCGAACCCAGGTAACTGGGTTTGTGGCGCAGCGCGCTAACCGCTAGAATATCCCTCCCCACTGCATTAAACTACCACAACAAACGCGGATAAGGAACTCATGCACGCACATGTAGACATATACACTTAATGCCAAAATATAGTTATGCTCAAGAATGTCCGGGTGGGGGGGGAAATGCTGTTAGCGATCACCTATTAAGGCCGGCATGATCCATGAGGAGATTATATGGTGTGCCGATGTCTACACAGCACAACCGGCATTCATTTATGGGTGAATTGATATAAGGTATGCCCAGAACAGGTTCTTATATCACTCGCCACTGATGTTAGAAAAGGTGGCTGGGAATCGAACGCCACCAATCTTCACATATTGCACATACACTAATTCCACACGCGCACACATGGGCAGACACAAAAACAGCATGTGTATGCCCACACGCTTACTAGCGTGCCAACAGGCTTACACAACGCAGGGCTTAGTGAAACATGCCTAGGGGCAAGGGCATGCTTCCTGCTTCTCGAGCAAATTCTGGTCATAATCTTTCTTGAATGGCAAACATGGGTGTCTAACAAATAACAATTTTCAACACTCTATTGTAGTATTTTTCTTTCAGTTCCGAGTCTGTGCCAGATGGACTTTTAGTTTTATTAGGCTCTGTTTATACACATTCAAATGCGCACACACACACTGAAAAAAGACAAAGATCCCCCATTTAGCCATGACAAATTGTTGGGGCAAGGGCTGTTAGTGAGCACCAATGAGCCGGCACAGCAGATGAGAGGGTGGGTTGCCAGCACCACATCTGACTGCCTTTGTCTCCTGATTGGCAATGTTTACACAGCACACCAGGTACTCATTTGAGGCGGAGTCGACCTAGGGGATGCCCAGGGCCAGTTTAGATAATCGTCACTGGTGTCGGCCGTGAGCGGGAATGGAACCCAGGTCACCTGGTTTGTAGAGTAGCGCACTTACTGCTGCACTACCGCTCACCATAACACACGTTTTGATATGCACAGAGACACACACACACCTGGCCTGCTGTCCTTGAAGATTGAAACAACATGCAAGAGGAACTTGCTAAGCTGCTCTGCACTCTGAATGTTTTGATTCTTGGTGGAGATGTCTTCGTAATTCCACAGGGGCCCATACTTTCTGCAGAGACACAGGCAGGGAAAAGAAATCAAGATAATTATGGCTACTTCTGTGGATATATACTCTGTTATTAAACTAAAAATATATTCGATAATAAACAGGGTGTCCATAAAGGTACAGTCATCCATTGTTCAGAAATTATAATTACACAGCGGTTTGAGTTAGGTTGATAAACTCCACACACACTTGGTACTCATCATCATAATCAGGCATGGTCAATTCACTGCTGGAGTAAGATTTTCCCAAGCCTCCTCCATCTCTCACGTCACTTGGTAGTACGATGATTAATTCTATCATGAGTTTGATCATGCTAACCCCTCGCAGGTCTGCAATGGAACTGACGACGCACATCCGAAGAATATCTCAGAGAACCCTGCTCGTTCAGCAACATCTTGATGCGTGCGTTTCGAACTGCTTTTGTTTCCCGCTGCCGACGATGATTGATCGGTGAAACTGTTTGGTTTTTTTAGGCACACATTTAATCTTGCACATAACCCTCGCAGTCAACCAGAGTAAAAAAAGCTTAATAATTATACTTCGTTAATAATGGATCATGCCTGTACGTGCAATATGTTTAACAAGCGTCTTAGCGCAACAGAAGCAGATGGCAGCCTAAGCCTTGAGCTTTCTCCGCCCAACATGCTTCAGCTGTGGCTTCCACACATCAATAGCAGCACAGCCTTCACCAGGGAATGATTTGAACCTGTTCACTTATAAACTAAACTATTTTTCATTTTACCACATAAGGCCCACTGAGCTATATAGCTTATTTTCAGAAGAGACCTGGCCACAAATGATAGGCCAATGAAGAGGCTTATCATGTGGAAATGTAAAACAGCCAAATTGTCTAAACACGTGTTTCAAAATGTGGAGGGACAAACCATAGGACCCGGAGAAAAATCCACATAACCACGTGGAGAGAGACGTGCAAACTCCAAATATACAGATGTCAGGGTCGGGATCGAACCCACAACCTACCTGTATACCAGGCGATGAATTTAACATCTCGCCATCGTGGCACCCCGCGGTGTTAAACCGACATCACTAGGCAGTACCAGTGTGCAGTGCAGGAACCTAATAATCATACTCTGATGGAAGGCTGCATAGTTGTTGTGTCCAGCAACCAGATTTGGAGGAGGGCCGCCTATGTCCACTGCTGTTGTGCTTAGATGATTTCTGAAACTGTTCTTTGCAGCCAAGCCAAAATGTTTCCCAACAAGTTGGTAAATTATTGATTTACCAAAATATTCGATGACATTGTCTCAACTTAAATAACTTTATACTCAGGCAAGCTTGGGAAATGGCCACAGGGTCAAAATTATGCTTGACCCTGAAAATTATGTAAATGCATAACAACTTTTTAATGAGCAAAAGCCCAAGAGAATCACTGTTACAATTAGTGAAAACAATTTTACATTCACATATTGTCACACACAATCAGCTGTTCCGCATAATGATTGGAAGTATATGGACAATTAAACTAAATAGTAATGAATATGTGGCCAAATAGCATAATGCCTCAGCAAAGGGTCAGCTCACATAAAGCAGGACAAGGACTTATTATTATAATAGTTATTCTACAATAAATGCCTCACATTATTTCGGAGGATAAAACATCTACATTTTTTATTTACATTTACATTTTTTATTGAAATAACTTCCATTTAGCATTTCTGAAAACTGGATCCTAGTCTTGCATTCGTCTAACTTACATTGTAAATAAAATACAATTTTTTTTTATTTGCTTAATGAACATGTCCAGTTGAACGACTTGCAGATTAAGACAACACACCTGTAGCAACAGGAGACGTTACAAACACTTCACATTGGCACTGATATAACATGGTTGCCTATCAACAACCTACACTCTTATTTCGCGAGGCTTGAGGATTGCGAGGAACACAACACGGACGTTTCCCTCCGTAACACAACCGCTGCGAACATGTTGACCCGACATCTGAAGTTTTTTTAGGAAGCGCTAACACAAAAACACACACACACCTTGAAACAGCCAGCACGTGCCTCTTTCCAGAGGCATTAAAACACATGCATCATCCCTTCCCAGTGTTGCGTGTGCTTCTGCTGAGGTGTTACAGGAACATTATGACACTCATGTGCACCCCCCCCCCCCCGTTCCTTCTGCTCGTACGAAGTGGAAAGTCCCGCGGAGTAGTGCTCAGCAACGAGCCACTGTGCTGTGTTTCACAGTTGCTTTTTTAAGTGCAATTTTTTTTTCTACGTTAAATTATTGAAACTAGCCACTGGAGGGTGCGAGACAAAAATCACCGTTAATTGCCAAATTGTCTAAGCGTCTAGAAATAAGGAGATGGGAAAAAACTAGCTTGTTGACGGCCGCCAGTGGAAATGAACAGCAGGCCACGCTTGATTGAGTGTGGCGGCACTGACTTCTCTGGGTGACCTTACCCCGGCTAAGGGTGATTCTTATTACTCTTGGAAAATGTGGTAAGAGGAACTGCCATTATAGTTGTCCAAGTTGTTTTGTGATGATGTAGAAGGTTTAAATGTACGTACCTAAATGACCCAAATTCTGTATCAAAGCCAGGCAAATATTTCTGGTAATTATATCAATGTCATCTGAAGCTGTATTGCTCCATATAAGTGGCCAAAAACGTCGCTTAATGTTTTCAATACATATATTTTTTGCCACCTATTCTCAAGGGAATATGACTGGGTGTAACTTTGGTTACATCAATTTAATTGCAAGGGGAAGGGTGGAGGGATCAACTCGGTCCAGCATTCTTCCGTGGTCAATTAACAGCTACTTGTGTCCGAGACACCGCAGGAATGTGGAATTTCCTCAACTGGCTAAGGGCTCCCACCAGAGCCTTGTCACGAAAAATCACCGTGGGAGATGATGACGGTGTGGGTTGACAGGGGGATTAGGAGCCACATCATCGAATACCTTGTGCAGGTAAATATAACCACAGTACATTCAAAACATGAATGCACTCCGGGGTCTATGGATCAAGTCAAGTTTGATGTCGGTCAGTCAATAGTTGCTGTAGCCAGGTGGATAAATAGTACATTACAAGGTCTCGCGTAAAATGCAAAGAAAATGAATTTGTTTGCTGGCCCGGTAATAATTCGTTATTTTAAATGGTTAACAACTTTATTTCTGCAAAAAACAAACATGCAAAAAAATGGACATTTAATAAATGCTCGTGAAACTTAATTAGTAAAGTGGTTAGCGGTGCTGCGCTATGAACCCGGCAAGCAGAGTTCAATTCCCGGCCAAAGTTTATATCAATGTTGAGTTATAAGAGAAGTAGTACTGTCCTCCTCCCCACCTTTACCAATAGGCACGAACAGGCTGGGTGAAGTATGGTGTAAAAAACACCCTGGGAAGATCGACGTGAAATGGGGGAGGCCTTCACCCATTGTGAATTGAGAATTCACGTTTTTTTTATCTGTTACGAGAAGTTAATACAACACGCAACCCAAGGATGAAGAGCACGCACTTGGCTCACACACAAATTCGTTACTTCAACACTGTCAGAAAGCTCCCTCAGCTGGTAAAATCATAATCGGAATCTGCATTCATCTTTTTCACAGATATCCAGGATGGGGCAGTTAGGAAAGTCGCAACAACAAAACAAAGAATACAGCAAACGACAGGAGTGCGACATATATGAAAGGTAAGAAAATCACTAAAAATAAATATACTCTTTGGTTCTTTCGGTAAAGTCACGTAGAAAGAAAAGAAAATAAATAATAGAATACGACGTTTCGATTGCAACACAAGCAACCGTCATCAGGTGTGAATGCATGCTCGGAGAGAGACATTTGCAGAGAGAGAGACAAACACAGACATGGAGAGAGATATAGACACAGAGAGAGAGACACACACACAGAGAGACAAACACACAGAGAGAGAGACAGAGAGAGGAGAGACACACACGCAGAGAGAGACACACACAAAAAAACCTTCCAATTTCTCTCCCCCTGCCGCTCTCTAAGTTTACTACTAAGTTTGTTTTCTCAAACTTCCAATTTCTCTCCCCCTGCTGCTCTCATTGACATGCTAATTCCTCTGCCCCAACCCCTCCTTCGCTCTCTATATAATACCTCATCACAGAGGCGTTGTTTCTCTGTGTGTCTCTGTGAGTGTCGCTGTCTGCGTGTGTGTCTCTCTATGTCTCTCTGTGTGTTTGTCTCGCTCTCTGTGTGTCTCTCTCTTTGTATGTGTCTCTCTCCGTGTCTGTGTTTGTCTCTCTCTGTGTGTTTGTCTCTCTCTCTGTCTCTCTCTGTGTCTGTGTTTGTCTCTCTCTCTGTATGGGTCTCTCTCCGAGCTTGCATTCACACCTGATGATGGTTGCTTGTGTTGCAATCGAAATGTCGTATTCTGTTATTTATTTTATTTATTTTCTACGTGACTTTACCGAAAGAACCAAAGAGTAATTGCTGCAGTCACGAAAGCTTAAAATCAAGTTGAAAAATAAATATGTAAAACAGATAAAGTGTATATGTTCAAATTGCAAAAGTACACCAATTACCATTCTTGGGCAGAGTAGCAAAACAACAGCAAGAGAAGTCCAGACCACACCAAGACAACACACAGTCCCCTCAATAAAATTGCACACAAACATTGAACAAATCTATACACGCGGGTACGGATGAATGGTTGGTTGCTCCTTAACAACCCTGGGTCGCCCCCACCATTCCCCTCCCCCCCAGTTCCCTCCTCCCCTTCCTCCTTCCCCCTGTCCCTTTCTTTCTTCCAGTATGTTCGTTTACTTCCCCCTTACCACTCTCACCTCCCCATATAAACCTTCATGTCCACGCATGTGGTCTGCACCTGGGTGGGGCAGTGAGCCCAATTTCCCCCCTTCATTGGGCCATGTCGCACCAAAGCCGGGCCGCTGTTTGCAGAGTTTCTGTTCCCCCTCTGTTTTGTGATCGGCGTTTTGTGGCAATACGTTAACTTCCTTGCCCGGTATACAGGAGGTCACGGATTCGATCACGACCCTGGCGTCTGCTGTATATATGGAGTTTGTATGTTCTCTCTGTGGTTGCGTAGGATTTTTCTCCAGATCCTCCAGTTTTTTCATCCACATTTAGAATCAACATGCATTTAGAGTATTTGGATGCAAAAAAAGTCCACATAAGCCAATTAATTGAGCTATAATTTGTGACGAGGTCGCTTCTGAAAGAGGAGTTAATAGCTCGGTGAGCATTCCCTGGTAAAATAAAAAAATAGTAAGTAAATAGCTAATAGGAGTTGTGTAAAAAAACAACTCTGGATTGCAGATGCGAGCGCGGCTCAACTGGAAAGCACGGGTAGGCGAACCTGGTGCTGATGAAATGGACGAGGGCGCGTGCCCTCTCCTCCACGTCACACGAGGCGTCCCGCTCGTCGGGCGGCGCCACCGTGAGCGCCGCGTGGAGCAGCGTGGGCGCGTGAGCAGCCGCATGCTCGCCCGTGCTGCCCAGGCTCAGGCTGGAGCCCGTCGAGCTGGGGCTCAGGCCCGAGTCGGTGGCGGAGGGGCTCTGCGAGATCTGACGCAGCTCGCTGGCTCCTGCAACATGGGACGTGGCACGCACAAACGATGATGACAACAATAAAAAATTTTAGGACGTTTCAAATTGGGGCGGAGATCTGTCGTGGTGCAACAGCACTCCGGACCCTGTGATCCGGAGGTCACCGGTTAAAATGCAACCTTCTGGCACGCCAGTTCTAATATAATTGGCTAAGGCACCTGACAACACTTAGTCACAGAAAATAATAAGTTAGATGGCAGGGGGCATTGCATTGAGGAATGAGTGATAGAGGGATCACGACTGGGAAAGAGTGGAGGGGCAAGGGGAGGGAAGATGAAGAGAATGGGCGATGGAGAAGAGGTAAGGTTTAAATGAGGAATGGAAGGAGGTTAAGGAGGGGAACTGCTTAATGTTTGTCGAACTCCTTTCGCACCCTACACGTAGCCAACGGTGCTAATCGTAGGTAATGTACAGGGGAAGTTTATTCCCAATGGCGCGTATTTCTCATATCCACCCCCGACTCTTTTCACCCTCGCAGCGCCGTAGCGCTGGGCAGTCTCACCGAGGAATGCGCTGTGCTGGGCAGGCGACGCCTGCACGGCCAGGATCTTGCTGTGGTTGAAGTCTCGGTTGGCGAGGAGGACCCGTGCCACCGAGCGGTGGACATCCAACCCCCCCACCTGCACCAGCAGCAGGTGCAGTAGCAGCTGCTTGCTGTGCTCGGGCACCTGCGGGTGCTGGTGGTCGAAACCTGCGTACCGCGGTTTACCCCACACATTGGCATCGTCATCAGCATTATCCTCACCGTCATCGTCATCATCGCCATCATCGTCATCATCGCCATCATCGTCATCGTCGCCATCATCGTCACCGTCATCACCATCATCACCGTCATCATCGTCTTGAGTACCAATATTATCAGCTTTGGCATTTTATCGTAACAAAAAAAAGGTAAAGGTGCAGCCCTGAAATGTCTTGCTCATGCCGCTGCTGGTGGAATGGCCTCCACGTGAGGGGAGCTCGAGAGCCCTCTGGAAGGTATTTGGCCAGAGATGTCTTGGAAGAGGTGGGAGTAAAGAACACTCCACCCCACACCACACGCAGATGTGCCGACTGACTGCGGTGAACCCATTCATACTGCCACTGGCTGGATGGGGGATTTAGAAAAATGTTCCAACTGTCACGCTGGGAGATCAAAGTGGTGACCACCCTCTGCATTGCCCAGTGTGCTAACCATTACATCGTGGAAGCATCCTGGACACCGAGTACGATATGCTTATTTTTAGTCTCACCAGATGACCCTCTGGTTCATGCGTTTAACTCACAATTTAAAAGTGCACGGTTCAAAATCCAGCCAGGGGATGACTCAACGAAAGATGCCTTGAAGGTTAATAAAATGAGTCCCACGTTATTACAAGCCAACGGTTGTAGTCATGTGGATAGAAGAAGAATTGTGCTGGCACATTGGTGAAACTAAAGTTTAGTAGAGAACTGAAGCCACTGATAATACTTTGTATATTAGCCAGTACATCTCTCACGATCGCTTTCCATTGATGCACAAAGAGACTGTAATAGAGCTTCATTGTGCTGCACGCATTTTGATTTTGCTTGCACGCTCTCACTTACGCAAAGGACCATCACACTCACTTCTATTGATATGAAGGTATTCAACCTTAAACGCACTGTGTCGTGTATATGGTGTGAAGTTTATGTATGTAGAATTTATTTCGCACCATACATAGCCAACTATGCTAATCGGAGGTGCGGGGGATGGACAAACTAAACACAAAAAGCAGTTCTAAAGAAAAACTTTTCAATCTATATTTAAAAGTACATAGCTCCAGTGGCTTCCTAATATCGGAAGGAAGAGCATTCCAGATGGCCACAGAAGTGCATCTGAAAGTGCGCGATGCGGTGACCGTCTTCATTTGGATGGCCAGTAGCCAAAAGTCGTTGCGAGCATGACGGGAGTTGCTGCGGTGGTTTACGCTCCTCGACGAGATCAGTGAGGTGCTCTGGTTCATTTGTGGCGGCACTTTGTGTGTATAATAATAGGGGTTTCCCCATTTTTTCTGGCAACAAAACCGAAAACTTTTTACAAGGAATCATGTGTGCATTAACCACAATACTTGTGGTGAAAATGCAAACAAAAAACACACTGATAATATAAGCATTGTCCTTGAAACGGATTGGTCCACACCAGAGACGGCTTTCTTTTGAACCTCGTCTCAATTGGTGCTAGACCAGAGGACACCAAAAGGCGTACAGCTCAAAGACAATGCACTATCAAAGCAATGAGGGCTTGGGGTAAGCATCTACATCATTAGACCTCCTTTGCCAGTACCAAAATATAATAATAGGGTCTTCCCTTTTTTTCTGGAAACAAAACTGAAACCTTTTTACGAGGAATCATGTGTGCATTAACCACAACACTTGTGGTCAAAATGCAAACGAGTGCGTGCTGAACTCACCCAGGAAGACGGCGTGCAGGAGCACCGGTAAATGAATGCTCCACTCCAAATGCACTCCATGGTCCACTACGAGTCCCGTCAGCAGGATCATCGCGATGCTGCACCTGTGTGAGAGCACACGCCGCCGGGTCAGTACAGAATTGGTACATGGTACATTTTCTTTAGACCCCCCCCCAACACTTCTTACTTCATTTTTTGATCATAGCAAACACATATAAATCCGCAATCGATACTTTAACATGATACAGTGCAGAATTTTGCATGTTTGCATCGATTACATTTTTTTCACCAGTGTCTCACACCCTGTATATATTTAATTCCACTTCGTATTTGACACGTTACTTTTGTGTTAATTAATTTTTAATATGCTTGTTGAATGAGGAAAGTCTTACTGAAGGTTATGGCTTTTTTCAGTCGAGCCCTGCCAAGATTTGCAGTAAGGGGCCATGAATGCTATGTATATTCCCATTAAATAATTGGCAGGTAAATTGTAAAATTTGAACTGGCACACAACAAGTCTACTCTTGCGAATAGTGTAATTGGATCTTTACACCATATAATCCCTGAAGAAGAGTCAATCATTCATGAGATCACCTGGATAACAACAAAAATAATAATAATAGATTTCTCTCACTACTTCTCTCTGTATTCATTATTTTATTGCCTTGCTAATGGAACAAGGACTGCCAAAGCATTTGTCCTGGGATCTGTTTTTAAGAATCTGGTGAAGAAAAATCAGACCTTATGATTATACGTAACTTCATGGGGACATAAGACAAATGTGGTTATGGAGGGCTGATGTGATGTGATGGTCTATTCGTGAATTTTGTCCTGGTCCCTCATGTCTCTGCTGTTGCCTCTCCGGTATAGTGCAGCTTCTTCAACCAGCAGTGGCCTGTGTGAACAGTTGGGAGGGCTGTGCCTTTAACCTTCACACTCAAGTTGAAAATGTTGTCTTTGGGTTTGGTGCGTAGAGAATTCAGAAGCAAAAACAAACCCCAATTAAATTAATTGCATCAAAACAAACGATAACAAAAGTACCGCAACCTGTGATTGCCACGGTTGGCTACGTATGGCGAAATCGAACTTCAACAATCATACACACAAGTTCCGTCCCTCTCTCCCCATGCCCTCTCACCTGTGCAGGGGAGGGGCCTGGCTGAAGGTCTCAGGCAAGTGATCTGTAAGACGAGCCCAGTAGCCTAAGGAGGCAGGCATGGGCAGGGGTTCCGGGCGTGTTGCCTCCGCCATCCGCACCCTCCAGCTCATGTATGCTGGCTCAGCTGTTAACAACGTCACAACCCCCCCATTGCGTTAACAGAGCGTATCGGGCATTGCATTAATGGTAATGGAGCAAGATTCGAATCGCTTCAACAAAACATTACGGTCATTGCGTTAAGGAAGTACAAAGAGCGACGCGTTAACAGAGCGGATGGCATTCTGGTCATGGACAGCATACACGGCAGTGTTACGTGAAGCATGCCGGACATAGTGTTCATGGAAATGTGTTGTTCTTAGGATAATAGCTGGATTTCTTCAGTAATATTAACTCTGAAGGCTCACAGAGTACCTTTTGCGGCATATAAACATCACCAACTAGGGAGACAGGAGGCCGGGCGTGGTTTTGGCCGCCCACCCCTTTGTGTGCCGTGCCGGCCTTCACAGGTGCTCTCGCTAACACCACTTGTCCAAACAGTCTGCTAAGGCTATACAGGGGGATCTGTGTTGCACGCTGGGTCTCACTAACATCACTTACCCCAACAGGCTATACAGGGGATCGCTGTCTTTGTACACCAGGGCTAGCTAACAGCACTTGCCCCAACAGTCTGCTAAGGCTATACAGGGGGATCTGTGTTGCACGCTGAGTCTCACTAACATCACTTATCCCAACAGGCTATACAGGGAATCGCTGTCTTTGTACACCAGGGCTAGCTAACAGCACTTGCCCCAACAGTCTGCTAAGGTCACGTACTTTTGTCGTCCTCGCTGGAGCTGCCCGAGCCGTTGCTGTAGCGCGACTCAAGCCGGGGGTGCGGCCGCATGATGCCGTAGTTCACCTCCTGGTGAGGGTGGCTGTCCCAGGCAATGAGAAACAACGCACGTAGCAAACATTAAACTAAAGAATAAACAAAATGTTTTTTTATTTGTATCAGCTAAGGCCCACTGAGCTACAGAGCTCTCTTTCAGAAGCCACCTGGCCACAAAAGATAGCTCAATGAAGTGGCTTACCATGTGGAAATTTCTAGCAGCCAAATACTCTAAACGCATGTTTCTAAATGAGGTTGGAAAAACCGGAAGACTAAGAGAAAAATCCACAAAACCACGGGGAGACCATGTAAACTCGAAATATATGTGCACCAGGGTCCGGCTCGAACCCACAACCTCCTGTATACCAGACGGGGTAGTTAACATCTTGCCACGGACATAAACGTTCGTGCAGGCAATTCTTTATTTTTGTTTATGGTGGACTTTCTCGTCATTTACAGATTTTAATTATTGATTCCATTAGGGGAGTAAATAGCTCCCCGTCGTGTAGATATCACGTCTCTACACATACGAGGTTCCAAACGAAAGACTTGGCAGCATCGAGCAATGAAGATTACCGTAACGATGAGTTCTAATAAGCAAGAAACCGGTCTACAGTTGTCTGTCTCACTGCTGCCTGTTGGTTAGTCACATTGTGTTCAAATTTTGATGGCGACCTAAGTCAAGAGAACCACAATGCAGTTCTTCAGGAAATGGTGGGTTTGCACAAGGCTGAGAGGTCGAGAGTGTTTTGTACGAACAGTGCATGTTTTTGTGTTGCTGTTGTTATTGTTGTTTTTGGAACTTTGCATTGCGGGGTTCATTTCTTCGGTCTAAAAAGTTAAAACCACTTCGCGATAAGTCCACAGCAGTCATCCTATGGAGAAACCGGCCCCTGCCATGGGAACGTCAAATTTCTATCACTGGCTAAGGGCTGGCAGCAGAGATCGGCACTTCTCTACTGCTTGCACATCATGTTTACCTCTGGATTTGACCCCAGGTGTCTCGCATAAATTTCTATAAAAAAAGGTACTGAACTCAACGGGCTCTCAAATAATATAAACGATGATCAATGGCAGATTGATTAGCTAGATGTTCACCATTGCCAGCTATGCATCCCCGTCACTATGAGGGCCACCGTTGGCAGTAGGCGACCAGCTCTCTGTGTGACTGGGTGCGCGCAGCAGGGGGACACGCCGAGTGGTTGCGTTAAGGTGGCGCACCTCTCTTCAAAGCTCGCCCCGTTGACCATCTTGTTGTCGGGCCCTTGCGCAATCCCGGCAGCGCCTCCGCTCCCTGCGAGCGTGTGGCTGCTGGAGCTCGTGCCTGCATACAGGAGGAAGGGGCAGGAGGGAATGTAGTGACACGGTGGCGAGAAGTGGTTCACGTGTGGCCGCACGAACCAGTAGGAGCACGATTCGCACGGTTAGCTAAGTACGGTTGTGAAAAATACATTTAAGATACATACATACACATACGTACGGTCGCCAGAAAGAAATGAAGAAATTGGCACTCAAATTGGTTTGCAATTACATGTAAACATGTTATAGTTGAAGCCATGAAACGAAAATAAAAATTAATCTTGACTTAAAGCTTTCGTGACTGCAGGGAATGAGAATAAAAATGGTCAGCTCTTAATTACTGACACACGTGCTTTTGAGCTTGTTGTCCTTCCCCCACACCCCCCATGAGCATGGTTGGCTACGTAAGTGCAAAAGGAGTTCAACGTAATACATACATCGGCTAACGCCTACAATAACTTAGTAGATTACCTAGCTTGTTAAAAAGTATTCCTGGATAATGTAATGATCAATATCCCAGTTGACAGTTATGTCTCCAGGCTCAATCAAGCATGATACAGTGCTTATCTTCAATGATATTCATGAGCCAGTAGTGGAAATTCCACATTAAATGGTAGGGAGCCAGCCCATCTAGACAAAAATAATTTTTTTTATAATTCCACAAAGTGCTCCTCATTTTTATCAGCCTCAAAAAGGACAATTAGGCGAGTCAACCTCTGATCGGGATTTGAACTCACAACCTCCTCATCCTAACCATCATCATCTTCATGATAATATTAAATGATTACGATGAAATAAAAGATGAAGAATTGAGCTGTGAGAAGGTGAGGAGCAAGGACTGAGCGGAGAGAGAGCAGCACCAGAGGCTGACGGGGAGGTCCGCTGGCCCGTGAGAAGCCTGTAGAACGGCGGGTTCTTGGTGCGGATGAGGATGGAGTTGACAGGCTCCATGCGCTCCAGCTCGGGCAGCAGCTCTTCCAGGGTCTCCACCGTCTTCTCCCGACAGATGAAGATCACCACCTTCTTGATCTGCTCGCAGGGCCAGGGAACACGGCGTGACGATGGGAGGGGAAGCACGCATGAATCAGAGAAGAAAAATCGACGAGCAGAGAGCAGAGAGAGGTAAGAGATGGCAAGAGAACAATGCAGAGCAAAGTAAGTGTGGCGGCATATGTCACGAGGAGCATCTGGAACAAATTAAAAGCACTGTTTCACCACGAGACGCCGTAACACTATAAACTTGCATTAATAAATGCCAAGCCCTATGATCGGTGCTAATATCTCCTGAAATGAGTCCTGTACTCATAGAAATCATCTGTCAAGGAGCATAAACCATCACGCGAACTCCGATTATCCTCGCCGCAGCGGCTTTTGGCTAGCCATTAAACAAAGGCGGTCACCGCATCGCGCGCTTTACGTTACACTGCTGCGGCCAACTGGAACACTCTTCTTTCCAATATATTAGGAAGCCACTGGAACTAAGCACTTTTAAATCTGGTTTGAAAACTAATTTCTTTAAAACTGTTTTTCTTTGTGCATACAAAGTGAATTGTAAGCAGACGTTCGGAGTAAAAGAGGAGTCGCGTTACCTCTTGCTTCTTGTCCACACATAAATACAAACATACATTCAAAGTAATACCAAAGTTGTGCATTAGCCAAGGTTGCGAGGACTGTCAAGGAGCAGTGGGCGTAACTCACAGAGGGCAGCAGGTCAGGCTCACTGCGCACGCCGCAGAGTGCGATCAGGAACTGCAGGATGACACGCAGGTTCCCGGGCCAGCTGTCGGCCAGCGCCGTCCACACACTCTCCAGCTCTGCACTCGGGGAGCCCTCCCCGTACTGGCATGCGGGAGTGTTGGTTTGCGATTATTATTCGGAAAACAAGCCGGCATGAAACACATTGCCACTGTGCATACGTGCATGCCCCCGATTAGCACGGTTGGCTACGTGTGGTGCGAAAGAAGTTCAACGTACATACATATATACACGTGCACTGTTGACCCAGTTAAGATAAGCGGTACTGTAGTCGCAGCACATGGCTTGTAAATGTAAGGTGGAGGAAGATTTTACTTACAACCCTGAAAGGGATGATAAATTGAGTACCGCTTTGGAGAAAGTCAACAGTTGTTGTCATATGGGTAGACTTGCCACCGCCATAGTGATGTGGAATTTCTACCAGTCTCAGTACTACCAAGGCAGACGAACACTGCCCACAACTTCTTTTTTTTATCAGAGAAATATTTTTACGTTAGATTTGTGTCAACATGAAAAAAACATCACCAAAGTTGTCTTGGAACACTGCTCTATAATGCCGCACTGCCACCTTTTGTGAACTCGCACCCCATGCACAAAACCTGTGCACAGGTGCTCTGTGATCAAATTTTGACTTAAAACTTTCGTGACTGCAGGAATTCATATTCTATGGTTCTTTCGGTAAAGTCACGTCGATAGAAAAAATAGTAACAATAAAGTAATAAAAATAAAAATAAAGTGAATAAAAAATTAATAAAAATATCACGACGTTTCGATCGCAACACAAGCAATCGTCATCAGGATCGGGAAAGATAGGGTGACAGCTTGCGGAGACGGCTTGCGATGACGATGATGACGACCACGATGCCTCTGGGAGCTCGTACCTGAGCGGTCATGTGCAGGAGGTTGTTGAGCACCAGCGCGGTGGCGAGCGGCGATCCCCAGCCGGAGCCTTTGAGCCAGCGCCGTCCCTGCCCGGAGTCGCGCCTCGCCTCCGCATCTTCCTCCTCGTCCCAGCCGGCGCCTTCGACGGCGCTCCGCTCCGGCGTGCCGCCACCACCGCCACTGCCGCCGCTCCCCGCATCGCCTGGGAGACCCCAGGCGCCGCCGGCGCCACCCGCCACCAGCTGAATGTTGCTGAGCCACGGCTGAAGGTAGGAGAGCAGCACCTGGCGGCCTGGGGTTTGCGTGGTTTGGAATCGCCGGCTCAGCTCTGTAAGGGTGGACGGGGTCAAACGGTGGGAGGTGGAGGTGGGATCGAAGCATGAGCACATGAAGTAGTCGACAGGTTTGAATGCTGCCACAGGTGCACTGTTAATTAATCGATTGTAAAACTTCAAATGTATGGATGTATGTATGTTGAACTTCTTCCGCACCGTACATAGCTAAGCGGAGGTGCGGGGGAAGGACAACGAAGAGCTCGGAGGTGTGAAGACACAGAGCGGCTTTTGGCTGGCCATCGAACAAAGACGGTCACCGCACCGCCCTTTCAGATGCGCTTCTGCAGCTGTCTAGAACACTTTTCCTTCTGATATTAGGAATCCACTGGAGCTATGCACATTTAAATCTCGATTGAAAACGAATTTCTCTTGAACGACTTTTTGTGTCGAATTTATTGTCCCTCCCCCCGTACCTCCGATTAGCACGGTTTGCTACGTCCACAGTGCGAAAGAAGTTCAACATACATATTAGAGGATATTAGGTAGCCATAGCCACGCGTAAATGATGGAGGAGTGGGGGTGCATTCTGTCCGCACCAGAGAAGAGTGGCAGGGTGAGCTCGGGGTAGAGGCGTGCGAGCTCTTCAGAGAGCGAGTACGCCGAGAGGGAGTAGAGAGGAGGCAGTGGCATAGGCGAACTCAGCAGGCCGTCCACGTCTCCCGACTCGTCTCGCTCTGTGTACCCAAATAATTTCTCCTCCATCACCTGGTGGAAGGACACAGCGACAACCACTGTTAATGCTGCAGGCGTCTGCTGGCGATTTGTAATTCACCCGTACTGGTGGAGTGGGTGTGCGCGTGTGTGCAGAAATGCACATTGTGTCATCGTCATCTTATTAAGAGACACTGGTAACACGACAGCAATTTAATTCTGAGGAGAACCAAAAAAACTAAAAGCAAAAGGAATATCGTATGTTATTTTTCTAAATGCACTTTCATATCGTGATATTTCTCTTGTCATGGAATGCTGCTGCCGCAATGGTTCGGGCACACTGGGCTTGCAATCCAGAGGTCGCCGGTTCGATTCAATCTTCTGGTGTGGCAGTTAAATCAATGGGGAAAGTTTCTTAAATCCCGCTCCCCGCCCAGCAGTACACACGTGTTCACTAGAGTTAGCTGACTGACAGGTCACACGTGGAGCAGTAAAGTGTGGGTACTCCCCCCTCTTGTAATATATCTGGCCAGTGTGGAAGAGCAGGCCAAATACCCTCTACAGCCACCTCTGGTGGAGGTCCTTCTGCCTGCCAGCAGAGGGTGTCAGTAAGTAACTGCAAGGTCTGATATCTGTTGTATACAACAGCATCGTATTTTTACACGCTTTTATTTGACTCACTCTGTCTGTTGTCGTATCCTCAAAAAATATTGTAACTCAATTTTTACCCACTTCCCAATGTGCTATCGACGGCAAACTTGGTATACTTATGTCATACTGATGACCAGACTATATTCTATCATAAAAAATCTAAAACATATATTTTAAAACATTCTTTTACACGCTTTGATAAACTCACTCTGTCTGTTGTCGTATCCTCAAATCTTGTAACTAAATTTTAACCCACTCCCCAATGTCATATCGACTGCAAACTTGGTATACGTATGTCATACTTGTGACAATACTCTATTCTATCATTTAAAAAAAAACTTTTTTTTTAAACAATCTTTTTTATATGTTATGTTTCGGCTTGGGTCTAATTGTCCACGCTCAACTGACGTTGGCTGTAATTGGCCACGCCCCTTACGTTGTGGCAAACTTCGAGGCCACTTTCTGGAGTCGTGGAGTTCTGCCATTACTCGTACGGTATATTTCATTCATTTTTTTAAATCCTTTATATTAAGTTCACTTGCGCGCTTGCTTGCTTGCTTGCTTACGACCGTGCAAATCTTTCGGTCGTTTTTTAACCCACTTCCCGTGATCCAATCGAGCTGACAATTTCCACACAGACTCGTTGTGCGTGACAATTAATTTTCGTGAAATCAAATCTCCAAAATTTTACACTTTTTAGGACAAAAATATTATATTTAATTACCAATTGCTTAATGGTGCCATGCAATCATCTGACCCATAGGTGGCAGCCATCTCAAGCCAGAGGACGAGAGGACTCTAGCCGCCACGCATATAAAGGATTTATAGTGAAAAACTTTGTTTTTACGGGTTATACTTGTTTAATTACTTATTTTTATCGTAGCAAAAGCTTCAGTCAATTCTCAGAGTGAATTTGAATGCACACCTGCATGAGTTGCAGCGCCATCTCGTAGATCTCCTGGGATGGGTCAGCCGCTTTAAACAGGATCAGGTTGAGCAAAGTGATCATGCCCATTGGCCAATCCCTGTCGCACACACGGCAAACAGCACACAGAGGCCCATTATAGCCACCACATTAGCCATCAGCTGTTATTCACAAAGTATTGGACTCTACAAGAAGGCTCAGGTCTGATATTAGGGGTGCTGCCACTAAAGGCTGCTATATTCACCACAGCAGGGAAAAATATTAACGAATAGATTTTTTAATCAAATTGCATTGCCAAATTCATCAAACTGCGAGGGCGTGAATCATTACAGATCTTTTTGACAGAGGAATGACACGCACAAAGATCCTTAATAGAGCTACACGAGGGAGTGGATGGGCAGCGCCACACCTGGCTGTCGTCTCACTAGTGGTCGTGTTTATACACCGCAGATATTTGTCACTGCTGTTGGTGGCCATGAACGGGCATAAAACTCGGGTGCAGTCCACTTTGCTACCACTCCCCATAAAGACAAAAATCCCCACCCCCTCCCCCCCATAGCCTCAATAGATATTTGAGGCAAGTGCTGTTAGGGAGCACCTATGAAGGCACAGCACACAAGGTGGGTGGCCAGCACCATGCTCGGCTGCCTTTGTCTTCCCAGTGGTGATGTTTATGCATTGCACTAGGTACTCATTTGAGGCTGAGCAGACCTAGGGGAGGCCCAAGACCGATTCAAATAATCGTCACTGGTGGTGGCCGTGAGTGGGAATCGAACTCGGGTTGCTGGGGTTTGTAGTGCAGAGCGCCAACTGCTACACCACCGCTCCCCACCAGACACACACATACACACACGTGAGCTACAATGAGCGCAGGGCATGTGGGTGAGCTCTGACCTGCTGGTGAAGGTGGTCGCGATGGCGGTGAAACAGCCAGCGGCCACGAGCGGCGAGCCCGTGTAGCAGCGGTCAACGGCCCACTGCAGCAGGTAGCTCAGCTCGGGGTTCAGCTCCAGCAGCAGCACCACCATCTCGCAGCCCAGCTGGTGCACCTAAATGCACAAGTCAGGGCGCGTAGGGTTATTGCATTCATTTGAACAAATCGCATGAGATTATTTCATCATGGGACCTCCTTTGCCAGTACCAAATATGAGAATAGGTTTTCCCCTTTTTTCTGGCAAAAATTCAGGTGTTAAGATGTTAAAACACCAAACGGAAATCTTTTACAAGGAATCATGTCTGCATTAACTACATATACTAGTGGTCAGAATGCAAACAAAACACACTCTGATAGTATATGCATTGTCTTTTAAACCGATTGGTCCACACCAGGGATTATTTCATTTTTACTTCAACAAAATGTGCAAGGCGACTTCCGTTCACATGAATGTGCATATTAGTTCTCTTTTGAAATGAATTTGGCTTTTTTTTTAAAGATCACAGGTGTAATCTTTGAACATTCGTCAACAGGATTTAAATATAACACAGAGTATAAACAACATACAGAACAATACCTCTCGCATGCGCATATTTGGTAAACAACGTTTCAGTATAACGAATTTTTGAGCTTTTTTAACCGTTATTTTACACGGAATGCAAAAAAAGATAACTAAAATAAAATATTTAAATGCACAGAAATAAAAAAATTATGCGTCGACCTCTGTTACTTTACAAATAAGAATAACATTACGTTTATTCCATGTTTATTTTATTTATATCGCTTTTTATGTTAATACTCTCCGTATAATATATATCTTTTTAATATAAATCGTCTTTGTTTACAATATTAACGGTAAGTTACAGTGAGGGAAAAAAGTATTTGATCCCCTGCTGATTTTGTACGTTTGCCCACTGACAAAGAAATGATCAGTCTATAATTTTAATGGTAGGTTTATTTGAACAGTGAGACACAGAATAATAACAACAAAATCCAGAAAAACGCATGTCAAAAATTTTATAAATTGATTTGCATTTTAATGAGGGAAATAAGTATTTGACCCCTCTGCAAAACATGACTTAGTACTTGGTGGCAAACCCCTTGTTGGCAATCACAGAGGTCAGACGTTTCTTTTAGTTCGCCACCAGGTTTGCACACATCTCAGGAGGGATTTTGTCCCACTCCTCTTTGCAGATCTTCTCCAAGTCATTAAGGTTTCGAGGCTGACGTTTGGCAACTCGAACCTTCAGCTCCCTCCACAGATTTTCTATGGGATTAAGGCCTGGAGACTGGCTAGGCCACTCCAGGACCTTAATGTGCTTCTTCTTGAGCCACTCCTTTGTTGCCTTGGCCGTGTGTTTTGGGTCATTGTCATACTGGAATACCCATCCACGACCCATTTTCAATGCCCTGGCTGAGGGAAGGAGGTTCTCACTGAAGATTTGACGGTGCATGGCCCCATACTGGTATTGGGCGAAAAACATGGAAATGCTGAAAAAGCACCCTGCAAAATCACTCCACTGGGATCGCACTCAACAACAGCCCCCCCCCTCCTGCCCACTTCCGCAAAAAACTGACAGGGCCCTCCTGAAGACGAGCCTTGTGAATTAGTGAGGGCTCTCCTGGGATATAACAAGCGAAACAATAAAAACAATAACACGTTCCTTCACCGACCCACCTGCGGGTCCGGGTGTCCCAGAATGCTGTCCAACCACCGCTGCAGGTACCCGTCCATGGGGAGACCGACGCTCTCCAGCAAGGGCCCGCAGCACAGCACGGCCGCCATAGCCTGGGAGCAACACGCAGTGTAAACAAAAAGGCTCCCCCTTGCACCACGCAGTGTTATTGTGAAGGTTACCGTCAAATATTCGTTTCTGATAAAACTGTACTTTTAAAAGTAAGGTAACATACATCCATAGAATATCCTTTAAAAGTGACTCTCTACAGGTTAATCTATCGGAGGTCCTTCTGCCAGCGGAGGAGTGAGCAAACGATTTCAGGCCTGTGCCTTTATCTTAACTGGACTTTAAAATCACAAATTTCCAATTGGGAGTCGAGCTCTTTAACCGCAGCACCACCTGAATGCTAAACTTAACATGACGCTGAATCCCAAAGAGTGACCGACTCAAGTGCGGCTCCACGTTCACGCAGCTGTGAGAATGTGTTGCTTTTGCAAGGTGGAGTTTTTATTGACTGCATAAACCACTTTCAAAGAGGAGAGGGCAACTTTAGTACAAAGAGATGGATGTTTGAGACAGGTAATGGCTGCACTGTGTGCGTCAGTCAGCTAGCTTTTAACACAATCGACTACAAATACATTTCTGACCTTGAAATATAGATGCATGCCAAGCAACTAGAAAACAAATTTTAGAATATGGATGAGAGGAATATTTGGAATTCCATGGCAAGGAAAGGTAAGCCACTTAAAAGTTACGAATAGGGCACGGCAGAAAAGTATTGGAGAGTAATCAGAAAGAGGATTATGCAATGGGTGGATCATGTGTGCATTATCAAGACAGGCCCTCGAGAAAACCCACAGATCAGCAACCAATGGTAATACCTAAACCTAGATGGTGGGACACTGTAAGAGTGAGCTTTTGAAGGTGGGGTGGTGGCATTGGCCATTGTCACCTCTTGACCTTGGCATTTAATCAGCTGAAGCTGCAAGTAGAGTCTGGAATCAGGGCACCATGGAGTTGAGCGACTGGGCACATACGGCGGAAAACTAGAGCGGCGAGGTCACCTTGAGAGCGAGGAAATTCTGGCGTGTGATGGGCTGACTCCTCTCCGTACTCCACTCGAGCTGCGTGGAGATGAGACGGAACGGGCCTGCCCACTGGCTGAGAAGGTGGAATAAACTGTGCCGTAAGCTCTGCTGGGGGAACAGCAAGCGTCGCTCCGATACTGCTCACAAGCGGTGAAAGGAAAGGCAACACAGAGCAGCAGTGTCACTTCTAGGTGAAACGTGACCAATAAAGGAAACATGCAGCCACTGTTTTGGAGGGTTACATTATACTGACCGGTCACCATCATATAAATATATATTTTCTCAGCAATGTCAGGACTTAAAGACTGCTCCATACCCATTTTCGCAGGGAAGCAATTACTTAATCATTAGACCTCCTTTGCCAGTACCAAAATATAATAATAGGGTTTATCCCCTTTTTTTATTATCAGTGTGTTTTTTGTTTGCAATTTGACTGCAAGTATTGTGGCTAATGCAGACATGAATCCTCGTAAAAAGCTTTCAGTTTTGTTGCCAGAAAAAGGAGAAAAACCCTATTATTGAAGCATTTACTGTTTAAACTGATACAAGCTTTCACGTGGTATACATTCCGTTGTCTGTCACAGCAAATCTCAATGAATGCCTGCCCCTGCTCAGGTATTACAACCAGGAACTCAAGAGTTGGCGACTCAGTAAGTGAACTACCTCATTCCATTTCAGATGCGCTTCTGCGGCAATCTGGAATGCTCTTCATTCCGATATTAGGAAGCCACTGGATCTAAGCACTTTTAAATCACCCAGATTCACTGCTTTACGTGTTTATTTTGTTGTCCTTCCCCCGCACGTCCGATTAGCACGGTTGGCTACGTACGGTGCGAAAGAAGTTCAACACACAGGCACAGATACAGTGCGAGTCCTCACTTGGAAGGTGTGAGATGAGGTTGGCGATGAGTGCACTGAAGTGCATCCTCGCGTCGCGCACGGAATCCAAGTCCTTGTCATTCTCCACCTCCAGTAGCTGCCGGGTCTGATCCACGTACTCCAGCAGCGAGCTGCTCAGAGTGTGCGTGCTTGCCTCGAGACCACCACTACCCCTGTCCGGCGCACCAACCAATCAACATCATCATCATCATCGTGGCAAGGTGTTATCTGCCTCGCCTGGTAGACAGGAGGGCGTGGGTTCGATCCCGACCCTGACACATGTATATTTGGAGTTTGAACGTTTGTCTCCCTGTGGTTGCGTGGATTTTTCTTTTGAGTCCTCCGGTTTTTCCATCCACGTTTAGAAACATGCATTTAGATTATTTAGCTGCTATCAATTTCCACATGATAAGCCACTTCGTTGATCTATCATTTGTGGCCAGGTCATTTTTGAAACAGAGTGATATAGTTCAGTGGGCTTTACCAGTAAAATAAAAAAAAATGTTTCGTTTTAGTAGGTTTAGTTTCATTGTCATCGTCAAGATGCCTAGATTGGTCCCTGTCTGAGCATTTGAAAAGTTACCGATAATTGGCTCGGCATTTACCTGTGGCTGATAACCCCAGTGTCGGCAAGAAGCTCAAAGATTCGCACCAGCTGCACCCGCAGGATGTCTCGTTTCTTTTTCTTACGCACATTCTGTAAGGGAAAGGGCGACAATGAACGTAATGATATTCAATTCTGGATGGAAGGATTTGCAGAATCAGAAATTGTATTCATCATGGAGAAATTCGACGAGCTATGAAGCTCTTTTTCACAGATGTCCAGTTGAAGGTCAGAAAGTTACAACAACAACAAATCCACAGCTCATCATGCAAAAGATAGCGCTTTGCAGAAAGTCAAATTTCTGAAGGATAGACTTGACGCTTCAGAAAAAAGTGAAATTTACACAGCTGACCCAGTGCATTTCACTCGTCTGAGATGAGCATCATCCCACATTCACTGGTGCCTGAAGACGGTATTAATTCGCTTTGTTTAGAAGTGCAGTATGGCCTTATGCACTTTCATTAACCAAACAGTATTTCAAATCACCAAATATATAAGATCATCAAAACTGTTTTGCATAAATATATGTTTTGTATAGTAAATGGGTGTATTACATTTGCTATATGATGTGGGTTTGTTGTATTTTAGCATTACATTTTGTGATCGATATCTGAACTGAAGAATAAATATGAAAATTATACAGTTCAGTTTTAACAAAAAATGAAAATAAATAATTTACTAGATTTATGCACAACTGTATTTTGAAAAGGTTTTCAGGAGTCTTTGAAGGAACGTCACATTTTTCAACAAGAATGGACTGAACTTCTGAATAAAGGCAGTGATTGACAGCCTGATGGAGAATGGGATGTTAGAAGCTCCGAGTCTTGGTGTGAATTTCATAATGAATGGCATCAGTCCCAATCATGGCTCTACAGAGGTATTGTAGCCTGGATTTGAAAGCAAAGGAATTTATTAAATGCTCTTTAAGAAGCAGCTCTGTACATCACTGAAGCCGGGCCCTATTCTGCACACTGTAGATTGCAGATGCTCAATTAAAATTACGACACATTAATATTACAATTAAATGACTGTACTTATTTTTCCCATACGTTCAAATGAGCATCATGTAGTGGCACTATCCGCTGGTCATCCTGAGCCAGTGGTGGAAATTCCACATGAATATGGCAGGGACCATTATATCCATCGGACAATGTTGTTAACTTCTCACTGTGGTGCTTGTTTACCGACCCAGGAGAGATAATGGTCTAAGTTAACTTGTGGTGAGGTCTAAACTCACGATGAGAGAAAGAGGAGCCTTTTTGTTACATTATAAGGTTGCACTCGTAACACGTAAGGTGCTTGCCGCAAATGAACCACAATACATTGCTGATCTCGTTTAGGAGCATAAGTAGCCATCACGCAAACTCCGGTCATCCTCGCAGCGGCTTTTGGGGAACCATCACACAAAGACGGCCACTGCATCGCGCGCTTTCAGATGCACTTCTGCGGCTTGAAAGATATTTCTGCTGATATTAGGAAGCCACTGGAGCTATGCACCTTTAAATCTATGTTGAAAACTCATTGATTTAGAACTGCTTTGTGTTTAGTTTATTGTCCTTGACACATGCTTTAGATTAGCATGGTTGGCTATGTATGGTGCGAAAGAAGTTCAACATACAACATGATTTGTAAGCAGACGTTTTGAGTCAAAGGGGAGTCACGTTACCTCTTGCTTCTTATCCAGGACCTCTTTTATTATCGGGTTCAGCTCCTCCATCAGTTCACTGCAAGACAGAGCAACCATTAGGTTCCAACATGGCATGCAAGGGGGTCGCGTGGCCAACACCAAGCCACTTCACCTTTGTCTGCCAAGTGCCACTGTGTATACACTGTACTGGGTTCTCATTTAAAGCTTGGTAAACTCATGGTAATGCCCAGGACAGACACATAATACCACATGCCATGGATTTAATCTTTGAATGGGAATTGAACCCAGCTCACATCGATCATAATGAGAGCACAAACCACTGTGCCACTGTCCCCCATATGTAAAGAAGACACATTCCTGTATAGACATGCAGACTGTTGGGCAAGTGCTTTTCACGACCACCTATTAATAAGGCCAGCATGGCACACGACGGGGTAGGTTGCCAGTACCATGTCCAGCTGCCTTTATCTCCCAAGTGGCGATGTTTACACACTGCATCAGGTACTCATTTTGAAGCCGAGTTGACCGAGGAGAGGCCCAGGACCGGTTCAGATAGTCACCACTGGTGTTGACCATGAGAGAGAATCCAACTCGGGTGGCTGGGTTTGTAGAGCAGTGCATTAAATACTCCACCCCTAAGATGCACGCATGCACGCATTCACACCGATCTAGGCAGTGCTTACCGGAAGGCGCCCGAGTTGGTGCACCCAAGACCCAGCACCAAGCACTCTGTGAGCTCCAGACTCTCACAGCGCATGAGCGGCACCACCAAGTGGAAGAGGGCAGCCGGGGATGAGCCCCCCACACTCTGCTCACACGCAGCAAAGGCAGGGGCAGGGCGCACATGGCACTTGTGTCAGATAGGCTACCAGCGACGAGCCTCATGGCTATTCATCCAAATCGGTTTTCATTTCTGAAAATCAGCTGCCAATGTTATATGACAGCTATTTGTGAGCAAAAGAGAAACATTATTAACATCACAAATGAGACAGTATAGATGAGCCCGGAAATAATAATTGTATGAGAACACAACTTCTAATCACAAGAATTCACACCACCAAGTGTATAAACAAGTTGTATAATTCAGCGAGGTGGCAGCGGGGTTGAGGTGTTTTCCTCACAGGGGGAAGGATATGAGTTCAAACCGTGGGCCAATAAAAACGTTGAGGAAAGTCAACAGTGGCCACTGTACAGAGAACCTGGCATCTGCCATGAGAATGAGGAATGTTTTCGACTATCTCTGGGCTACCGACGAATATACGCGCCACCCCGTCGCGCGTTTGAGCAGGGCAACAACTACATATCAGGTGGTCAAGCCAGACAACCCCATCAGGAGCAGCGGAGTGTATCGATGTCTCCTTCTTATTTGTGCATCGGGCATTGCGTCGTTATATGCAGATGAGTAGTGTGATTCGAGTGCTGGGATTTTAATTCCATTCGAATGCTGGGATTTTAATTCCAGTTAAAATCCTGGTTGGGGTCATCATATTGAGAAACTGGCTCCCACTACGGGAATATGACATTTTGACAGCTCGCTTGGGGCTGTCCATTGGTACGTAACAGACATAAACTAAAACGAAACTATTGTTATTTTACCAGGTGAGGACCACTGAGCTGCATAGCTCAACCAAGTGGCTTATCACGTGACAATCTATTGCAGCCAAATACTCTAAACGCACGTTAATTCTAAATATGGAGAGAAAAACCAAGAGGAAAGGACCCTGAGAAAAATCTACACGACCACGAAAAAAACACGCAAACTCCAATTATGCAGCAGGTGTCAGGGGTCGGGATCGAACCGACGACCTCTTGCATACCAGGCGAGGCGGTTAACCATTCGCCACACACACCTTGCCGTCAAAACTGTAGGAGCTCTCCGGAGTGGAGGCCAGAGTCTCGGGGGAGCTGCCGCGGAGCTGGTGGCCGCCTCCGGCCGAGACGCCCGCGGGACTCAGGCTGCAGCACAGGACCAGGTAATTCCGCCAAAGCCCCACGGGGGAGTCAGTGGTCGGGACGGCGCTGATCCGCTTGGCGTTCGCGGGGTTCCTGTGCCGGAACACGCGGTCAGCGGAGAAAGACGAGAACAGGAGAGTAACATTCATGATAATGTCGCGCTGTGGTGGCGACAGTGTCTGAATGTCATGTGAGATGATGCTGCCTGATGAATATTGGGGTGAAATGACTTGTTCACTGTTGGAAGGGCCTCCACTAAAGTGCTCTCTACAGAGCCGAGGATATTTTAGGTCTTCCGAGCCAATAAGATCGAGAATTGATTTTTAGGTTAGGCCACCATGATCTGGCCAAATTTGTGTTATTAAGACATCGACAAACAAATTAAATCGTCACGTTTACAAGTGTTTAACAGGCCAAACATTGTTTAAGCTTACCGGTAGACTAAATAGAAATTCTTGTAAGCGAATTTCGCAAGCAGATAATGTCACCTTTCGCTTGAAACTACGTCAAGCATCATCTAGACAAGGTCTTGGGAGTCAAGATTTTAGTCCGACTTCCATGATGTACTCGGCCTAAGCCAATAGCCTATCACCATGGACGCCATCGTTTTCACCGCGATGCGACGACGGGCCTCACCCCGGGTCGACGAGGGGCGTGAGCGCCGTGAGGCGCACCATGCCATACGACCAGGCCCACGCCTGCGCCAGCGGGCAGCTCCGCTGGAATTGCTCGTGCCCGAGGAGGGAGGCAAGCGCCAGCAGCCAGGGGTTGCGCGCCTGAGCGAAGAGCCAAACGTGCGAGGCGCTGCGCGTGTCGAGCATGCTGCACTCGGGCACGCCTGTGCCCTCGCTCAGCCACTGCAGGTCCACAGCCGGTGGCAGCTGCAGCAGCGTGGCCTGGCCCAGGGAACACGAAACGTGCGCGGGGGGGAGGGCAGCAGCATTGGTCTTAATTATAGCACGAGATTTTATTCAACTGTTTTTATTATATTTCAATAGGAATCCGGTACAGACCACAAACGGTGATGCAGGGAGGGGGCACAGAAACTCTGTGGACATACTGTAGGTCCCGAACTGTGCTCCTGGTTTTAGAGGAGGGAGGAGATTGGGCTCGCTGGTCCACCGAGTGGGGACTGCGAGCCGTTTCTCTGTACTTTTATGTGGGGAGGGGAAAGTGAGGGAGGAAGAACTTAAGTAAGGGAGTAGAGGCAGTGGGGGGAATAAAGCGAGCTTTGATCTTAACAAGTTACGCCGATAACATAACAAACGACCCAGGGCGCAGAGATACACGTGGACATTTGGGAGGGAAAGAAAGGGACTGAGCGAAGGGAAGGAGAGAAAGGAAGCGATTGCAGGAGATCCGGAGGCAGAATCAGAATCTTTATTTAAACTGGAAGAATCCGATGAGCTATAACGCTCTTTTTTTCCACAGATGTACAGAAAGTTACAATAATAACAAAACAAACAATACCAAAACAAGATAGAAGTGCAAAATATAGGAAAGGTAAGCAAATCGCAAAAAAACTATAACAAATGATAGCTCAACGAAGTGGCTTATCCCATGGAAATTTATAACAGCCAAATACTCTAAATAATCTAAACAGTTTGAAGAGGAAGGTTTTTTCAAGAGACTTGAAAGTAGAGAGAGAAGGGGGGGGGGGGCACGGGTGAAGTTTCCTGGCTACGGAGTTCCAGAGGGGAGGGCAGGAGTGGCTACGAAAGTGGCCGCCAGTGGTAGAGCAGTAGATCATGGAAGCAAGGAAGAGGACAGAGTCCATGGAGCAGAGGGACTGTGTGTATGTATGTTCAACTTCTTTCGGACCCTACGATGCCAAATCTTGCTTATGGGAGGTGTGGGGGAAGTACAACAAACTAAACACAACAATGCAGTAAAAAAGAAATTCGTTTTCAATCTAGATTTGAAAGTGCGTAGCTCCAGTGGCTTTCTAATATCGAAAGGAAGAGCGTTCCAGACGGCCGCAAAATCAAATCTAAAAGCATGCGATGCAGTGACTGTCTTTGTGCGAAGAATGGATTCTTTCGGAGTGGATACTAATTTGTTGATACATAACACATTACATATGTCCATGATGCAATACACATAACGGACGTACACATCACACGTTTTACATACGTATATCAAACACAATGCAGCATCTTCAATAATATCGTCTAGTCTAGTGTCTCTGTATTCCGCCAATCTCGTTGCATTGTTGACAAAAAAACCTGTCATTAATAGTGACTACGGCCTCAATTTCAGTATTTAATTTTCAAGGTCAGAAAACGCACTAATTTAGGCTAAAAAAGGCCTTTCCATTTCGCAAATCGAAATGCCCATGAATGTTTCTCATAGGTATCACGGGTGGTGTGGGTGGACATTAACCGACCTGCTCAGCATTGGTCAAGTGGATGAAGCTCTCCAGGACAGAGGGACTCAGTTTTTCCAGGATGTCGATCACCAGCTCCTCATCCACCTAAAGAGCAGATGACAGTACCTCCGATTAGCACGGTTGGCTACGTACGGTGAACGTACAAACATACAGCACGGATGGATGCTATTTATTACTGAAGCCCCCCCAGAGTCCTGTGTACATGAGAAAAAAAACCTTCACGATTAGATATTTCTTTATTATAATTACACTCGTTCATTGCACTTGTTCATGAAGGCTGGCACAGTACACCGAAGGGGTGGGTGGCCGGCTCCCCAGTGGCGATGTTTATACTACAGCAGGTACTCATTTGAGATTGAGTAGGCCTAGGAGAGGCCCAGGACCGGTTCAGATAATCGTCACCGATGTTGGCCTAAAGCGGGAATCGCCGGGTTCGGAGTGCAGCGCGCTAACCGCTGCGCTCCCACTCCCCAACCCGCACACCTACAGACATGCACGCATGCACGCATATTCCCACACACATTCCCAAACACGCACACATCATTTGTGCACAAAATACATTAATGAACATTTGTGCACAGCAACACTTGCAGCAAATTGCTCAGCAACGTTCAAAAGTAACAGTCGCACAAACTTACACAGCACCTCGTGCAACAACGCTCAAAGTAACGCTCACAGCCACGCAGGCAGCAGGCACGCACGCAGCAGCTCGAGGGCAGCAACGCATGTGCGCACCTTGCAGTGGCCCAGGGTGGTCGCGAGGGCGCGTGTCTCGCGCAGCAGCAGCACGGCGAGGCGCCGCGTGCCCACGGTTGTGTTGCACAGCATGACGAGGGCCAGGCCCTCCACGGCGTGCAGCACGGGCGAATGGTGCAGCGACCGCTCGCTAGCTGCCGCCGCCACTGCAGCAGCACACTCCGCCTGTCAGCGGCACGACAGGCACCCCACCGTTGCGCATTCGTGACAAAAAAATCGAAATTACCCGCTCGCCAACAGTGACATGAACACACAACTATCCATATGCGAGATGAGAATTCTGCCACGGAATATTCCGTATTCTTCAGATGATTAGGCACACTTTTTCCCTTTGATTGTTTTCAGCAATGAGGGGGGGGTGGTGCATCTTATACTCGAGTAGGTGTATAACCTTACCGACCTAGACAAAAGTTTAGGTGCATCTCACTTTCCTGAGCATTCTTATAATCCAGAGAAATAAAGTAACAAACAAATCATTTGCCTGGTTGGGCCATGTTCAAACCACAATACTACGGTCAAGATTCAGATCAGACCCACGACCTCCTGCATACCGGGCGAGGTAGTTAACACCTCTCCAACGCGGCACCCAAATCACTCGGCTGCCTGCCGCTCACCCTGCCCTGCCGCTCATCCTGCACCTTGGCGGCCATGGCCGTGGTCATGTTCGCGGCTGCGGTTGTCGCCGTCGTTGCCGTGGTCGCCTGCACAGCGAGGCGCCACTGCGTGAGCAGCTGCAGGAGCATGCGCAGGGCGTTGTCGAGCGCTGCCGCGTGGTGCTCGCCCACGTCGCGCGACACGAACGCCAGGAAGGTGATGAGTGCGTCCTCGCGCCACACCGGGAAGTCCAGCATGAGGCTCTGCAGCGACGCGCACGCCAGGTTGCGCAGCTCCTCGTCTGCATGCGTCGTTAGCCTGGGAAGGGAGGGAGGTGCGGGGGGTTGAAGGGGGGAGAGATTGCTGAGCACAATGTGCGGAGGAGGGGCCACCGACGATGTCTATAGCCACAGGCTGCTTCAGCACGAGGTCGCAGATGGCAGACCCCAATGTACACTGTGATGTCAAAGGGTAAATCCCTTTGAGGTTCCCACTACTCCCACCAGCACCACCCCAGACATCAAGAAGCTCACTACAAGTAGTGGGCTACCTTCAAGTCTATCCAAACTGGCAAAGGCACCTCTTCCACAAATGGAAAATAAACTTAACATGATCTAACCCAAAAAAAAAACCTATATTATGGATGATATTGGTCGCGCAAGCCTACGTGTTAAACTGAAAAATAAATGAATTGCCCAAATGTGACCGCATCACGACAAAGAGAAGAAAGCATCGTGAAATGTTCACTATGAGTCTATGGGTCTCTGTGCGAGTCTATGGGTCTCTATGCGAGTCTATGGGTCTCTATGCGAGTCTATGGGTCTCTGTGCGAGTCTATGGGTCTCTGTGCGAGTCTATGGGTCTCTGTGCGAGTCTATGGGTCTATGTGCGAGTCTATGGGTCTCTGTGCGAGTCTATGGGTCTCTGTGCGAGTCTATGGGTCTCTGTGCGAGTCTATGGGTCTCTGTGCGAGTCTATGGGTCTCTGTGCGAGTCTATGGGTCTCTGTGCGAGTCTATGGGTCTCTGTGCGAGTCTATGGGTCTCTGTGCCAGTCTATGGGTCTCTGTGCGAGTCTATGGGTCTCTGTGCGAGTCTATGGGTCTCTGTGCGAGTCTATGGGTCTCTGTGCGAGTCTATGGGTCTCTGTGCGAGTCTATGGGTCTCTGTGCCAGTCTATGGGTCTCTGTGCGAGTATATGGGTCTCTGTGCGAATCTATGGGTCTCTGTGCGAGTCTATGGGTCTCTGTGCGAGTTTATGGGTCTATGTGCCAGTTTATGCGTCTGTGTGCGAGTCTATGGGTCTCTATGCGAGTCTATGGGTCTCTGTGCGAATCTATGGGTCTCTGTGCGAGTCTATGGGTCTATGTGCCAGTTTATGCATCTGTGTGCGAGTCTATGGGTCTCTATGCGAGTCTATGGGTCTCTGTGCGAATCTATGGGTCTCTGTGCGAGTTTATGGGTCTATGTGCCAGTTTATGCGTCTGTGTGCGAGTCTATGGGTCTCTATGCGAGTCTATGGGTCTCTGTGCGAGTCTATGGGTCTCTGTGCGAGTCTATGGGTCTCTGTGCGAGTCTATGGGTCTCTGTGCCAGTCTATGGGTCTCTGTGCGAGTATATGGGTCTCTGTGCGAATCTATGGGTCTCTGTGCGAGTCTATGGGTCTCTGTGCGAGTTTATGGGTCTATGTGCCAGTTTATGCGTCTGTGTGCGAGTCTATGGGTCTCTATGCGAGTCTATGGGTCTCTGTGCGAATCTATGGGTCTCTGTGCGAGTCTATGGGTCTCTGTGCGAATCTATGGGTCTCTGTGCGAGTCTATGGGTCTCTGTGCGAGTATATGGGTCTCTGTGCGAGTATATGGGTCTCTGTGCGAATCTATGGGTCTCTGTGCGAGTCTATGGGTCTCTGTGCGAGTTTATGGGTCTATGTGCCAGTTTATGCGTCTGTGTGCGAGTATATGGGTCTCTGTGCGAGTATATGGGTCTCTGTGCGAATCTATGGGTCTCTGTGCGAGTCTATGGGTCTCTGTGCGAGTTTATGGGTCTATGTGCCAGTTTATGCGTCTGTGTGCGAGTCTATGGGTCTCTGTGCCAGTCTATGGGTCTCTGTGCGAGTCTATGGGTCTCTGTGCGAGTCTATGGGTCTCTGTGCGAGTCTATGGGTCTCTGTGCGAGTCTATGGGTCTCTGTGCGAGTCTATGAGTCTCTGTGCGAGTCTATGGGTCTCTGTGCGAGTCTATGGGTCTCTGTGCGAGTCTATGGGTCTCTGTGCGAATCTATGGGTCTCTGTGCGAGTCTATGGGTCTCTGTGCGAGTATATGGGTCTCTGTGCGAGTATATGGGTCTCTGTGCGAGTCTATGGGTCTCTGTGCGAGTCTATGGGTCTATGTGCCAGTTTATGCGTCTGTGTGCGAGTCTATGGGTATGTGTGCGAGTCTATGGGTCTCTGTGCGAGTCTATGGGTCTCTGTGCGAGTCTATGGGTCTCTGTGCGAGTCTATGGGTCTCTGTGCGAGTATATGGGTCTCTGTGCGAGTCTATGGGTCTCTGTGCGAGTCTATGGGTCTCTGTGCGAGTCTATGAGTCTCTGTGCGAGTCTATGGGTCTCTGTGCGAGTCTATGGGTCTCTGTGCGAGTCTATGGGTCTCTGTGCGAATCTATGGGTCTCTGTGCGAGTCTATGGGTCTCTGTGCGAGTATATGGGTCTCTGTGCGAGTATATGGGTCTCTGTGCGAGTCTATGGGTCTCTGTGCGAGTCTATGGGTCTCTGTGCGAGTCTATGGGTCTCTGTGCGAGTCTATGGGTCTCTGTGCGAGTCTATGGGTCTCTGTGCGAGTATATGGGTCTCTGTGCGAGTATATGGGTCTCTGTGCGAGTATATGGGTCTCTGTGCGAGTCTATGGGTCTCTGTGCGAGTCTATGGGTCTCTGTGCGAGTCTATGGGTCTCTGTGCCAGTCTATGGGTCTCTGTGCCAGTCTATGGGTCTCTGTGCGAGTCTATGAGTCTCTGTGCGAGTCTATGGGTCTCTGTGCGAGTCTATGGGTCTCTGTGCGAGTCTATGGGTCTCTGTGCGAATCTATGGGTCTCTGTGCGAGTCTATGGGTCTCTGTGCGAGTCTATGGGTCTCTGTGCCAGTCTATGGGTCTCTGTGCGAGTCTATGGGTCTCTGTGCGAGTCTATGGGTCTCTGTGCGAGTCTATGGGTCTCTGTGCGAGTCTATGGGTCTCTGTGCGAATCTATGGGTCTCTGTGCGAGTCTATGGGTCTCTGTGCGAGTCTATGGGTCTCTGTGCGAGTCTATGGGTCTCTGTGCGAGTCTATGGGTCTCTGTGCGAGTCTATGGGTCTCTGTGCGAGTATATGGGTCTCTGTGCGAGTCTATGGGTCTCTGTGCGAGTCTATGGGTCTCTGTGCGAGTCTATGAGTCTCTGTGTGAGTCTATGGGTCTCTGTGCGAGTCTATGGGTCTCTGTGCGAGTCTATGGGTCTCTGTGCGAATCTATGGGTCTCTGTGCGAGTCTATGGGTCTCTGTGCGAGTATATTGGTCTCTGTGCGAGTATATGGGTCTCTGTGCGAGTATATGGGTCTCTGTGCGAGTCTATGGGTCTCTGTGCGAGTCTATGGGTCTCTGTGCGAGTCTATGGGTCTCTGTGCGAGTCTATGGGTCTCTGTGCGAGTCTATGGGTCTCTGTGCGAGTCTATGGGTCTCTGTGCCAGTCTATGGGTCTCTGTGCGAGTCTATGGGTCTCTGTGCGAGTCTATGGGTCTCTGTGCGAGTCTATGGGTCTCTGTGCGAGTCTATGGGTCTCTGTGCGAGTCTATGGGTCTCTGTGCCAGTCTATGGGTCTCTGTGCGAGTATATGGGTCTCTGTGCGAATCTATGGGTCTCTGTGCGAGTCTATGGGTCTCTGTGCGAGTTTATGGGTCTATGTGCCAGTTTATGCGTCTGTGTGCGAGTCTATGGGTCTCTATGCGAGTCTATGGGTCTCTGTGCGAATCTATGGGTCTCTGTGCGAGTCTATGGGTCTATGTGCCAGTTTATGCGTCTGTGTGCGAGTCTATGGGTCTCTATGCGAGTCTATGGGTCTCTGTGCGAATCTATGGGTCTCTGTGCGAGTTTATGGGTCTATGTGCCAGTTTATGCGTCTGTGTGCGAGTCTATGGGTCTCTATGCGAGTCTATGGGTCTCTGTGCGAGTCTATGGGTCTCTGTGCGAGTCTATGGGTCTCTGTGCGAATCTATGGGTCTCTGTGCGAGTCTATGGGTCTCTGTGCGAGTATATGGGTCTCTGTGCGAGTATATGGGTCTCTGTGCGAATCTATGGGTCTCTGTGCGAGTCTATGGGTCTCTGTGCGAGTTTATGGGTCTATGTGCCAGTTTATGCGTCTGTGTGCGAGTATATGGGTCTCTGTGCGAGTATATGGGTCTCTGTGCGAATCTATGGGTCTCTGTGCGAGTCTATGGGTCTCTGTGCGAGTTTATGGGTCTATGTGCCAGTTTATGCGTCTGTGTGCGAGTCTATGGGTCTCTGTGCCAGTCTATGGGTCTCTGTGCGAGTCTATGGGTCTCTGTGCGAGTCTATGGGTCTCTGTGCGAGTCTATGGGTCTCTGTGCGAGTCTATGGGTCTCTGTGCGAGTCTATGAGTCTCTGTGCGAGTCTATGGGTCTCTGTGCGAGTCTATGGGTCTCTGTGCGAGTCTATGGGTCTCTGTGCGAATCTATGGGTCTCTGTGCGAGTCTATGGGTCTCTGTGCGAGTATATGGGTCTCTGTGCGAGTATATGGGTCTCTGTGCGAGTCTATGGGTCTCTGTGCGAGTCTATGGGTCTATGTGCCAGTTTATGCGTCTGTGTGCGAGTCTATGGGTATGTGTGCGAGTCTATGGGTCTCTGTGCGAGTCTATGGGTCTCTGTGCGAGTCTATGGGTCTCTGTGCGAGTCTATGGGTCTCTGTGCAAGTCTATGGGTCTCTGTGCGAGTATATGGGTCTCTGTGCGAGTCTATGGGTCTCTGTGCGAGTCTATGAGTCTCTGTGCGAGTCTATGGGTCTCTGTGCGAGTCTATGGGTCTCTGTGCGAGTCTATGGGTCTCTGTGCGAATCTATGGGTCTCTGTGCGAGTCTATGGGTCTCTGTGCGAGTATATGGGTCTCTGTGCGAGTATATGGGTCTCTGTGCGAGTATATGGGTCTCTGTGCGAGTCTATGGGTCTCTGTGCGAGTCTATGGGTCTCTGTGCGAGTCTATGGGTCTCTGTGCGAGTCTATGGGTCTCTGTGCGAGTCTATGGGTCTCTGTGCGAGTATATGGGTCTCTGTGCGAGTATATGGGTCTCTGTGCGAGTATATGGGTCTCTGTGCGAGTCTATGGGTCTCTGTGCGAGTCTATGGGTCTCTGTGCGAGTCTATGGGTCTCTGTGCCAGTCTATGGGTCTCTGTGCCAGTCTATGGGTCTCTGTGCGAGTCTATGAGTCTCTGTGCGAGTCTATGGGTCTCTGTGCGAGTCTATGGGTCTCTGTGCGAGTCTATGGGTCTCTGTGCGAATCTATGGGTCTCTGTGCGAGTCTATGGGTCTCTGTGCGAGTCTATGGGTCTCTGTGCCAGTCTATGGGTCTCTGTGCGAGTCTATGGGTCTCTGTGCGAGTCTATGGGTCTCTGTGCGAGTCTATGGGTCTCTGTGCGAGTCTATGGGTCTCTGTGCGAATCTATGGGTCTCTGTGCGAGTCTATGGGTCTCTGTGCGAGTCTATGGGTCTCTGTGCGAGTCTATGGGTCTCTGTGCGAGTCTATGGGTCTCTGTGCGAGTCTATGGGTCTCTGTGCGAGTATATGGGTCTCTGTGCGAGTCTATGGGTCTCTGTGCGAGTCTATGGGTCTCTGTGCGAGTCTATGAGTCTCTGTGTGAGTCTATGGGTCTCTGTGCGAGTCTATGGGTCTCTGTGCGAGTCTATGGGTCTCTGTGCGAATCTATGGGTCTCTGTGCGAGTCTATGGGTCTCTGTGCGAGTATATTGGTCTCTGTGCGAGTATATGGGTCTCTGTGCGAGTATATGGGTCTCTGTGCGAGTCTATGGGTCTCTGTGCGAGTCTATGGGTCTCTGTGCGAGTCTATGGGTCTCTGTGCGAGTCTATGGGTCTCTGTGCGAGTCTATGGGTCTCTGTGCGAGTATATGGGTCTCTGTGCGAGTATATGGGTCTCTGTGCGAGTATATGGGTCTCTGTGCGAGTCTATGGGTCTCTGTGCGAGTCTATGGGTCTCTGTGCGAGTCTATGGGTCTCTGTGCCAGTCTATGGGTCTCTGTGCCAGTCTATGGGTCTCTGTGCGAGTCTATGAGTCTCTGTGCGAGTCTATGGGTCTCTGTGCGAGTCTATGGGTCTCTGTGCGAGTCTATGGGTCTCTGTGCGAATCTATGGGTCTCTGTGCGAGTCTATGGGTCTCTGTGCGAGTCTATGGGTCTCTGTGCCAGTCTATGGGTCTCCATGCCAGTCTATGGGTCTCTGTGCCAGTCTATGGGTCTCTGTGCGAGTCTATGGGTCTCTGTGCGAGTCTATGGGTCTCTGTGCCAGTCTATGGGTCTCTGTGCCAGTCTATGGGTCTCTGTGCCAGTCTATGGGTCTCTGTGCGAGTATATGGGTCTCTGTGCGAGTATATGGGTCTCTGTGCGAGTATATGGGTCTCTGTGCGAGTCTATGGGTCTCTGTGCGAGTCTATGGGTCTCTGTGCGAGTTTATGGGTCTATGTGCCAGTTTATGCGTCTGTGTGCGAGTCTATGGGTGTGTAAACTCATGTCTACTGCGAGCATTGTAAGGGCCCAGGTGCGATTCACTTGTTGTGCCAGGAAGCCAGCACCCGGATTCATCGACTGAAAGTTGCTACTTAATTCATATCCATACGAAAAGAGAAGGGTAAATAAACGTAAAGCCCTGCAATTGCTTACTCACGTCACTCCTGGTGGAAGGGCCTCCACTAGCAGGAGGTCTAGTTGCTCCTCTAGACAACATATTGGTATGCTCTTCCACCCTAATATCATCAAAGAGTGCTCATCGTATAGTAAATCCAGTATTTTATGTTACATTATTTTAAAATCTCCAGTCAATCAGTCATAATTTTTCAAGGATAACGTTCACAACACAGCACACGTTGCAGGGAAGGCACATTGTTAACACCTTTACCCCACCCCAACGAATTGACGACCGCCTACCCGCGGTGCTTCTGGGTTTACACTGCTGGAAGGCCCGAGGTGGAGGGATTGGAAAAGAAAGAATAAAAAAAATCCACCGATTCAATTGCCACGATGGGATATCAGAAACTGGCTACCTCTAACGAGTTAACCCCCTAGAGGCGATGTTTTTACGCATCGCACCAAGTACTCATTTGAAGTTGAATCGACCTAGGAGAGGCCCAGGACCGGTTCAGATAATCATCACTGATGTTGGCCGTGAGCGGGAATCAAACTCAGGTCGCCAGGTTCGTAGCGCAGAGCACTAACCGCTACACTACCGCTCCCCCACAAGCCTAATTGCAGTGACATTCACTGCCAGAGGGTGGTGCAATTCTGGCTGCAAGAGATCCAAATGTGAAATGTGCGTGTCTGATTCAAGCCAGCAGGACACTAATAGCAACTGGAACATAATTTGGGAGAAGAAAGAAAAACGTATTTTGTAAGACTACCACTGACAACTTTCTCCAAAGTGGAACTCACCGAGGGATGAAGAGCTAAATTGACAGCAAGCTATGAGTCAAGTGCTCTAACTAGAGTGCCGCCTGGCTGGATATTACTTCACACTGGCCAATGAACAAATGCAAATAACCGCGAGAGTTAGAGGAAACATAGGGTTATGGCTTTAGCTTGAGGAGGTACCTCGCCAGCATCTCCAGCAGCTCCGAGTGACTCATCCCATCTGGCAGTAGCCGGGGTATGGCTGCCACACACGTACGGAAGAGGTCGATCTTAGGTTTCCTCTCTCCCCTGCATAAGCAGACAAAAACACAAAGGCAAATGTCCAACATTGTAGCAATAATAATAATAAAGTTCAACTTGTAACATGGCACCAAGTATTCGTTCACTCTCAATGAGAGAGAATGACTCGGGAGGAACCACAGACAAGTGGAAGGCAGCAGCCAGGCAATGAGCCATTGCCACATTCCCTCGAAGCTCTGCAGTCCTCTATATATTAAGGTGTTATCAGCCGATTAATGAGCGTTTACATGTGGGTGAAAACCGGAGCACCTGGAGAAAACCCACGCATGTGAGTGAGGATGCAACACTCGATTCCATACAGACAAATCAGGCAAACTCCACATTACTTATCCTGCAAGCTAGGGCATAGGACCTCAATGGCCCACAAGAAAGGAGTTTTTTCAACATTTCTGTTATACACCAATCCCCGCCTCCACAGTGTTGGATCACAGGCATGCGGCACCAACACCGCCCGGCATTATGCTTGTGGACCGTCCGGACAAGTGCTGTCAGCCAATATCTATTTGGGCCAGCACAGTGCATGAGGTGGTTGCGTGGCTAACACCATGCCCTGGGCACGTTTGTCTCCCCACTGCTGATGTTTAACATCACACCAGCTACTCCTTCAAGGGTGAGTTACCCATGCTGGGTGAGTTACCATGCTGCTGTGAAAGTGTTGTCATAATCCTCCTAAATAAATTTTAAGTAATAAAAACAATCACATATTTACAGTAAAACCAAACGAAATTTGAGATTTGGGTGGCATTACCTTACTTATAAAAACCTCAATTCGATGGTGATCAGCATTTATCTTTAAACAAAAAAAAGGTCCCACTCAACAATCCGAGTGACAAAGATGTTTCTCCTAGTAGGTTATGAAAGGCAGATATCCTAGCAGTGGAAGGACCATGGCTGGTGGTGATGATGATAACAGGTATCCCGTGAATCGAAGCACCTTCCAAATTAGACACGGAATCACGACAATCATGGCAACGTCAGTGCCGGTCAAAGAGACTGCTGATATGAGAGACCTCCATTGTATACCCACCGATCACGACTGAACATCTCCGAAAAAGAGCTTTACAGTTCATCGGATTCCTCCAGGAAAGATACATTTTCTAAAACAAATATATTCTGATTCTCTCACTCTCAGTGGCGGAGCATAAGGAAGTAGGAGGGGGGGGGGCTCACGTGATCTCGGTCTCCTTGGCGACGTTCTGCCCGCCGCCCAGGGTCATGCTTCGTCCCACCTCCTTGTCGAGCTGCCGCAGCATGAGATCAAGGATCTTGCGCACTTGCGGGTAGAACTGTGACATGCCTGGAAGGGTAGTGGCAGACGACAAGGAGTAACGTCGGCACGGCAAAGGGTGATGGGATGAGGGTACGAGTACGGGACTCGGGGAACTGTGAATTCAAATCCAGCACTGGCCTCACGAAAATGCCACAGCAATGACGTCAGATAAGTCGAGTAACTGAGTGGTATAAACAAGGTGATTGAACAAATGTATAAGGTCAACAATTAGTTTTGACGATGACAACAAAATAAGTAATTTCTGCTCAAATCGATCGTGGAGTGACACTCGTCTCTACCGGGTGTGAAATCTCACCTCGCGATCATCAGCTGAGAGCTCTAACCACAACGACACTTGGCCAAATAAGGACGGTGGTTATTAATCATCATTGCAATAAATAGGATTTAGCCCTGAATGCTAATTTGGATGTAATTACTGCATGATGGTATTGCGAGATGGAATTAGCTTGAATTAAATTATTATGAATACATGATATCAACGATGTTTCAGTGCGGATTGATGAAAAGTATCTCATGAATTACACTGAGATATAGAAAGAGGAACATGGCATTAAGAGAACACAGGCCGCTGGGTGAAAGACAGAACTCAAACTGTTAAGAAAAGTAAGTGTACTTGGGCAGGACACATAGTGAGAAGGGATGATTGCCGGTGGATCAAGACGTGTGATAACAGTGGCAACCAAAATAATGGAACGAGTCCGGGAGGACATTCAACGGAGAGATGGAATCATGAAATCGGCTCGTGCGCAAGTGCTGGGTGGATCGTCGCATCGCTCGAAGATGGCGACGACTTGGGGAGGCCATCAAGCAGAGGAAGGAACCGTGGCCGACGATGACTACGATGACGACGATGACAACGGCCATCCAAGTCAAGCGCCTTACTTACAACATTTCGACAGCAATGACGACAAGCACGGCAACGTCAGCGCCAGCCCAATGAAACCGCCGATAGGAGAGGACCACCATTGCCTACCCACCGATCACTTTGGCCTCCTCTTCCGTGAGCGTCTTGTTGAGGAAGGTTTTCTTGACGCGCAGAGTGCTGCCCGATGGCAGCACCACGCTGGTGGTCGGCATGGGCGGCTCGCACTCCTTCTTCTGGAGGCTGTCGGCAATGACCAGGAAGGCCCGCAGGCCAATGTTCATGCGCTCCGGGTTGATGGTGAGCGTCTTTGGCATCTTGATGGTGACGCTGAGGAGGTCGAATATAATCTCGCGCATCGCGTAATCCAGCCGTTCCTGTCGAGGGTATTGGATCAAAGGCAGAAGGGAACATTTACTTTGTTCAGAGGCTCACAATATGCTGGTAGTATTCAAGGCATTTAAAGTGTCCAGATGCTTAAGCAAACCCAATCATAATGAAAACGTCACACATTCGACAACAACAATTTCCCTTGGCACAATTTGCAATTATATTGTTATTAAGAGGAAACAAATATAAACGGGGGTACGTTTTGGGCAAATGGCCCTACTTCATCGCACATAGAAGCACCAAAGAAATGGAGTGAATAACAGTTGGGGACTGCCCTGTACACCACGAGGCCCTGATAAAAAAATATATATGTTATGAAGTAAGCAAGAGATTGACACACATCTTAATTGTAGGCCCTAAACTAGTGAGGCATATTTCATATTGCCATGGTGGAGGCCAGTCCATCCATAGGACTAAAACCACTCACTACCCACACAGTGGTATCTATTTTAACAAACCCAGAAGGATTATGGACTAATTTTACCACGGACCGAATTTGCAAACTTCAAACTGACTGTCGAGCACTCTTCCACCCACAAGAAATTCGACAATTTAAGGGCATTGTTATTAAACAATTTACATGAATCGATCATCCTCTAAGCGGATGCAAGGATGCATGTTGCGCGCCTTATCCGGCCTCATCCTCGTGTATCGAAAATCGATTTGGAGCCCAAATGACCTGTACGGTGTAGCAACGCCACTGGACTCGGCAGCTCACCTGCGCAATGAACTGGATGATCTTGACGAAGATGTTGAGAGGGGTGTCCCTGGGAACGACGCTCCGCGAGCCCTTGGGGAAGAGCGCCGACACGATGCTTTGCAGCCGGCTGTCGGGAAGGGAAACGAGAGCTCTTCCGTCATCTGTGACTCTCGCGTTCAGTGCACTCTCGCTGACCGTGGTCATAATGTTGGCCGAAGTTTCTGCCCTGCTCGAATGAGATTTGGATTGGTGCTCCATCTCAATTGTTAGCCCCTAAGTCAGAGGTGGTGATTCTACATTTAAACAAAAAAAAGACAGCCACCAGTATCTCATGAGAACAGCCGCTGTTGAATTTCCTGCACAGGGGCACTGACTTTTTTTCGGAACTGTGAGATGTGAGCTGAGCCAACTCCAAACGAGATTTTAACTTACGACTTTCAACCGTGAGGCCGAGTGCTCTACCCACAGTGTCATCTGGCGAGATAACTAAATAAATGCCCTTAAGTTCATGAAATATAGTATAAAACAAATCATAATCAAACCAGGGCGGTCATTTGTCCTTATTACTACCAATGCAATACAGCAGATGTTTCCGTAGATGGTGCTGTTCCAATGGTAGTCACGTGTGTCTGTGAACGCATGTTTTGCACACAGATCGAGGGCCTACCCAAGGTCGACTCCGCCTTCAAAGAGTACCTAGTACGGCAGGTAAACATCACCACTGGGGAGACAAAGGCGTCCGGGCGTGGTGCTGACCACACCACCCTCTCATGTGCCGTGTTGGCCTTCATAGACGCTCGCTAAGGGCACTTTTCCCAACAGCCTACGTAGGGCTACAAGTTTGGATGGATCTTTGTTTTGTTGTGCCCACCTCTGCGTGGTGGTGTTGCTCTCGCCCTTGATGCGCACCATGTACACCCAGAGCAGGCGGTACAGCGACTCCAGGGCCACTCGCGACATCTTCGGATCCCGGTTCTAATGCAGCGACAGCAAAGCAGCACCCATGCTCAGTTTACACCTCCGGTAACCATGCGCAGTCAGGGGCCACGTAACATCAGGGCAAAGTGCCGCCTGCATTTTATTTTAAATTCATTGCAATTTGGGCGTTATTTTGGTTCATGTCAGGCACATTTTGCTTTCGGGATTTCATAAATTTTGCTCAGCAAGATCAATTTTCGAAGTGTAGCCTGCATCTGCAATTGCAGCTAGCTAATAGCCCCCATGGATTGAGTGGTGGAGCAGTGGTTAGCGCATTGCGCTATGAACTTGGCGATCTGGGATCGATTCTGGGCCACAGCTAAAATCAATGGCCAGTGATATACGAACAGGGCCTGGAATGCTCCTCATTCATCAACCTGCACTGATCAACATGGTAAAGTATGGTCAAAAAATTCCCATAGACTAACACGGTGTAGAGAGGCATTTATCAAGCAGTAGATCGAAAAAAAGCTGTATATTATTGTATTAACAGTCTCACGATGGGCTGTGCATGATCCAATTGTCAATTTTCTCGAATGAAAAACAATACTTGAGAGACAAAAGTGAAGTTTGTTGGTTATAAATAAATATCTTTAAAACGTGTTTCGATCGAATTTTAATGCGCCATTTAAGTCCATTAAACAACACGCATGAAGACCAATGTGGTTTCTGTAGCATTTGCTTAACACAAGGACAACCATGGAGACCGTCTGAGCGTGGTTGAGTCGGATCGGCAGGGAGGTACTCGATGTTACTAGAGCATCGTGGTGGGACCCCCAAGTCACGCTCTTCAAAACCATTGAGCCATCTCGGCAGGTTGTGGGTAGTAAATACATAAAAAAACTGTTAAGTTTGTTTGTCTTCAACCATGCTCCAGAAGGTTTATTAGTCGTGGGACTTTATTTTATTTCAGTAATGAAAGCAGATTTTTTATTATTATTTATGACCAAGCTAAATCTACGCAATGGACTGTATTGTATTTGAATGCTGTACTTCCTTTTAGATTGTAAATGCATTGGATAAATGTTGTTAAATGGCACTAAAAAAGCTTGATTGTATTCCAGTACACGTACGATTAGGCTTTAACCCCAACCTCTAATGAGCTGCACCTGGTAGTGCACTGCACAGTCTATTGTGTGAGTCAATGTGCATATCCCAATGCTGTGTGTCCATTAAACAGAGGCACATCAATGTATTATATTTGTCTTCAAGAACACGACACTATTTATGAACCGCTTTGTGGTGAATACAAATAAAACGTCTAGTTAAAAACAATGGTAAATATAAGTAGATGGTGTAATCACGGCAGTTGGACCGTTATAAACACTACCGCTATGCAGTCATAATTTTGCGACCATGAAACAGGTAGCGTGAAATCATCTGGGGCAGTTACATGGTTGAGCGGTAGTGCCCTTGCCACCTCTTGCAGGGGTTTGGCCATCCTGCTGAATACTGCGGGTGGAATAACCATGACATAAGTGCGGTCTGATTCGTGATGAACACCAATGATGACGTGACGGTGGTGTGCACACCTCGTTCCACACAGGGACAGCTGCCACTGCGGGTTTCCCGAGGCTGAAAGCTACTCTCTCTGGACATCGTAATGATTTGGGATTAGATATCATGTAAGGCATGTTCTACATGCAAATGATAATTGTGATTTGAGAACACAATAAAAAGAAGAAAGTATTGTCAGAATCAGTGAAAAGTGAAATATACTGATATATAATGTATGCTTACTCCCAGAATGTATTCTCCATGGAGCAAAATATAGTACTGGTTATTGCAATGCCAATATTGTAGATGTTTAACATTTTCTAGCCAAAAAATAATGACGTCTTGTATAAATTAAAATCTGCCAAACTTTGTATTATAGCTGAAGAAACGCAAATGTAAACTTGCATTCACCATGTGTTTTTTTGTGCGTAAACAAAGTTTACACGGCAATATTCCTTATGTATCATTGCGAAATGGTTGATGGAAAATAACAACCAAAAAGCCATCCGTTTGCTCGTAAAAATAACACATTAATCCCTCAGCCCCAGGGCATTCTGGGCCATTGTTTTACAGCAGCATAAGCAGACGTCTAGACTTAAGGGAGCCTCAAGAACAAATGCTGCTGGACAGCCACCGTTATTGGCTAGAGCCATTCATCCAAATGCTCCGTGGGTCCCGATTCAGTGCAAAACGTCAAAAATGTAAAAATCCCATGCAATGTGTGCTGCCCGCGAGAACAACTATAATGAATTAGCATAAATCACGCCTCTGCCAATGAGACTCGAAGACCAGCCAAAAGTTTTCCTGCTTATACAAATTCCCCCATTAAATGTTGGCTCAGATGGCTGATATGCCGAGTGACCAAACACGAAATTTCACATTTACATGGGTACAATATCTGTTTTTTTTTACTCTTTTGCAAAGACAGATCACAGATCATATGTGGATGGGTCCAGCCTACAGGATTTGGCCACCCATCTCGCATTTGTTCACCAGGTACGGTTGTTGCTGATAAAATTTGGCAAGTAGAAACCAGTTCCGTGTTTGCCTGCTTAAACACGTGCTCCTGTAATACATTGGCCCTCAAAGGATTATTGACGATAATATTATTTTATTACTGATATAGGTATGTCCGTAGTAATTTACCATGTTCTTTAAATAACTCCTAAAAGCAAATGTTCACCAATATTGCCTTTGATTAGGTTGAATGCACTGTTTTCAAAATGTTGAGTTTGCAAAAAGTCAACGACTGTTATTTATATAAAATTAGATGGTTTTATTTTCAAACTTACCTGCAGTGAATCGATTGGCTTTCTGAGCGTGCTGGTGGATGGCATCTATATTTAAGCGAGGCATGGCCAAAAGTAAAATAACAAACGTGGGAGGCATAAAGAAAAACAAACATAAAGCATGCGTATTAAGCACAACCAAAACAAAAAATGGCAAACACGGCATTTCATTAATGCAAAAGCAAAAAAAAAACACATTTTAAAAGCGGACAAAAATACTCAAGCAAAGCAAAACCAGGTTAATGTGTTTCACACCTAAAGAAAACCGTTTGCTCAGCAAGTGTTGACATTAAGCAATTCCGAAATGGTATTCAGCAAATAGTTTGAAGATTACAGGAGTTAACTGAAAATAAACGTTTTAAGAAAATAAATACGGCCAAATATAAATTATATAAAGTAAGAAAATATATCAAAGTGTCTCTCTACCCAAATGTTCGTCCTATGGCGGAGAGGTGGAGGGGCAGTCTTCCCAAAGGGCAACCATTGCTGACCTAGTTTATCAAACTTAGTGGGATTACAGGTTGACCAGGCCCCTAGGCTGGGATTTCAACTGCCAAAAATTTCCGATTGTGAGTTGAGAGCCTTCTCCACATTTTTACCCAGCCGGGATATAAATAACATTGCATAATACGCGAGTGTACACTTTGAGACAACAATGTTAACAATTGCTGGAAAAGGCATTCTGTAAAGCAGACATTTCCAAACTCCATTCCCACACACCCCCATGGTGTTAGTATGTTGACCACCTTTTTCCCTTCAAATGCAAAGTCAAAATGCTGATGCAAGCTATGCATTCATCTTTAATTTTAAACAGTTTTGAGAGTGGACATTTACTTTTGATTACTTTGATGTCATGGGATGTCAGTGTTTAAAGGGTTGCTTTTAAAAACGAATCAGTCTGATTAATAATTACTTGCTGGTATCAGATAGGAGGAAAACAAGAGTATGATGCACGAACAATTACATTCCACCCAGATAGATCATCAGCCTACTTGTTGTACTGTTATTTACAGACATACCACTAACCCTAGAGATGGATGTCTCACAAACAAGATTCTTATAATGAACCACCAAACCTGCATACAATTTGCTGGAATGTGGCTGGAGTTCTATTGTAATTAAATTTACGAATAGCTTTCCACAAAGCGTATATTTATGAGGTAATTCACGACATCTATAAAAATTCTCAAAGGGTAACTTAGTGCAGTATTCAAATCAACCTCAACACTAATTGATAAAAATCGATCGGCTGGTCGCGTGTGGTGGAGTAAAGTGAGGGTACTTCCTTTGCTTCCAAAATGCGTGGCCTGTGTGTAAGAGGAGGCCAAAATATCCTTTAGATAACCACTCTTGAGCACCATTCTAGTGGAGGCTGTTCTGACAGGAATTACCTTGACAGAAACTAGAACACATTTAATCATAATAAATTACAGCACTTAATACCAAAGCAAATAAATAACACAGAGGCACAATGAAGTGGCCACCATCCCTGTTGGCAGGCCTGATTCAGGATGAAAACTTCCACATTGCTATTGTGTGGAGACCAGTCTATCCAGAGAGTGACCACTGTTGAATTCCTCCAAAAGTATTTTTCACTTGTACCGATGTCTGACCAACAACTCTAAAACCTTACAATTGCAAGTTGTGGAAAACTAAACAGGGGCCACCCTGCCAAAGAATCAACAGCTAACAGGTAAATAAATAAAACCCTCAACGAAGGTAATCAGTGACAAAAATGCATTGCTATGAGGTAACCAAAACATTGCAAATGTAGCAGGGGCAAATAGCTACGGTTGAGCAAGCTACGTGCAGGAACAATGCCAATGGTGATTGCACGTCACGTGTGTAAAACTGGTCACTTTACATTGCAGTGCCAAGGTCAAAGAGGCACGTGATGCGCACACGCGTGTGCTTGTAAACTCAGGGCAAAGGCCTCCCCCTCCCTCCAGTGCCCGCGAGAAAAAAAGCAATCCTAGGATTGATTAAGAGCCACTATGATCACCCACTGTAGAAACTTACAGCCACCAATTTATTAAAAACAAAATTCACTGGATAGACAATAATTTGATGCAGTATCAATTTTGCAATCCCATGGAAACTGTTTTCATATTTTATGATCATCTGTCCAGCGAATACTTTCCAAATATATATTCTATTAAAACGGGCTATTACCAGATATTTAAACAACACGCTATGTTTACTATTCCCAGGCCAGGCCTCCTTCATAAAAGAGACGTCACATTAAACCTGCTCAACTGGATCACGTCCACTCGCCCAAGTCACTGCATAGGAACCCATCATCCGGAAAGAACAAGGTGACGCTGATTATAGAAATCACATTAGTGAAAGCGTGCAATTCGCTCGGGGTGCAGTGTGTTTTCTGCACATGCAGTTCTGGGTTAAGAATCTGATGATACACAAGTCGCTCTCCAATGGAGTGACTGATTACTGTCACATTTATGAAGAATGTATAATGCTCACACAAGACGGACTGCACACATCAGTGTCCCCATGTTTGAGCGGGAGGACAGTAACCACGAGCATGATTGTACCAGGTAAAGGTGCAGCCCTGCAATTGCTTGCTCAAACAACCGATGGCAGAAGGGTCTCCAGTAGAGGGAACTCGAGGAAGTCACTGTTGGAGAATATTTGGCCTACTCTTCCAGGCTGGTCAAATTGTTTTGCTAAAGGTGGGAGTACCCACACTTTACCCCACCACACACGATTTGCTGATCGACTTCACTGTGGTGAACCCATTTATACTGCTGGTTGGACAGAGGTGGTGGGAGGGGGTATCCAAGAAACGTGCCCATTGTCTTCAATGCCATGTTGAAGGATCAAACTGATCATCTCTGGATAGCAAGTCCGGTGTGCTAACCATTACACCAGGAAAGCGTGATTGTAAAACAATATAATTACAAAGGTGGCTTATCGCTTAAAAGCAAGTACAGAGTGGTACTAATCTCATGTTAACAGTCAGATGCCAGTGATGGAAATCAGACGTCCATACACCAAACAATGTTGATTACCCTCACACTGCAACACATGTTACCACACCTGGAGAGAGAAAAAAAATGCCGAATCAACCATTGGCTGAACTCAAACGTGCATCATCCTTCCATTTGTGAACTGCAGGATCTAACCACAGTGCCCCACGGGTAGATATTCTAAACCGAGGAAGCCACCCTATTTTGAAGTCTAAATATGCCAAATCTTGATTTGAGGCTTTCGTGACTGCAGGAATCCATACTCTTTGATTCTTTCGGTAAAGTCACGTAGATATAAAACAAAATAAATCACGACGTTTCGGGCGCAACACAAGCGTCCGTCATCAGGTGGGAAAGCATGGTCTGCTGCTGTGGCAGACTGTTTTAAAATGTTTGAAATGGATGTAGCTCAAGGGTTATAAATAAGTGGCCGGGGCTAGTGATGTTATTGTGAGAAATTAGCATGTAACTGTAAGATAGAAGAGCGACCTCCTAAACGAGGGCACGGAAGTGGCTGTGTTAATGTGAGGGATTAGCATGATGTTAATGTGGAAAAGCTCTAACAGATGCGTGAAAACCCTCCCCAATGTTTTTCACCTCCTATCCTTAATGACATTGCAACGCTAGGAACGTGCCACGTTAGTTCATCCATGTGCCACCTGCCGCGCGTGACGTGAACGCAAATGCTTCGTCCGCAATTGCTCACCCTTAGGTCTCACCCCAGCAATAGGCCAAGTGGACAGGGAAAAGTGTGCAAGAAAAATGTAGCGCAATGTCATTCTCGTCACCTGCACTGCCAAGTTTCTAGGATCTTTGTGTGCTTGTCACTGCTGAACATCACCATTCCCGATTGTCAATCTAAATTCTGCTTACTTATTATAAAATTTTTTAACATCAAGTTTAAAGTGTCAAATAAGCACTGGAGAAGTGACACTCTCCACCAGTAAGCCTGAGCCAGCAGTTGCTCTTGCCATGGTGGCGAGATGTTAACTCTCTTGCCTGGGATACAAAAAATCGTGGGTTCAATCGCAACCCTGACGCCTGTATATTTGGAGTTTGCATGTTCTCCCTGTGGTCGCGTGGATTGTTCTCCGTGTTCTCCGATTTTCCCCTCCACATTTAGAAACATGCATTTATAGTATTTGGCTGCTATAAATGTCCGCATGATAAGCCACTTGTTTGAGTTATCAGTTGTGGTCAGGTCGCTTATAAAACGGAGCTATACAGCTCAGTGGGCCTTACCTGGTAAAATAAAAAATTGTTTAGTTTAGTTTTACCACATCCTGGGACAGGAGGGCAAGCATTTCGATGGGGTAACCACCGTCAACTTCATTTCATTGACACAAAGGCGGAGTGCGGGGCCGAGTTAACCCAGACAGGGGACTGGAATTGTGACCTGATTGCAAGCGAAATACTTTTAAACCACAGAGCGCAATGGCCAAACAGAAAATGTTTCTGCGGCACCCGAATTTTATTCTAATGCTGGAGTACTTTGTGTAAAAGCAATTTACAAGTGAAGTGCCGGGCGTGCCAAGCGGGTGGGGGCTGCTGGTCAATAATCAGCAATTAAGAAATTTCCCATTGTCAGCACAGTTGGGAAGGGCAAGAGAGTGAGGCTGCTTCGCTAAATGTTTGTCCTCATAGAACCCCAAGATTTATCTGTTGATGTCGAACGCCTCCTAATTATCTCTAGAGGTAATTTTAGCCAAGTGGACAACTTGAGTATTTTAAAGGGTGGGCTTGTTAAGTCTCATGGCCAAAACCACTGGAAATAAACGATTTGGCTTCAGAGGGGCCAGTGTCTGATATCTCTTGATTTCTCAGAGTGAATCCAGCCAGGTGGGATTTTAGTGAGAGCACTTGGCAAGATAACATCCCCAAGGACTATGCAGCCTATCTTTCATCCAGATGAATTCATTAGAGTATCCTGAGAAAAGAACAGTGGTTGTCCTCTGGATAGCTTAGCTCCTGCCACTGGAATGTCGAATTTCAACTACTATTTAAGACCGGGAGCAACAGGAGAGCTTCACCATTCTTGCCCGATGAAGCTGATTGCAATTACCAGCGAAACGTCATACTCAAATTTTTAAATGCTGTTGATTCTCTCTTCAACACACCGGTGGGCGAAAGAAGTGAATTATTTCGTCCTTTGAAAAACGTGACATTTTTTACTGTTTGGCCGTGTCGGGTGGTGGAGGGTTACGACACATTTATAAATAACGCGATCTGACCCAAAAACCTATATTATGAATACTATTTAAGCCCCACTAACAGAGAAGACACTGAGAGTTTGACCAATAGCAAACCGCTCACTAATCTGTGCCAGTTGAAGAGTACATTCTTCAACTGCTCCTCACCATACTCTCTGCACTGACATCAGCAATAAACAAGTGAGCTATAATTTCTAGACATGTGCTTCAAAATCAATGTGCTAATCTGCAGCCCACTGCTGGGAACTCTGCAAAAGAGGAGCAAGAGACCAATGCACGAGTGAGAAAGGGCAGCCCTTGAGATTCGGGCCTCAGGCTCCAATGTACTCTCAACGATTGACACGTGCATCTCTTTTTAATTGAAGCCCTTGAACCTTCACGCGCTCATGCACCAGGGAAGCGAAATAATAAATTACGGATCGCTATAAATGTACCTCTGGCACGGCCCCTCATCAGTCACATCTTACGGCCAGTGACCTCCTGCCCTCTGGTCATAATATACAATTATGGGAGACAACACCAGTCTCTAGACGTCCTGTTGCACAGCCTATCTATATATGGTGAACTTATTTCACACAGTACGTAGCCAACCGTACTAATGGGAGGTGTGGGGGGGAAGGACAACCAACTAGTGGGGGCATTGTATCATACTCCATTCTCCAAAACAACTGCCACGCACCCTTGCAATTCCAGTTCTTAACTAGCAAACGCAATTTATCATGGTGGAGACACCTGACCACAAAGTTGTTAAGATCGTGGAACCACATTTGTTGTGGGTTTTTTAAAATCTCTCTTGAGTAAGGTCATAAAACAGTCTGGCTCAGCAGCAGACCATGCTTTCCCACCTGATGACGGATGCTTGTGTTTCGCCCGAAACGTCGTGATTTGTTTTATTTTATGCCTACGTGACTTTACCGAAAGAACCAAAGAGTTTGTAGATAAGTGTTAAGGGTTGTCTTGCCAGAATGATTGAATCATAGGTAATTTACTTGGAATAGAAGATTAGCACATGGGTGCAAGGTAAACTGCATTTTCAGAATATCAAAGTTTTTTTGCCAATTGCGTGACTGGCAGAAATTATAGTGAACATCTATATTCCATCTTCATAACTGCTTCCCAGATGGAAATTCACTGGCAAGGAATGGTCCTGTAATTAGGCTCTGCAGGATATCCCCAAATGCAATGTGCTTCCCTTAACGATTGCACTCTATACAAAACGCTCTTAAAATGTGGAGGCAATAGTACTAGACATTATCTAATACCTTCTTTTAGTCTCTAGGATGGATACAGCCAAATCCAAGAAAAATAACATAACGACTGCCTGATGCCTGAAGCCAAAAACTCAGAATCTCAAAGTTAGTGGCCACTAAAACAAGGCTAGAATTAGACAGTCCTCCCTTGTTGTAGAATGTATTTACAAACAATTTATTTGTTTTCCACATTTAACGTTATAACAGTGTCACACGCAGTGTGTGTCATTGTAAAATTATGCTTGTTTGCATTGGTGGTGAAGATATTACACTTTAATGAGTACAAGCTGTAACAATTATGACGACTACAGTTAACTATATTTTCAACGCTTGCATTCTTCAACGCAAATCTTTTTAAACACGTCCCAAAACACGGCTCATTTGCTCCTCGCGATGTACCAAAGGGTCCAGTTAACTTGGCGGAGATGCATTTTCCATGTTGCGTATTTCGCACTGCTCACCTTGAGGTGGGATAGACAGTTGTTGAGAAAGATGTGCCAGTTGTTAAGAAAAAACTGCTTCTGACTGACGCAGAGTAGACACGTGGTCAACGGGAAGAGTGCCTGCGAACAACATTCCAAGGTGGTGATTTTCCATCTCAAACCGTCATGAAATAACAAAGTAAATCATCATAATATTTTTTTAGCTAATAAATTCTCCACGAATGTCGAAAATATTTCAGACTAGGATTCTGCATAAGCATGTTTGGTTAATTCCAATTTAAAATAAGTTTTGCGATTAATACTAATGCAGCAAAAAATGTTAATTTCTAAATCTCAACTCATTGATTTCTCACTTTAATGCACTGCAACGACCATACATTTTACATAATGCAATGCACCATGGCATCAATAGCCCCTTCATTTGAAAAAGGCAGATATAATGTAACCATTTTGACAAAAACCATGAAAGTGAAATGAGATGAAAATTATTTATTTTAAAACTTTTGTGAATTAAAATCGGGAACTTATTTTCCTCTAATCATGGATACTGTATTTATGTTATTGGGAATGGTACAGAGCAGAAGCACTGTGGTTTTCAAGCCACAAGATAGGACTTTGACATAAAAAAATTTTAACATTAATTTTCACAAAATCTTATTCCGATTGTGCTATCAGAATCAAGTCATGAGATGCAGTATCCATTCGGATCTCTCGTAGACCATTGCATATCCCTTCGTGTTAGAGAATTGCTCACGTAAGTGGATATCGCAGAGCTACTGCTGAAATACATGCAAGTGACCTCTGGTCCACACAGAAGGGGAGGTTTGGGGGCTACTTTAAAGGCAGACTGTGAGGTCGAGTGTCTAATCCACAATGATTGCAAAATCTGGCAAAAGGTAAGAAGCAATGGCACTGCTTTGAAGAACCGAAGGCATTGACCACGATGACTTCTTTATTGAAGAGAGCAGTGGGAATGCATGATAAGATGACTGCAGAGATAACTGGAGAAGCATGCAAAGAAAAACTACCATGAAACTAAACACATTGATTTTTTCCTAGGTAAGGCCAACTAAGCTACATAGATATTTTTCACAAGCGACCTTCGCCACAAACGATAGCTCAAGGAAGTGGTTTATCAAGTAGACATTTATAGTAGCCAAAAACTCTAAACGCATGTTGATTCTAAGTGTGGAGAGAAAAACCGGAGGACCCTGATAAAAATCTATGTGACCACGGGGAGAGAAATAGCGAGAGAGAGAGAGACGCAAACTCCAAATATAACAGCATGCGTCAGGGTCGGGATCGAACCCATGCCTCCTGTATACCAGGCAAGGTAGTTAACATCTCCGAGCCACCGTGGCGCCCGAAGAGATGCGCGCCTCACCAGGGAGTGTTTTCTGCGAGATGACAACTCAAAGGTGGTCTGGTAGAGTAGTTCCACAAAGGTGCGCAGGCACGGGACGTTCACTTCATTTTTAACCGTCTGGAAACAAAAGAAAAACACACGAAACAAAACGCAACATTAATTATATACGGCACCCACACACAGCTCTGTAATGGAACATGCGGGTAACTGGCCGTTCCGTTTATGGATACCCCCCGACTAAAATAATGGGGAGATATTGGAGAAAGCAACATTTGAATTCAAAGCCTCTATATGTCTCCAATCAGTCTCAAAACATGAACTAAGTGGTTTAACTCTCTGCTGATACACTTTGCACAACATAGCCAGCGTGATTTGCCCCAATGATGTGCAAGCGGAGGTCAGTGACATCTAAGAGGGTTGTTGGAAATCCGTGCGATATCTATCAATGGATCACCATGTACATTCGTATCGTTGAGGCTGACGAAGTCGAGAGAGATGTCAATGTATAGCAGAGGTATTCTCCACTCTCGGTGACTGGGCAATTAGAATCTCGTGGATCCCCCGTGAAGGCAAACGGCGAGCTACATAGCATCCCACTGGGTGGCACAGTCATCGAAGCAGCACTCAACCCGGGCTATCATCCTTCCAGGGTTTACAAAATGAGTACCACTTGCAGGAATTCACCAGTGGCCACCCTATGAATTAGTGTTCTTCATTGCAATACCCCTGATGTGCAGCCCCTGGCAATACACAAATGTGAAAACACCCCATCATGCTGTCCAACCCCAATGGTTTCAAATGTGTGGTGGCCCTCACACTAAAGTCGTACTAGCGAAAGTGGCCCACCTCTGAAAATGAGTGTTTAACACTGCAACAAATATACTGGTCTCTGCCACAGGACTGTGGAAATTCCATGAATACCTAGGGCTGCCATTGGAAGTGCCGTCTTGATATATATTTGCATGCAGAAATACATTGACCCTTGGCTTATTGTCAAGTGTTAAATGTGGATATGACAAAATACATTTCTGAATACACAACGAGCAGTAAAATAGGTAGAAAAGCAATAAAAATGTGGCTTGTTTTTTAGATTCGTAGCTTAAATATTTAAAGAAAAGCTTTAAAATGAGAAATAAAAAAAAGATATTGTATGTTACTATAAACTTCGCATTAGAAAAGGTGATGGCAAATATAAGCAGTAACATTAACATAACAAAATATTGCAATATTTAATTAAAATTAGGTTATTGCTCCATACCCTTGCGATAATGAATTGTGTGCCAGCCTGGCCCGTTATTGCGATAAATGTGCACACTTTAATTTAATTCCTTCCAGGCTATTCTCATCCCACTGTAATCTTCCCTTCACCTCCCTTCAGTACATGGACGCCACTATTTCTGTGCTCCCCCTAGAGCTACATGAAAGCCATTACTGGTAAGGCATGCTCTACTGCACATTTATAGCATTTTTAAATTCAGCACCTTCGACTAAATCCTAGTGCTTTTATATCTCACAAAACGCCACAAAATTGTCAAGCCACACTGATTAATTTCTGAGCTATCAGCAACTACAGAAAGAATCTAAATTAGTGTTAAAGTGTGCGTGGTCATATGCATAGCCTATATCAACAGATCTCCAAATTGCTGTGATGATGACTTGCTATTTAGCATACTGAATTGAACTCATTGTAATGCAAGAGTTTTCAACCGGCTGGGTGGTGCCTTGCAAATGGCAGGTTGACAGTGGAAATCCCAGGGCTAGGCTTTGACTCATCCATCTATTCCCCTAGGGTGTATAAAATAAGTACCATTTTGCAGGAAGTCAACAGAGGTGGTACATTTCCATAATTGGACCCTTTCACAGGAATGTGCCATTTATACCACTGACTTAGGGTCATGATGGAGATCAACACTGCCTCATGTTCTTTTGACCAGGGATATAATCCAATTTGAAAGTATGCTTAATACCTTCCTTTGCTTTATATATATATGATTACCTCAGGCAGTTCTGTAGCCTACAGATTACAGCAATAAATATAATGTTCAACTGCAGATCAGCACAAATGCACACGAAGTGACAGCTGAGAATAAAATCATTGTTATTTTAATCAAAAGGTTCAGCTGGGATATAGTTGAGGTAGTAGAGCAGCAGGCTTCCAGTCAAGAGGACCTGAATTCAAATCCTGACTCAGGTCATCCAACCTCAGCCCCATCATCATCAGTGTCTACACGGTCAGTAAAACGTATTTAGTAACACACCAAGGTGTGCTCACAACACTTAGTCTTGAAAAGTAATACAATCTTGATTTGAAGCTTTTGTGACTGCAGGAATCTATACTCTTTGGTTCTTTCGGTAAAGTCACGTAGAAGGGAAATAATAAAATAATACAAAATATAGTTTTATTTCTTTTATTTTATTATTTCCCTTCTACGTGACTTTACCGAAAGAACCAAGAAAAATGAAAACAATGTCAAGCTATTGGATCACAATATCTGATAAGAGTAATACGTAATGAGTAACTGGTTACTCCCCAACATATGGCATAGAAATGTGGAATTTCCATGCAACACTGGCTCAGGACGTATTCACACACCATTTTAAGCTCCGTGAGAACAGCAACATTTTTGAACCGGAAGACACCAACATCATTTTCCCATGTGCAGGAACACAACACAGGGGGGGACGTGGTGACATCTGTGTCTCTTAACACAGCCAGGCAAACCAGAAATAGCTTAATTTATCAGCCCAATGTAATGGCAAGTCCTAGGTCCCTATGCGTAACCATGCGGTTCACAGCAAGGTCCACAGATTGGCAAGAAGAATGATAGGGAATGGTTGTGAACGAGACACCGGAACATTCATCAACAGTGAAAGTACCACTGCAATTCACAGCTGTGCAGATGATGGAAAATGGCTAAAATGCAATGAGCCGAATTCTATTCGTTTCTGTCAAATATGCAGCCATTGGAAAGATAGTTCGGTTTGATAGTCTTGTTTGACCCAAAAACTCATTAATGCAAAAGACACTGAACCATTTGTTATGTGCTCTGTTACTGAATTAGAATTTTAAAAAGTATGACATTGCATGCAATGAGTGAGACTATATTTAAATAATGTGCGATCAACAACATTTTTGTTATTAAAAATAAGTATACTATACGTTACAGTATTATTTCCAATAAATGTAGTTTTATGCCATGTTGCATCACGTGGTTTCTTGTTTTACCATTAAACATCGGCTTGCAGACACATACGTGCAATTGAGCGTTTGTAATGTGACTTACTGCTGCAACGGGAATTAGAATTTCCACAAAGAGGCCAGCCAGGGCGTGCTTGATGTCCTTATCCTTGACTTCCAGGAAGTATTTGGCACACTCCTGCATATACAAAGACAAAAACACCCCCCATAGAGCCTTAACAGACAGTTGGGGCAAGCGCTGTTAGTGAGCACCAATAAAAGCTGGCACGGCACACGAGGGGGTGGTTGGCCAGCACCACGCCCGTCCGCCTTTGTCTCCCTAAGTGGCAATGTTTCCACACAGCACCAGGTACTCATTTGAGGCCGAGTCGACCTAGGCCCAGGATCGGTTCAGATAATTGTCACTGGTGTTGACCGTGAGCGGGAATCGAACTCGGGTGGCTGGGTTCGTAGCATGGCACGCTAACCAATCACTACACTCCTGTGCTTGATGTCCTTATCCTTGACTTCCAGGAAGTATTTGGCACACTTCTGCATATACACATGTATACACACGGATAAACATCCCCTGTTTAAGCAATGTGAGGCAAGTGCTATTAGCCAGCACCAATTAAGGTCAGCAGGACAAACAAGGGGGTGGGGTGGCAGAAACACACATTCCTGGATCATTTTGTCTGCACAGTACACGGATGCTGAATGCACAGCGCACCAGGTGCTCATTTAAGCCAAATCAATCTAGGGCAGGGCCAGGTAAGCCTAACGGACCAAATCCCACAAGAAAGCACGTTCAGAAATTGACATCGAATTGCCAAGTATCACAGTGCGCTGTGGTAATGACTGTGCCTCCATTATCCACACAATCTCATACAAACACTCCACACACGCACATATTAACATTTAACCATGGGAATTTGGGAGGCAAAAGCTCAAACACATCTATGTGTGAATAAGGCCGCACACATTATTCACGGGGACACAAGTTTGCCTGGCTGAGCATTATTATCGCACAGAGCCAAAGCGGACAGGGTCCATCGTTGTTCGAATGTGCTGTGTGTACGAGGAGGCAAGAGCCTTCTCCTCACCCCCATAAATTGAAAGGAGTCTTCAAACTCTTCCACCGGGTACATCTTGACCCTGAAGAACTTTAGGCCAACGATCAGGCTGATGATGCTCTGAACGACCAGGGGACTCTGCTCTTTCTGCCGCAGCTCCTTCAGCTCCGTCATGAACTTCTTCCTCACCGCCTGGAACCTGGCCAGATTTAGGGAACACGTGGCAGAGGGGGGTACCATGAGCTCATCATTGAACCCTGAAGCTACGAATGTTGCTCTCGAGCGAGCCAACTCAACTCGGTTCGTGTAAGCGGCTGTTAATTCTGCCGGAGTCACCACCACAACTTGTACCACCAGCTACATAAACTGGACTTTAACAACCCCTTTTTCATAGGACAACCGAGCCGTACTGGATCCGTGCCAAGCCAGGCCAGCTTGGCTCAGGAAGCACGAGGTTGTTTTAAAAGCAGAGTCGTACCGATGGCCTCACACGCAATGGACACGTCGAGACGCACGTAGTTCAATGAACTGACGTCACACGCAATGGATGTATTATCACCGCCGCTTGGCCCCAAGCAAGGTTCAGATGTTTTTGGAGGTCCAGCGTGGCATTGTTTGGTTCTGGCTCAACTTTGAAAAAAGCCAGTGGAAAACCACCCATTACTGTAAGGGGTCCTGCGTCGACTTGCAGCCAGTGATAAAGGAGTCGAACACTCTTTAAGGAGTAAACAATTGTGTGGCAGTGCTATAGCACAAATCCCAAATCACGTGCAAGTTAAAAGTTAGATCTGTCCGGGTGGTATGGTGGCAAGAGTGCTCAACTCACAATGGAAGGCTGGGATTCAAACCTTGGTCAGAGGGTTAACTCAGGCTAGTATCCCACTGGACTCAATTCAAAAGTTCATATTACCGTGAGAAATCAGCAGTGGTTTATCCTATGGAGAGACTGGACTATCACAGGAATGTGACATTTTCTCCCCCGGGGCTCAGAGCTACTGACAGATGTGAGCTAAACCCGAATTTTTGTAAGGCAGGGAGACACTCTGGCTTAATGCTGGCTTTCTGTTGTTGCGTTATGCACACCTTACATATTACAGTATGAGATACTTTGCAACTTTGGAGAATTGCAGTTTGAATGCCAGCGGAGTGTTCTGCAGGTGAGCGAGCGACACTTACTTTGATTGTGCTAGAACGCCAATCACCTCCGCATAGAGGTCTGCGACAATGTGCAAATTCGCAGTGTTCGGTCCATTGTACCTGCAGCGGCAGCGGGGATGTCACCGTCAGTGGACAATTCACCCGAACATAAAAAAAACAATAAAACGCACCACCACCAGAAGCAAGTTTCTCTAAAATCCTATTCCCACGCGCTTCATTTCGACATTTTAAACACAACCGAAGTGTTTATTCACTGTGATTTCACACCTTTTACGTTGCAGTAATATTATTGTGCAGTTTTTTTTAAAGCTATAATTGAACTTGTGAGGAGTGTCAAGGTATTTTGTTTTACCCTTAGGCTTCACAAGCATTCCATATCCATGGTGGAATGTGCTTAAATCGACTTTGGACCACATAATATGGCCAGCTGCTTGCCAGGAACAATTATCCAAATATGGGCAAAATGTTACGTTATTAGTTGGATGTTAGTTTTACCATGTGTTCCTTACATTAATCAAACACTCTGCCCAACGACTCATATTGAACTAGCTATGCATGTATACTTGAGTTTACCATTATAAAACACTTATGAAAAAAATATTCAGTACAATTATTCCGTACATGACATTTTTAGCCAAGTTAATCATAATTATACTCTAATAATAATAATCCTGTGCATGCATATGCCGCTTGCTTAACAGCCTCCGCACCTCAAAGCTCCTTGCGTCACATCCCATCTCAAACATTCTAAGGGGAGCCCCCATTTCCAGCTGTGCCTGTGCAGTACAAGTTGGCTCAGCACTGACCTGCTGGTGGGAATTAGTCTGCCGGTAAGGGGCGATGATTGCCATGTGTAATCCCAATTGAGTAAGTTGTAGTCCGTATACCTATACTGATATACATCTGATAAGTTGCAGATGCTTTAAGAGAGCTGTCGTTCAAATAGCTACGCTGAACTAATGCGAGGTTCAATTTGAAAACCAATTTTTACGCATTCATCACGCGTGATAATGCAACGACAGTCATGATAAGTTTGCGATGTTGAAAATAAAGTGGAGCTCTTCGTATGGATTTGCCTGTACTATTATTTTCTCATCCTCCATACTTCGTCACACGCATAGTTCAACACAGCGAAACAATAACAACTGCATGTGATTGCCTGGGCGCGGTCTCACATTCGGTGCACTGACTCAACCGATTTAGATCAAGCATAGACTAAAGCTCAAACATTGAGGCAAAACAACATCCTAAGGAGGTGCACGAAGTTCAATATGTAAGCCCCCTTTGCTGACAGACACGCAATGTAACTGGTTGCAAAAATATTATTAATTACGTGGTTACACTTGCTGTCAGGAGAATGTGCATGATGTCGGCAAGACTTACCCTTCTTTGGGTTTAAAGTGCTTAAAAGCTAAGTTAATCACATCTTGCAGCAACGAATCTGGAACAGGGTGGACAGGAATCTGCAAAGTAAACAAAGTGACATTACATTATAAACTGGAAATATTGCCAAATGCTCCAGGCACAGTTTATGCCTCGCCCCATCTGACCTTAAAAGAACGTTTGCCGGCAGCATTCTCAAAGTAATTATGAGCCGTGTGCCTATTTTAAATAGGCGATTTGACTTTTAAAACGCAGTGATTTCAAAAGTCCCAAAAGAGGCCGAGGAAATCTGGACAGTAAAGGTAACCGTGAGCGAACCATCATGTTTAAAAAATGGAATGCCTAAAGCTCTTTTGTAAGTGTTATTCGAGTAATCACAATCACCACCACCACCATCAGCCATGATCTATCTACTGCTGAATAAAGTGCCTCTTAAGCCATTCCCATCTCTAACTACTTCATATGTTTAACCTCTTTTGAACTGTACATAGCCAACCTTGCTAATCGGAGGTGCTCCTTATTTCGATTTCCGACTAAAATAAACCTCTATCAGTTTCCACCTCCGATTAGCACGGTTCGCTATGTATGGTGCGAAAGAACTTCAACGTACATAAATACATATTGTTAACGCTACCGATAATGTGGTATGGGCAGGTGTCTCTGTAGTTAGAGTGCTTCACATAGCATCGGACGGTTGGGAGTTCAAATGCCAGTGAGGGGTCCCCTCAGGCCAACATTGCTTTGGTGGATGATAAAATAATAAACGAGATTTGAAGTTTTTGTGACTGCAGGGATCCATACTATTTGGTTCTTTCGGAAAAGTCACGTAGGTATAAAATAAATTAAATTAAATCACGACGTTTCGGGCGCAACACAAGCGTCCGTCATCAGGTGGGACAACCACAGCAAGAAACAATTGCTGATTGCTGTGGTTGTCTCACCTGATGATGGACACTTGTGTTGCGCCCGAAACGTTGTGATTTAATTCATTTTAACTTTACCGACAGAACAAAAGAGTAATAGCCAACTCACAGGAAGTCAACAGTGGTCATGAGCACTGCCCCAATCCTAGTTTTAGTGGAGACAGTTTGACTTTACGAGACATGAATGAGTTGTAATCTTTAATTGGTTGGATTAGCTGAAAATTGCATTTTTAAAGCCACTAGGTAATTTTCTACGGGGAATTGCTGAAGTCGTGATGCTAGCTGTAAAAATGTTGAGTGAAGCGCTCTGCTTAATTGCCACCCTTAAATTCCTCTTTACCACATGCAGTCACCAAGTGTTACGTCCTCATCGGTGCCTTATTTTCCATAAATTCCCCACATCAAATGTAAAACTTGTACTATTATCAACCTCAATTAGGACAAACTTCGGCAAGGTGAACGTTGACAAACGGATAATGACATTACTGTTGCGCGTCACTGAGATATTCAACGTCCATACAAAGAAAATCAATAAGGACAATTTATGATGTCGGTCATACATCGTGGAAACTAATTAGCCTCCAAATTTCCCAACACTTCGCCAAAGTGAATTATTTCAGATAAAAATGCTAGATCACAGCATTTCAAATTACCAATGCTCTTCGAGACAAAAACACCCCACCACATTACTCCTCGATGACACTGGCTGGGGAACCATAAACCGCATTAAGAACATCAACAGGCCAATGCACACATCTCCTTCATGAATGGAAATTTAATGACAAGCCACAGTGCAATTGTGACTTGTGTCTCTATGGGTTTACTATAAAGTTCAGAAAGATATATAGAGACACATAATGACCACATCGAGATACACAGAGACCCATAGAGATACATTTAAGACCATCCACAGTCGTGTGACTGTGGCCATGCAACCCAAACTAGGAACCATTAAGTAAACCAGTGTAGTTTTCACTCCTTCAACAGAGAAATAGCAAAACTACACAAACTCTCTGTCTCTCCTGAAGCCCTCTCGTGGCTATCAAACCTCGACATTGGCATTAGCTCCTGAACGTAATTCCATACACAAGTGTAGAAATGCTATTCATCATAATCTGGGTTTTCAAACAAAATTATTTAATACAAGGTCCAAAGTATGCAACACAATTCATGTCTTGTCTTCACTGTATCTGTGGGGTTCTCAAGAAAAATATACTTTTTTATGATGCCCTGCCCCATCAATTGTTTTACGTGTGCATTGTAACACTTCCCCAACTACAGTTGAAAAGCTCCCCTCAATCGGCAGCGGGGGTTCATGATAACGCTCATAAAAAATATTCAATATAAGTAAAATCTTTCACGTAGATTTGTGTTGGTATGGTGGAATAACCCGACAGAAAACAGGCTAAATTTATCAATGGGTTACTCGTTAAGTAGGCAAAAAAAAAACAATCAGCCTTTTCGGCCACGGTGATGACGCCACACGCCAGGCGATAAAATCACGCTTCACGTCATGATGCTTCCTTGTTTACATCAGTCAAGAGAAAACTTTGGACTAGAAGCCGTCTCTCCATGGTACGAAACGACCAAACCACCGTGTGTGCTAAATTACATCATGAATATGTGAATCATTCAGACAATGCATTCTGCATGTATGTCTATTGGAAGAGATGGAAGAGTGGACCATGGGTTAATAATGGGAACACTCATATATTTTTTATTAAATAACTAGCTTTACTACCCGGCTTCGCCCGAGACTTGGATTCTAGTCTTGGATTAATACAGGGCCTACTGCATTATTGCGCCCGCCCGCCCCCCAAAATACAAAAGTAAATTTTTATACTTTTTGCATTGTGTAGTCTGGAAGCTACCCACATGCCAAATTTCAAGTTTGTTGCATTTCGGGAAGTATCCTAAGCATTTCGAACAGACACACATTCACAAATTTCCCTTTTATATATATAGAAGTTATATCTTTGCCATTTAAAGTTTTAGTTAAACGCAAAATGACAATATAAATGCTTTATATTGTGGCACGAGGCCAGCCTCTACTAACGAGTCTAATAGACTCTGGTAGTCTAATAGACCCTGGTGTTTTGGAGAATGCATTTGCTTTGGTTATTTAAATTCTGGTTTATACTGTGTGCACTGACCTTGACGTAATAAGTACTGTATCCATCTGAAACATTACAGTTCTATCTTATCTTATCTAGATTTGCAAAGCGCCTTTTCCTCGGCACTTTAGAGCAATTATAAAATTGTATACAAGATGATAATTATTTGAAATAAAAAATTGGGTTATTGAAAGTGGTGGTGTAGTTCGAGTGATGGTAGAACAGGAGAGAGTGAAACAAGAGGGCTTGGGATAGGCATGGCCGTATCTTGGGGTGGAGGCGGGGGGGGGGAGGCGACGGAAAGTTGGGGCGCGGGAAAGTAATGAGGCATTGCACTGGGAAGACAAAGGGGGTCGGGGCCAGGGATGGGAGCAGTGCCACTGCGAGTGGAGTAGGCTGCCACTAATAGGTGACAAAGCCTTTGCCGTTGCAGCACCAACGTTTTTGAACAACAACAACCTTGTTACCTCCCTTAACATCGTAAATCTTCCTTAAAAAAAATATCCCGAAGCAGAAGATTAGCGCTGAGATACCGCAGTCGCTTTTGCAATGCGATTTGTAACTTTGATCCTTACCCGTGTATCGATAGTTCAATGTTAATGTGGCATTTTATTGAGGGAGTACTGCTGTGCGGGGTTATCTTGGTGTGGTCTGGGACTAGATTTGAAGTTTTCGTGACTGCAGGGATCCATACTCTTTGGTTCTTTCGGTAAAGTCACATAGGTATAAAATAAAACTAAATAAATTAAATTACATTTAATTAAATCACATTTAATTTATTTTGTTTTATTTTATACCTACGTGACTTTACCGAAAGAACCAAAGAGTATGGTCTGGGACTTTTTTAGTTGTTTTGCTGCCTTACCCAAGCTTGATAAATCGGACTGATAGGTTATGCATTTATACTTAGTGATTTGCTTAACTTTTCTCTATTTTGAACTCCTATTGTGTTTTTGTATTGTTTACTGTTGTAATTTGCTGACTTGCCCATAATGGACACCTGTCAAAGAGCTTCATACCTCATCGGATTCCTCCTGCAGTCTGAATAAAGATTATGATTCTGAATTAAAAATAGACATGTCAATGCTTAAAAATGCAACAGTTGCCTACTGGCAAAAACAAGATTTGTAAATTTTTGGAAAAATATATTCCTGGGTCTTTCGGAAAAGTCACGTAGATAGGTTCAAATAAAATAACAAAAAAATAACAAAAAACGACGACGTTTCGATCACAACACAACAAAAAACTACGACGTTTCGATCGCAACACAAGCGGTCGTCTTCAGGAAGAACCTATCGACGTGGCTTTACCAGAGGACCCAAGAATATGAATTCCTGCAGCCACGAAAGTCAAGATTTTGGAAGAATGTATGTGGAAATTAATCATTGCTTAAGGATCGGCTCATAATGCATACACATTAAAGAGACGCTCATTAAGTTCACATTTCCAAACCAAACATAGCATGTTTGTTATGAAAATAAGACTTTTTAAAATAAAATTTCCCAAAGAGAAAACGCATACAGAAGGGAATACAATCCATCTGCCAATCCATAATCATGACGGGTTTTTTGCCTTTACAATATTTAAAATTCTCTCCATTTACAAAAAAATATATATCCTTTTTTTATCCGGTAGAACTTCACTGAGTCACCAGACTTTCAGGATGGTCCTCCATTTGGTTCTTTAGCAAATTCGTTTGTGGATTAATAAAGATGTTTTTCTTTTTTCCCCAAATGTATTCCAATCGCACGACTGGCATCTAGTTTGGCAGCCTATCCTCTAACCCCCTCCCTGCCACTACCACCGCCATGTGTTTTGAAAATCTCGCAGAAAGAGATTTCATGAAACTACTTCTCACATCTGTTCAAAGCGCCCTTTTGTATCCGCACAATAGAAGGTGCATATTCCCTCCCGCACACCACGCGCACCGACCTTGAAACTTAAATGTTAATTCACGTGACGATAAAATGGCATTTTTTTCAGAGCTACAACTTTTGCAAATTAAGTAAAATCCTAAGATTAACGAGATGACATTTTGCGTGCAGTCGACGCTGACCAGGCTGCGTAGTCCATAACTCGCTACTCTTGAGAACCTGGATTAATCACAGGTGACTGCCCAGATTGAACCTCAAGGGGTCTCAGTGGTCGCGATTAAACGCTCTGCCTTGAGTCACAAAGCCACCCTTCCCTTCTTGCATATTCAGTGCATGCAAAGAAAGGTGGAGCCAACCAGAAAATACACGAACACGGGGGAATAGAACACAGCAGTACGGAACTGTACAGCATCTCGCAATTTGGCTGCATTTATATGCAACCGCATTGCGAGATGCTGTACAGAGATAGTTGATACGTTGAAGTTTCTAGAGAAAAACAGACAGATGGAAAAAGAAAAGAACGTTCTTGAGGCTGGATTTCAATGGAGTCATTAGAAAGGATGACTCATGAAAAGGAGTTCCAGATTATTGGGGTCAGCAGAGGAGAATGAGCAATATCCCACTGAGTGAAAGTTGACTGGGGGCTTTAGAGAAATGGTTGGTTGCTGGAGCAGAGAGTACATGGAAGGGAGTAGAGTAAGATGAGTGGGAAGAGGTAGGCAGGAGCAAGTCCATGGGGGATATTGAATATGGTGAGAGGGATCATAAATTTGATCTGGGATTGAATTGGGAGCCAGCGAAACGACTGGAGCACTGGGGTGATGTGGTCTTTTTATATCCTCCCTGTGCCCTATCACGATTCTATTCTTGTTCGCTTCTGGCTCCCTTTGTTGTTGTTATTGTAACGTTCTGATTGTTGTTGTAACATTCGGACCTCATGCCCTTACTGGACATTTGTGAAAAAGAGCTTCATAGTTTATCGGATTCCTTCAGTACAAATCAATATTCTGATACTGGAACAAGCTGCCCCTACACGTCAATCAGACTCACAGTCTATTTTTCATTCTTTCCTTAAACTCTCTACTTAATTTCCCTCCCTTACCCATCATTAACACCATCATCATCATCATCCCCTTTACCAACTTCCCGACCCATTCATCATCACTCGCTCATCATTAACCACTAATTGTCACTTTCATCATCGTTCATTTCACACAATCATATTCATGCAACTACCATCCTTCTCATCGACTCGTCTCATCTCATCACACACTTCTGCTCTACAAATAGCTGACTCTTTGTTCAGCGCCTTGGTTAAAGCATCATATAAGTTAAAAAATAAGATAGGATTTTCGATGCGAAAACACATGGTGCATTCATAACTCTAAATGGGGTGGAAAAGCGGACTGCACCTGCTTGAGGACTTCAATCAACACAAGGCAGAAGATGAAGTCGATCGCCAGCTCGCGTTTCTCCATCACGGGGTCCCGCTCTCGTGAAGGCTCTTCCCTGCAAACACGGTAACAAAGCAAGCACTGCAGGGCGCGCTCGGATGTCAACACGGGGCTTAGCGTACTCAGACAAGTGGCACACCAGCCGTGCCTTTGATAATTAACTTGACGCAGAGGCACTCGGAGGCTCGCGTGTAAACACATACTGGCCTCCGCACAACACAAGCCAGGGCGAAGCTTGTCCGCATTCAGTCACGCAGACTGTTGGAGGGAGAGCCATCAGCGAGCGCCTATTAAGGCCAAAATATGCACTTTTAAATCTAAATTAAAAACTCATTTCTATAGAACTGCTTTTCGTGTTTAGTTTGTTGTCCTTAACCCGCATCTCCGATTAGCATGGTTGGCTGCGCATGGTGCAAAACAAGTTCAGCATACGTACATACACAGAACATCACACGAGAAGGTGGTGTGGCCAGAACTGTGCCTGGCCCCCTCTTTCTCTACGGTACTAAGGTTGGTGGCCCAGGAGAGGCTTACGTCAAGTTCAGACATCAGTTGCTAATGGTCTTGTGCATGAATCAATACCAGTTTGTTGAGATTACAATGCAGTGCGAGCATCACAACCTCACGGTTTATACACACAGGCATGCAGGTGAATGTGAGTATTCTCGCACGTACGCGTGTACACAGAAATACCTACTTGAATGCAGTATATAGTACTGTACGGCACTGAACAATATGAGGGCCTGTATAATGATAGATATGTAATAATTTCTCTAATTTTGTACAATTCAATGTCAGGTGAGACTGCAAACATTGGAATGATTGAGTTACTGTGTGTAAATGGAAATTATAAATATATTACCAATATACTGTAGAATATTGTTTGCATCGTATACACATGTACTATACAAACAACGCAATAATGCAACTTTTCACATCGAAGAATAAGATGCATCAACTGTTCCAATTTGAGCATTAATTAAATCAAATCAGGTCCATTCTCAAGAGAAGATAATCTGTGCTCATCTCTGTTGAGAGCTAAGCCAGAGGGTTGAAACATTCACATTCCCATGGCAGGGACCAGTTTGTCAACTTGAAAACCAACACGCTTGAAGGAATTGGCAAAATTTATTTTTAAAAATTATTCCGGAGACTATGCTGTGTGTGCCGCATGTAGTAAATGTCGCAAGAATTCTATATGAGCGGCATAAGAGCATCCCTGAGCTATTGATATTTTATGTCCAGTCGAGGCATTAGATGATGCAGTCGGGGGGGGGGGGTTGCGAAGATAACTTTGACTTTCACCGTGTAAAGCATTGATTTTTCTGTCCTGAGACTTCTCAACCAAAACTGATGTGTGGAGGGGGGTGGGGGGTTAGCTGGAGGCATTCAGTTATCTCCCCTCACATTTGTATGTAGTTTAGTTGACCGCTCCACTGGATTTATGGCTCAACCACATTGCTCGCGCATCCACCAATGCAATCCTTGGCTGCCTCGTCTTCCCATTGCGGATGTTCATTGCTCGGTACATATTTGCATGCCAAGCTGACGTATTGCACGTAGCCTGGTATGCTGCACACCAAGCATGTGGCAATAACAGCCGCCATTCACTGTTAAGTGGTGAATGTGTCAGGCTAGGTGCGCACTTTGAAGCCAAGCCGAGTTAACATTGCCCAGCACGAGGTTATAAGAAACCGGGTGTTACAGATGTAGTGTCGTTGGTATGAGTACCGTTGTGTAGAGACAGTACCCTGTGGGTGGTACTGTAGGGGCGGAGCCTCTCCCCGGACACCGGATGGGCATACCAGGGGAGGCTGGGTAAATAGGAAGGGGCACGTGACGAGAGGTGGTGTGGACGGGGGTGTCAGGGTTGAGGAACACGTGAGGTTTGCTCTGAACCCTCACGAAGGATCGGGAAAAGATGCGTGGCCAAAGGCGGGGCCTGGCCACGCCGTAAAGATAAAAGCCGAGCCCCGGGGGGGCATTGGGGTCGATGCTGCTGGAAGAAACCATCGTCAGCGGCGGGTCTTCGGGTCTCTGGGTGCCGCGCACGTGGACCAGGAGCGCGTTGGCTGACCCGGTCCGGTTTGTAGTTGCCCATCCAGAATGTAAATAGCCATCTACTCCAAGTGTATATAGCTAAGTGTAGGAACGGTGGGTTACCACCTAATGTTGTTATTCCGTTAAGGGTTATGTGATGTTAGTTAATAAACTGCATTGCCTCCAAGTTCTAGTGTGCGCCTGATTGGACCCACTACACAGGTGAAAACAGCTCGATTTTTTAAGTAAAGTCAAAGTGGACCACAAACGTAGGTTTTCGTGGGTGCACTGTATAAGCTCTCTCCCGACGTGTTTCTGGGTAGTAATTCGGGTCCTCCTCATTCAGGAACTGAATTCAGTTTGAGCTCGCAGCAAAAATTCAATTCAAAAATTCAATTCTGAAATTAAATTCGTGTCCTTCGGGATATGAATTCAGCTGAAGCTCGCAGCAAAAATGCAATTCAATTAAAAAACTAAATTCAGAAATGCAATTCAGGCCCTTCTCCTTCAGGATCTGAATTCAGTTGAAGCTCGCAGCTAAAATTGTATTCAATTCAAAATTTCAATTCAAAAATGCAATTCGGGTCCTCCTTCAGGAACTGAACACAGTTGAGACGTGCAGGAAAATTTTCATAAAAAAATGTAATTCGAGTCCTTCTCCTTCAGGAACTGAATTCAGTTGAAGCTTGCAGCAAAAAGAAGCTGCCGGCACACGGAGAGCGAAAACGTCAGACACCGTATGCCAAGACAATAAAGGGGATTTATAACCTAAAAAAAAAACGAAGCGCTCAAGTCAAAGTGTCTCCCTGCTCCATCAAGCAATGGCGTAAGCATTCATCTGCAATGGCGGACCCTGGCTCAGTGACCGAAACTCCACATTCTGATGGCTGGGGCCAGCAGTGTCTCCATGGGACAAGCAGTGTTGCCATTCCACATTGGGGGCACTTACTTTATCTGAACCTGGAAGGATTACAGATCGGGTCAACCCCCAACTAGGATTTGAACTTGGAACCTGTAAGACTCATATCCCAAAGGCACACACTGACACACACACAGACAATGTACTGATACACACACACACTGATGCACTGGCTTATGTATGTTGAACTTATTTCGCACCGTACGTAGCCAACCGTGATAACCGGAGGTGCGGGGGAAGGACAACAATCTAAACAAACAGACAAAACTATTCTAAAGGAATGGACTGTCCATAATCGAGGTGTTAAACTGAAATGAGCCGCACTTACTCCTCAGTTCTCAGGACTCACCCTTTGGATTTTGTGCTGGAGCGTGGTCGATAGCTGTGTGCGCCATCCTCGCACGCGATCTGCCGCCGGTACCAGTCGAAGAGCGTGCGCAGCAGGGAGGGCAGGCAGTACTCGGCCACTGCGCTCAGCGAGCTTATGAGCTGCCGTCAGTGACACAACAACAACGGTGACAAGCTGGTTAACACGTGCTTTCTGCATCATGCTACTTACTATCTGTAAAAGAATTCGGTGAATGAGAGCACTTGCCTTACCGAAGCAAACGGATTATTGATGAAACAATAAGAAACAATAAGAAAAGGTAATAAAACAGCAGGTGTTAAGATCTTCCAACACCAAATAGATAAAAACTTGATTTGAAGCTTTCGTGACTGCAGGAATTACTCTTTGGTTCTTTTGGTAAAGTCACGTAGAAAATTTAAAGTCACGTACAAACTTTACCAAAAGAACCAAAGAGTCATTCCTACAGTCACGAATGCTTCAAATCAAGTTTGAACCACCTCTACGGGGAGGATTTAAGTTTGTTTTCTCTCTCTCTGTGTGTCTGTTTGTCAAATTTCACACTTAACTTCTAATTTAGCAATCTCTGGAGAACGCAATCAACCAGGCTATGCGTTAACTGTGTGTTAACCGACTTTCTGTATTGCATTGCAATACATTTCCAAAAAATTGCTAAGTTTTTTTCTCAAACTGCCTATTTCTCTCTATAAAATTTACCAGGCTCTCATATGTCCATTCGCTCTTTCTCTCCCCCAGCCGCTTTGGGTGGATTTCCACACAGCTCTATCATTGACATGCTAATTTCTCTGCTCCAGCAGACCCACCTCTCTCTCTGCCCCCTCTCTATTTAAGGCCTCGGCACACAGGCGTTGGGTCTCTGTTTGTCTATTTTGTGTCTCTCTCTATGTGTCTGTGTTGTCTCTCTTTGTTTGTATGTATGTCTGTCTGTGTGTCTCCGTGTCTGTGTTTTGTCTCTCTCTCAAATTTAGCAATCTTTGGAAGAACGTAATCAACCAGGCGAGGTGCTGACTTGTGTTGGCCGACTCTCTATGCTGTATTGCACGTAAGCCTTATACTGACCCCCAAAGCAGGGGCCTGAAACAAAATAACAAGAGCAGCAATTTTTCTTAGAATTCGGTAAAAAAAAAACAACCCTCAATATATCAAGAGCCGTAATGCATGCGAATAACGTCTTGAAGGAATCTTTAAAGAGGCACATGCGGCTCCGGAGCCACAGGTTTCCCACCCCGTGCCCCGAGTGATGATGGAAGAACGTTATCCCCCCCCCCCCCGTTTGGGACGTGAACTCGCAATCATCAACTTGTGAGACAACCACTCTGGCCACGGAGTGCCACGTAGGCGGCCGGATTTGCATACGTTGCCGCCTCATTTGCGGACGGCAATATTTCGACCGCGGTGCTTTGTGGAATGTGGTCAAGTAAACAGAGAGTGGAAATACTGTGTGGCAGGTTTGCTCAGTAGGCTAATGTCTGCGTTAGCATTGAACCAGCGCTGCTGAGATCCTGGTGTGAGTGCGGGACAGCCGCCCGTGATGAAAACGAGGCTCTGATGGAAAGTGAGTTCACGGGTCTCAGCCCAGTCACCAATGATTGCACAGACAAATACCACATCATACACGAGTTTTGTTTTACTTTATTTGGTCTTGGCCAGCACCAAGGGCCCAGAAAAGCCTCACCGAGCCTACAAAGTCTATTTCAGGAGGTTTCTGACAAGTTTTTCGCAGTATGGCTGCGATGTTGCTGTTGCTTTGTTTAATCCCAAAGTTGCAGGTAATTGTTCAGGACTCAAGATGTTCTGTCAAGACCAGTTCCATTGTTTTTTTGCTATGTAAGGAAACCGAAGTACCCGGAAGAAACCGATGCAGAATAGGGGGAGAGAAAACGTACATACTCAAGCGATGAAAAATGTGTAGAGACACAAAGACTGATTTCACAAATATTTTTTCCCTTTCCTTTACTGCACATTCAAACTCTTCGTATGAAATTAGCACTCAGCCTGGGTTAATCCACTTGCCGGATGAAGGCCTGCCCAAACCGCCACCATCTCTCACAATCCTGAGAAAAAAGAATCCACCATGTGGCTGCACACAAAGCGGATTTCATCGCTCCACCTCCTGGGTGGATGTCCTCTCAGAAGTATTCTGTTCCTTGGTTGACACTCGGTAAAATATTCTTCACTATCTGCCATCATTTTTTTCAAGTACTGTTAAGATATCGGGGGGAAAAAGTTTCGGAGCTCAGGATTTGTCGGTCCTTGGCCCTCAAAATTTGGAACGCTCTGCTTGAAGAACTGCACATAACCGGCGAGATTCTCCCAATTATAAATAAAATAAAACCTACTTAATTGCCATGATATGTTAGATACATTTGAGATGTTTTTGTTTGTTTTTACCATCCGGCACTCTGAGGCCCTTTTGTGGGGTTCTGCTGCACCTTATAAAAAATATGTTTTTGTTAATCTCAGCAAAGCTTTGCTGAGACACAACCTCACTCACTGCGGTGGAACACCAGAAGGACTCGTTTCAGAGCAATACCTGTCATCTCTATCTGGCATCGAAGCCCTATTTTGACATGACACTGACTCTTCAGACAGTAGCACGCACCAAAAATTCCTGTGGGTGCACCAAGCTGTGTTTTGTTTTAGCGCGTCCAAAGGTCTCAAGGTTTATTCAACAGGACATGTTTTTCATGCGAGTGTTGAAACACCGCATTCATTGTTGAACATATCCTGTTATTTAGTTTTGCAATTTGGAACCAAACATGACTGAACACTACCTACTGTAACGCGCTAGCAAGCAAAATAATAGGATGCATATGTATTGTACATTTAACAGAGCGAGATAGATTAAGAAAACTGCCAATTTTCAAGCGTCGCTGCATTTGTACGTGAATACAAATACAAGAGGTGTTCCCAGGTAAAAGATAAGGTGCCTAAGCCTACTGACGTCAACTTTATTGAGGACGATATTGGCACGCAAAATAAAGATTGATTTTTCGATTGAAGCTTCTGCCGGCAGAAGAGCCTCCACTAGACGGAGCTACAGGGAACCCCACATGAGGGTATTTGGCCTCCTCTTCCACGTTGGCCAGACGTCTTGGAAGAGGTGGATATACCCACACTTGACCCCACCTCACGCGACCTGCCGATTGATCGACTGCGGTACACCCATTCATACTGGCGGAGGACAGAGGTGGCGGGTCTCAAGAAAGTCGCCCCATTGTTTCAACGGCTGGGACGGGAGATTGAATCGAACCGGTGACCTAAGGATCGCAAGCCCAGTATGCGAACCAATGCACCACCTACAGCATCACTCAAGTGTTGAAATGTGACTTCAAAAGTTGCTGAATGGTGACCACTGACAAATGATAGACTGACTGCCTGAACAAAATATGTTCACCTTATTCACTTGTCAATGAAGTTGTACGGACATTCGAACATCTGTATTGGTCACGTTAATTACATACTCTTTGGTTCTTTCGGTAAAGTCACGTAGGTAGAAAATAAAATAAAACAAAAAATTATATTTAATATATCATGACGTTTCGATCGCAACATAAGCGGTCGTCCTCCAAGACGTGACATTAACTTACTAATCCCCCTAATCTCCCTGCCTAATCTCTCCCATCAACATAGTGCTAATCTCCCATTAACACTTCTGTTGTGCGCATATGCAAGGATGATACTCTTATGCTGCGACGGAAGCTCATTTCATGCTAATCTCTCTCCCTAATCTCTCTACCTAATCTCCCCCATTAACACGACTGCCGTGCTTGCGTCCGGGGATGGAATTCCTTTCCAGCTCAGACCCCGCTTGCTTGCCCATCATTGTTGTAACAGCTCTCTCGCTGTTTCAGCAGTTCCACTGCTGGATAATTTTTTTTCCGACTGAGTTGTGGCTGCGGCAGCAGTTACATTGGGGAAACGAAACGACATGTCTCGGACCGCGTTCGCGAACACAAGGCAGATCTGAAATACGGTAGGACCAATACCTCTGCCGTTGCTGATCATTGTTCTAACGCAGTGGGCTCACATGAAATCGACTTTTCCAAGACGAAGGTACTCTGCAAACCCACCGGCTATTATCAGAGATTTGTTTATGAAGCCATTCAGATATATAAACACAAACACAACTTCAACCGAGAAGATGGGTACAAACTGAGCAATCATTGGAAGGACGTTATTAACTGACTGTGATGTTTCCATCCTACCTGCCTATATCAGCTGTTATTTCCGACTCTCTGTGTGTCTTTCTCTCTCTCTCTCTGTGCATCTCTCTCTGATCTCTACTCCAATAACCCGGGTGCTGCTGCGGGGTCCACTTTCTGCCCCGCCTCCTCCCCCCCCCCCCTGTCTCTCCCCCCCTGCAGCCGATCTCTCAGATCTCTCCAAGTGCTGTCGCAGGGTCTACTTTCTGCCCTGCCCCCTCTCTCCCCCTACCTCCTCACTCCCCCCCCTACTGCCGAGGCCTATATAACCTCGTGCCACGGCAGATCTCTCACCTACTTCAGCAATTTTTTCTTGCTGTGGTTGTCCCACCTGATGACGATTGCTTGTGTTGCAAACAAAACGTCGTGATCTATTATTTTTCTACCTACGTGACTTTACCGAAAGAACCAAAGAGTATGGATTCCTGCAGTCACGAAAGCTTCCAATCAAAATAGTATTTATGTTTTGTTATTTGCCCTTCCACAGTCATCATCTTGGCAAGATGGGCAGTTTGTTTTTTGTTTTAATTTGATAGACACCAAATGAGGAATGACTGCATGTCTGAGCGTCAAAACAATGAGTAATCTTGAAACTCAATTATGCCCTGCACTTTGAGCCAGTGTTTTCAATAAGCCACAGTCTTTTTTTATTTATAATTAAAATGTGATGTCACTCTTACGTAAAGGTCTAGCAATCTGGCAGATTAATAACCCTACAAAATGAAATCTCCCATAAGCATCGTACTACATTGTGGGCATAATTAACACATCAGTCTTGCTGTCCTTGAGGCTAAACTTGGGACTTTGTGTGTGAACTTTATCTTTTCTCATCCATCTCAAACCTGGCATTGGCTTTGTGAGTCCTGATAGCACCGTGTGTGTGTCTGGCTCTCTGACTGCGATCATTGAAATTCATG